AGGGAGAATCTAATGTACCTTCAGATATGAACTCTTTACTTTAGCAATATCTTCCCCAAGAGAGACAACCACTTTTTCAACCTGCCGACTGTGTGTATAGGGCTGAATATCAGGGGACTCTTCAGAGCGCAGCTCCATGTGTGAGATCAAGAGGTTAGTGATGACTTGTTGAACAGCCTACAATCAAAGTAAGGAAAGTGAGAGAGAAGCAGCTCAAGGTAATGACAGTAACTTTAACCCTTTAATCCCTGAGAGTGACAAACATCTAATTTCTCCCTACAATATAACCCCTGAATCAAACATAAAGGTTATGAGAATAAAGGAAATGACAATCAACTGAAGAACCTCTTGATTGTTAAACAAATTCTCCTTGCCAGCACATTAGGAAATGTGTAGAGAACAGTATGAAGAATAAGCATACTGATGTTAGGGCAAGATTGGGGTCTGATGTAAACTGAAGTTCCTAAGCACCAGTTTGCCTCCTTGAAAAAAAGTCATGAAGAAAATTCCTTTTGTTTTGCATTAGAATTGTTGAGCCTCAGATATCAATGAAGCTTCAAGGAGAAAAGCACTGTGACTAGGGGTGGGTGGAACATCAAAAGTATTATTGATCTTAAAAATCCTCCACCCCTCAAAATTATTTCATTGGACTGGCCTGCAAATAAGTGAGACTGTTTTTTCAATAGTTTATATATTTATGTTTTTAACATAAATGCTGTTTCTATTGATTTCCTTTTTTACCTCTAGATCATCCCCAGGTGTTGCACTGAGAGCAAGAACTCTAAAATTCCTGTTATAGCCAGAGATTTCCCTTACAACCTGAATGGAACATAATACAACTTACTAACAAGAACACAATGTCATATTTAGGCCTTCTCCTGAATTAGATGTTTTATAAAAACACAAAAAAAAAGACTGAAGGGTATCAAGTAAGTATATCAGCATCCTAGTAACACTAGTGTTGGCAAAAAAAATCTGTCACATATGCATGTGCTTGTCCATGTGAACTAAATAGTACAATCATGTTTTTTCTTTCCTTTACCTGACAGTAAGCATGATTTCCAAGAGCTTTATGAGCTTCATCAGCAACAAGAAGGATAACTTCTTCAGCTTTGCATGATCCACGAATCAGATCATTTTGCAGAACTTGTGGAGTTAGAAAGAAAACTCTTCTCATCCTCCACAAAGACTGCCGTTTATTAGGAGCCATGTTTCCTGAAAAGGTTGGAGAGCATTAGGTTCGAAGCTAAGTTGCTGAGCTAACTAAAATAAACCATCTTGTAAAATTTAAAAAACGATCTCTGGCTAAAACTTTTAAAAAATACGAGCTTTCGGCTGTTTGCGCTACAGCCTTCAACGGGTAAAATGATAAAAAGGTAAGAAATACTAGGTGTGAAGTACAAAGTAAAAAATTAAAAATGCTGATAACTAAGAATGTTTGTTAAAAAGAATGTTGTATTGTCCGGGCAAAGGACAGGAATTGTTGTCCGCATTGGGAGTTAACTTGGAATGCCACGCTTCTAGTGTTTTTCTTGTTCTAAAACTGCCTTTGTCAATAATAGATGCATTATCAAAGTCTATTGCGTGACTATTGGCCCAGACGTGATTGGAAATTCTTGAGCCTTTTGCCGCGGTTTTCACATTTCTGAGGTGTTCTTTCTTTCTTGTGTTGAAGGCCCTGCCAGTCTCACCAATATAACACCATGAACAGTCACCACAAGGAATTTTATAAACAACATTTGTTTGCGATTCCAACGATGGTCGAAATTTTGGAGCCGGGAACTGTTGTTGGAGGGTGATGAGTGGTTTGTTCACCACTGTGATGTCGTGTTTTTTGAGGACACGAGTCAGAGGTTCTGTTACGCCTTTAATGTATGGAAGAGAGGCGAACGACTTGCGTGATTCGGACGCCTCGACCATCTTGAAAAATGTGCCAACAAGTTCCTCCGGGGACAACACTGTTGAGCGTCGGGTTTTTTTGGCCTGGATGTTTTTAATGAAATTCGATGGATAACCATTAGATTCAAGTGCTGAATAAACTCGATTTAGTTCTCGTTCTTTTCCTTCGGAGGAGTTGGGTAGCTTTAGGGCTCTGTGTAGAAGAGTTGCTGCTGTGCTGGCCTTGTGTTTATTATCATGGTGAGAATTGTAGTCTAGATATCTGTCCGTGTGCGTAGGCTTTCTGTAAATATCGACAGCAATAGACTTTGATAATGCATCTATTATTGACAAAGGCAGTTTTAGAACAAGAAAAACACTAGAAGCGTGGCATTCCAAGTTAACTCCCAATGCGGACAACAATTCCTGTCCTTTGCCCGGACAATACAACATTCTTTTTAACAAACATTCTTAGTTATCAGCATTTTTAATTTTTTACTTTGTACTTCACACCTAGTATTTCTTACCTTTTTATCATTTTACCCGTTGAAGGCTGTAGCGCAAACAGCCGAAAGCTCGTATTTTTTAAAAGTTTTAGCCAGAGATCGTTTTTTAAATTTTACAAGATGTCTTATCCTGGCTGCGGCCCCTCTATCTTTTCACGTAAAATAAACCAGTTCATAATTCATGTAATGTACCTTGACAAATAAATTAACCAATAAGTGTGATGTCAAAACAAAAAAAAAATGTCAAACCTCACCGGTCATTTCTGCTGTGTCACTCTGCGGAATACCCATGATTTTATAGCACGCTTCAATCTGTTGTGCAACCAGTGGTTTAGTGGGAGCCATAAATATAACCTTTCCCTGTGGGTACCATCGAAAGAAATTGTACATAACAACAGCAGCAATGAAAGTCTTCCCCAATCCGGTTGGTAAAGTAACTAAGGTGTTCTTATAAAGAGCTTTCTCAACAATATCGAACTGATAATTCCTTATAGGATAATTTGTCGGGTAAATCCAAACATTTCCAGCCTCGACATCAAAACCTGGAATAATTTCAACTTCGTCGGATTTCTCGGTGATGTTATTGGCGTTCACTTCACAGCCCCCACTGTATTTCGCTTCAAACGCAACTTCGTCGAAAGGAAACATTCCTTCTGCAGCAGCCAGTAATTCATCATCACCGTCATCATCTCCTATCTCTATTAAATCTACAGCATCGTTGTAAACTTGACTTTTGATTGCTCCAGGCGTCTTCGAATTTGTACTTCTCAACGAGGTAGATTGAGCTGGTCGTCCCCAACTCTGGAACAACGTGGCTTGACACACGTTGGACTTTTTCATTCCGCATCCTATAACTTAAGGAAAGGATTAACAAAACTCGATCCTCTTTAAATGCTATATTTTGGCGACAAAATGAAACAATCAGGACACACATGATTCTTTTTCGCCAAGGCTGCCATTTTGATTTTGCCGGACTAAAAATGGCGCGCTACGGTCATGTGATGCAAATCATCCAATTACTAATCTCAAAATTGGAACTAAGTACCAGCTTACTTCGAGCTTCGACCGCAGGGACAACGCTTCACCAGCAACTCACCCATGAAAACATTATATTTTGCCGCAAATTACGCTCAAAATTTTTCTTCATGCTCAATTAAATAAGTCAAAATAATAGTTTTTAAGCGCCTCTAGACCTCCCCTCCCCAATTCCTACCAACAACTGGGGTCGTTAGGAGTAAAAGACAGACGGAAGCTCAGAACAAGACACTTAACCGGATCAAGTTTCTAAAGTGCAAGTAAAGAAAAGAGGCCAACTAGTGACATATCTCTGGCTGCAGAATTTACCTCGTGATGCCTTAGCTTAGCAGGGACATCAGTAAGGGTTCACGGTTTACGGTCAAGTCCAACTTTCTAAACGTTTCAAAGGCTTAAATCTTTGTTTATCTTCAGTAGTGAATTATATAATTTGAAGATTTTAAAAATAACTCGATAGAATTCACACTGAATTGTCATTGCGTTGCAGAGGGTTTCTAAGAGCTCCACAGAGATCAAAGTCTGCCCTGTGCATTTCAATGTTTTTTAGGAGGGGTTTTACACGAAAACAATGTTAATCAGGTCTTAAGAATGCACTTGACAATGAATATTTTTTTGATGGCCAATATTTTTAATTTATTCAAAGCAATGAAAACAACAGCTGAGAAAATAAAGGCAGTTTTCGGTTTTATCATTCTATGAGTAGAATTTTTATTTTTCGAGGCCAAAAAGAGAAAGATTTTCGGATGTGAATGGGATCTCATCTGCGTTCTGCGGTTCTTCTGATCTTTTTAGAACGGAATATTTCTATTTTCAAAATCAATTCATGTTATTTGTTTTGATGCAAATAGATATGACACAATTTCTAGACTTGACTAGACAAGTGCTACATAAATCTATCTTTAGGGGCAGCGAACTTCGTAAACAAAAATCACAGTAAAAATCGGATCTATATGGAAGGCAGAATTTTTTAAAATCTTTAAATGACTATTGTGCTTTGACCTGAGGTGTGATTTTACATGTCTTAACACGTCAACACCTTCCTGACTTTTAAGCCAGGAAGGTGAAAAAAAAAGGCGACAGCGCCAATTTCTATTTCAAAATAACGTTCAAATTTCCAAAATTCTACCAAAAACACCATCCTTAAACAATCGAAATTCAAACTATGAATGACAATAGTTCGGAATTCTCTCGATTTTCTGGAAAGCTGAAATTTGTGGCAAAAATTGGCGGGCTTTTCCTTTTAAATTCAATCTCGACTAAACAACACCTCTGATTGGCTAGGTAAAATATCAACTCAGCTCTCATTGGTCAAGGAAACTACCGCGAATAAATATTTTCCGACTAGGACGTATTCGAATCGAGACTCGTGATTTGAGAACCTCTCGATCATCTTAATCGAGCAAGATTTAATCTCAAGTTCGATCTTGCACAAGTTATCACTGGAAGTAGGTTCGACGTTTCCTTGCATTCTTGTCGGAGTTTAACGTTCCTCGGAAATCCGCAAAATCGCCCATTTCCGCTGTAGTGTTATAACGCCACACACGGCGCTTCCCATTCTGCCAACAAGCACCAATTTTTATACTCGTCAGACTATCGTTTTTTTTAATTTTTTATTTTTAGAGGAAGGATTTACTAAGAGGAAGGACTTCCTGTTTTTCACTTGTGCGTGATATCGCTGTGAAGATGTGCTCAGCATGAGATCTACGGAGAACAGTTGACGACTGCTGAAAGGCAGCGTCCCGACACAAAGCCGAGTCACGAGAAATCATGTATCACCGTTGACCGAGCAGTTTGAGTGAAAACACCGCTGCTGGAACAGTAGAGAATCTTTTAGAGTTCGTTCAACAATAATGGCACCCTAGTGAGACCTTGTTTGATTTTATTTGTGTCATCCTTTGGAGCTGGTGTAGGAAGCAAACGTCGTGGCTGTGGACTCCACAATGGCTTCATTGAAAGTGGCAGTCCGTGCTCGTCCGTTAAACAACAGGTGAGTTGCAGAATTACTCTTTAATGTTGTTTTATTTTGCTTTTATTTCGATGCAACTTTAGCTGAATATGAGCTACTTACTACTTTTCTTGCCTCAATTTCTATTATTAGGGAATTAGAGCTCGGATCCAAATGCATAATTCAAATGGAGGGACAGAAGACAACGATATTCAACACGAAGGTAATAAGTAATGAGGAAAACTGCGATATTTTTAAATTTTTTTTAAAATACATCCCTACACGAGTCCAACAAAAGTTTTAAGTCTTCACGACTTAGAATGACATCCTAGTTTCTAACAGCGCTTTGAATAAGATTCCATATTTTACTCGTGACGTGTTCATTATCACAAGATCCACCAAGTCGCTTCAATTCTTGGAAGCGGTCACGAGTAAGGTCTTGAACTTATGTAAACAAGTTCTCTATCTACTGTTCGAAACACCGGGATTTATTTTATTTTACAACATAAATGGCATTTTATCGATTCACAAATAAACCAGAAGAAATTCGATCAATATTGTTCCTCGTCGAAGAAATCGGCGGGATTTTGGTAATGACTCTGACTACCGCGTTTCGGAAGTGCTCCGAACGTTTGTCCTCAACCGCAGTATATTTGAATAAGGGCGTTTTGAAGTATCTAGAGTTCCAGTTGATCATTTATTTGTCATCTATTGAAGCAAAGTTCAGGGCTAGGCTAATTTTGTAATCATGAACCGCGCGATGCGTTTATGTACGAAATTCAACCCAGAAACACTCTTTGGATTTATCAAAACGTTGTTCACCTGACAATATGAGATTCGCGAAGAAATTTCAAACCTGGCCTTTTTCTCAATGCAGAAACTGCGTCGCAGTGCTCGAAAGCAAAGAATAAAAGATTTATGTCTAAGCTAGAGCAGTGTACTTCGAATCTGCTTGTCTGCTTATTATAAAGTCTAATTGTTTTGTCGTTCATTTCAAAGATGGATACCCATGGGACTTGTTCCTGCTGTGATTTTAAACACGCCATTCAGTTTCTTTGCAAACACCTAGACCTTTTCAATTTCTTTGTCTGCCATGTTTCTTTTCTGACTGCTAATTTTTAGTTCTAAGTTTATTTTATTAAAAGTTAAAGATAAGAATGCACTCAGTTATGCCCAGGTATAGAATGTAATGGTTAATATTGCTTTTGACAGTAATTGTTTGTTGAGGGGAAATTTGAGTTGCATATAAGGACTGGTAATTGCTGACCTTCATCCCTTTGTGTTACATTTGTACATGTGCTAATCACACTTGGGTTCAGGTCACATTTCAATTTTACAACATGGCTATGTGATCTGATTTTTTGAAAAACCATTAATTTCATATACGGGGATTTTGAGAGGATAAATATCAATTTTTATTCCTTTCTCCTAGATAAAAATTATCACACAGTTATTTTGTGACAGTTATTCCACTTTTTAACTTGCTTTTTAACTGTTACAAATGATGTCAGGGTGTCAGTGTGATTGATGTCTAAAATTCCTGAGTGTCTAGAATTAAATTTGATTATCAAGTGTGAATGAATAGTTTTTTTCATGGCTTGAAATTGTTTCCTTTGCCATGACAGAGGGCAATCCTGAAATATCAGTTAACTTAACCCTTTGACTCCCAGAAGTAATTGACATGCAACTTTTCTCATATATATATATATTATATATATATATATATATATATATATATATATATATATATATATATATATATATATATATATATATATATATATATATATATATATATATATATTATCCAGCAAATAGGTAATGAGAATACTTAGATGTATCCTATCAAAGTTGTCATCTTGATCTAACATCAAATTCTTGTCACTAATTTACATGGAAAAGTGTAACAGTTATAGAGGAGAATTAACAATCAGATCTTGGAGTTAAAGTGTTAATGCATCTTAAATCTTAAATCTATATCAGAGTCAGTATATTTATTTGGTGATCTCACAAAATTTTCCTTGCCTTTTGATCCTAATTATTTCTGGTGATGAATAATAGTTCATGCTTTATACTACTTACTCTCATGAATGAAGGTTATCTTTCAACTGGATTTTGAGCAACTGAAGGGCACAGGGGTGTTGCTACTTCCTGTTTATACAAGTTGTTATAGATCATCCTTTCCGCCCCTCCTGTCAACCCTTCCAATCCTCCCACCCTCCACCCCTTTCATAGTTGTTTGTCATGTTTCCCTAGCCATTTACCACTACCCATTTATACTCCTGGGTGGAGAGAGAGGGGGAATGTTAGGGTAATAAGTGTCTTGCCAAAGAAAATAATACCATGATCTGGACTTTAAACTGTCTAAACATTTGAGTGACACAGGTGATATATGTTGTATATTTCCCCAGTTTTTTCTGATTATCATTTACTTGATGTAATGCAGACTTAAAAGCAGCTGAACATTGCTTTTTATTTTGATTAGGAATAATAACATTCCAAATGGTAGATTGCATGTAAAATGGATTGATGGTTGGGAGAAGCATTTCTTGCAGATATGTCTAGATGAGGAAAACCAAGAATAGACATTATTATTTGGTGACTCTGATGTATCTTCATAGTGAAATAAATATTTGGAAAAGTAAATATTTTTTTGTGCCATTTAAGCTGTATGGTGAGGTTGGATTGGAAGGAGACAAGTCAAGAGATATCAAGAAGGAATTTATCTTTGATTTCTCCTATTGGTCGGCTGACTCTAATGATTCAAATTTTGTTTCCCAAGACCAGGTATGTGCAAAAAGTTTGAAATTGATATTTTAGGAGGACACACTGTGTGATCAAACATGCATGGGTTTGTCAATATGACAATAACCAAGATCAGCATGAAATATGTCAAAAGTTCTATGAAATATGCACTATCACCAATATTATATTAGCTTCATAACTGTTAACATGTAGAGTAACTTTCTTTTTTTTGCAGGTTTTCAGTGACCTTGGTCAGGGAGTTTTGGAATCAGCATTTGAAGGTTATAATGCTTGTTTATTTGCCTATGGTCAAACAAGTGCTGGGAAAACTTACACCATGATGGGAACAAATGTAAGACAATTATGCTTTGCACAAATATTTTAACTCTTTACAATTACTCAATGCTAATCAATATGTAACAGTTGTACAATATTATTTAATGAGTTTAAGTGTGTTCTAATATAAAAAAACCTGTTTAAAAAAGATTTTTGCATCAATTCTCACTTTAAATATCCTTAACTATATACATGAATGAAAGCCTTTCAACCCATGAGATACATACTGTTATAATATTTAATATTAAATTTGAATAACAACTAGAATTAAAATGATAATAAATGCACTCTGGAGTATACTCTCTTTAACAAGTCTCCCCTCCCACTCCTACCCCACTGCCCTGTAAACTATACACTCCACCCCTCCCCGGTGGCTTTTTAGAGCACTTTTAGCAGTTCCGTTCAGATTATATGTCTTGACGTTCAAAAGTCATTATGTTGTAATGACAGAAAGGTTTTCTTAAGTTATTAACTCTATAAGATTTTTTATTTAATTTAACAATTTTTTTTATTTTTAGGAAGAAGTTGGACTCATTCCCAGAATCTGCAAGGTAATTGTATTATGCTTAGGGCTGTATTAATTTTAGATTTCCACTTGAGATCATTATAAATGGATTAAATTTGATATAGGGTTTATCAATAGAAACAAAATAACTCTCAGTTATAGACTGAAAATAAATGGGGTAAGTTTCTAAAGAAACTGTGATGCAGGGTTGGTGGGGCAGAATAACAAGATAATTTGGTTTAATTAATTGAGCTGATAATGGAAAATGGTCTTCATAAAGGTTTTCTTAGGCTGATGTTTTAGGTATGTGCCCTTCAAGAATATATGACCTCAAGTTCAGCCAGTATGAGACCTCATTTAACTGTGCAAAAACATGAAAGTCCATACAAGTTAATTGCTTTTGATTCCAGTTTTTGCAAGGGGGTGCTATAAGATTAATCAGAGAGTACACCACACTGAGGCCTGAGAAATTTAACATCTGTATAATATTCTATTCTTCACAGGGATTATTTGAATACATTAGCCAGAACACATCTCTGAGTTCATCATTCAGAACTGAAGTGAGGTAAGCATTGACTCACTGATATCATTTCACACTTTAATCTCTGAGAGTGACCAGTATCTAATTTCTCCTTTCAATATCACCCTGAATCCAACATTAAGGTCATGAGAATAAAGGAAATGATATTCAACTGAAGAACCTCTTGATTGTTAAACAAATTCTCCTTGCCAGTTTATTAGTAAATGTAAAGTGAACAGTATGGAGAATATGCATACTGATGTTAGGGTGTAAAGGGTTAAACTTCAATCCTAATTATCAACACTGTATTCAGAGTTATATATCCCCCATAAGACACTTTTTCTGTCACACCCCCCCCCCCCCCACCATGCAAATAATTTGCATCAGTGTGGCTTTTTATTTCTCTTGCTTTCAAAATTGTTGAGCCCTAAAACAGTTAAGAATAAAGTTTAAAAAAAAAAATTGGGGGGAGGCAGGGTAATGGGAGGGGAGGGGAAAGAATGTACATAGCAGGAAATTAAAAGATTACCATACTCATACTCAATTATTATGTTTTATTGTTGTTGCAGCTATCTTGAAATTTATAATGAAAATGCCCGTGACCTGTTGAGGCCGCAGAAGTTGAAGAAGCTTCCTCAGCAGAATTTAAAAGTGCGTGAACATCCTAAAGAAGGGCCGTATGTGGAAGGTAACAATTAACACACATTATTCACGTTCATTAAATTGCGTTAAGTTGTTTACATTGAATTAAGGCCATATGAATGAACTCTCTTTGTTTTTCACTTTCTGCAGGGTTGACAAAGCAACATGTTTCTGATTATGATTCAATTGAAGTTCTTATGGAACAAGGGAACAGGCTAAGGTTTGTACGTTAGAGCCACTGGGGTTAATCTGCTATTTCAAGCAACTTATCTCGAAGATATTTACCCCAGAAAAAAATTCAGGCTTTTTTCACCAATTGCTAAGCTCTGCTATATACGTTTTTACAATCGTGAATTTCACTTATCACTTACTTTGACTGACCGCTGACGAACAATTGTAGGCTGTGAATAGCTGTTGTTTGTGGTCTCAGTGGTAGTTAATTTAACAGCAGGAAGCGTGAATTTCACCTATCACTGACTTTGACGGACCTATAATTGTAGGCTGTGAGTAGCTGTTGTTTGTGGTCTCAGTGGTAGTTAATTTAACAGCCAACACAGAAACAAGCCAGCTAAAAACCTGTCACAGCGAAACGACAAAGGGCTGATGCTTGAAACGTTAGCTGTAAGGAAATTCTTCACGATGGCCGATTTACATTAACAACTCAGACGATAAAACCAAATTATCCTACTTGTCAATCAGTTCATTTTACCTCACTTCTACAACAGTCAGATATTTTTTCAAAGTTTTTTTAAGGAATGAGATATAGCCCTGCCAGAGACCTTTCTGTTACATGAAAATATCCTCTTGTTAACTGTGTATTTTCTCTTTCAGAGCAACTGCTTCAACAAAGATGAACAATACTAGCAGTCGTTCACATGCAATTTTTACAATCAAATTTACTCAGGTAGTGAAGAAAATCACAAGAATTTACACAAAGACTTAACCAACTAGGACTAAATTTATTATTAATTTTGTTGTGATTGTATCAAATATTTTTCAGGCCAGGTTCATGGGAGATATGCCCAGTGAAACGATAAGCAAGATACACTTAGTAGATCTGGCTGGCAGGTTTGTCTCTCTACATATCTCCGTTCTTTTTCTTCAGTTGTAGGTAGTAAATATTCCTCCGACTTATAACTTGTCTTGGTTTCATTTTCTAGTGAGCGAGCAAGTTCGAGTGGCGCTGCTGGTGAAAGGCTTAAAGAAGGAGCGAATATCAACAAATCCCTCGTTACATTGGGGATTGTTATTTCCACTCTTGGTAAACAAATCGTTCTTTTTATTTTTGCATAAATGACAGGTCTTATCAGGCAGTTCTTTCATTGGAATGCAGAACCTTCGCCAAGAAATCATCTTCTATTTTCAATGACTTTACCAGACTTCGCGTATCAAAATTTTTAATGCCTGTAAGAGAATTCGTCATAACTTAATCTCTCATCAGCAGCAACAAATGCGCAACCGGCTTAATGGTGGTAAATTTACCTAACTGTACTTTTCTTTTAGCGGAAAACTCTATCAATGCATCTTCATCTGGATTCAAGCGCCCTTCATTCAGGAAGAAACTGTTCGTACCTTACCGTGATTCTGTCCTCACGTTTCTCCTCAAGGACAGTTTGGGCGGAAACTCTAAGACCGTCATGGTTGCAGGTTGGTTTCTTATGGGGAAGATTTGATTTTGTTGTTAACTTGCATTCCTTGTGAGCGATCAATTTTTAAATGAATGTTTGTTTCTGTTCAGCCATTTCTCCTGCTGAATGCAACTACGGTGAAACGCTCAGTACTTTGCGGTATGCGCATCGAGCAAAGAGCATCATCAACATGCCGACAATAAACGAGGTAAACACTTCCTAAGTTACGGTTAGTTTGCATATTTTATGGTGAAGGGTTGTTTAATATTTTGAAGCAAGTCAGCGCGCAGGCAATAGTAAGCGCGAAGAATCGTGCAGCTTTTTCCAAGCGCGGGAAACCAAGCAGCTCATGCAAATAACTATAGCCTTTGGGCAGGGTGGAGAGTGGTTCCACTCTCTCTTCACCCAGCTTGAGGCTGGTGAAAATTGCTAGAAAATCACTGCAGCTGATCGAAGCCATCACTTGCCAACGTATTTTCCTCGCATACTTGAGTTCAGCTTTTTTTTATATTGAAAGTAAAGTTGTTTCGCTCGGGCTCCCATAGAATAGTTGAGAAGTTTCGTTTTCATAAATTCTAAGATTTTTTAAATTCTTTGCTAGGATCCGAACGTCAAACTCATCCGGGAACTTAGATCTGAAATCGAGCGTCTCAAAGCCCTCATACGAACTTCCGGAACGGGCGATGAGGTAAGTTTAGCCACACTTCGTGAATCATTCTTAATGATACCAGCATTGTTCAGTTTTTGACGCTAATTCCTTATATTTTCTGTCAGAAAAAGTCCTTAAATGACCCCATGAAAGTCAATCAGAAACTTCAAGAAAATCAGGCGCGCGTCGAACAGCTGACGAAAGACTGGACCGAGAAGTGGAAGGAGGCAAAATCGATCATGCAGGTGGGTGGGGAGGGGTCGGTTAGATTTGTAGGGAGCTGTCTGGCTTTGATAGCGAGGTAATTAGATCTTCTATGAACTCGACAGTGTGTTTTGTTCTTTTTTAAAGTGAAAATTAAAAAAACTAGGCGATTACGTCGCGAGGATTAACGATCATTTTGCGTTTTATTTTTATTTTTTAGGAGAGCGAGTTACAGCTTCGGCGTCACGGATCATGCGTGGTTCTCGTTGATCTGGAGCTCCCTCACTTGGTTCGCTTGGAGGAGGATCCACTCAGAACAGAGATAATGCTGTATCGTGTTATGGTAAAAAAAAATAACTGTGTGCAAATCAAGACAAAATAAATTTTTCTTTATAAAGTTGACGCTTTGATTGTCAGCCCAATTAAACTGTGGAAAGGCAACAGGCCCAATTTTCTACGGCAAATTGATTTTGTTTCTCCTGGAATATTATTTTCTGTAGCATGGAAAAACACATATTGGACGAGAAGATGCGCCAAACCCGCAAGATATCGGTAAGTCCACGATATTAGACGATGTAAACGCGTGTAATGAGATTTTTGCGTTATTCGCTAACAGTTCTCTCGTCTGCTTTGCAGCCATTCAGTTATTAAAACCGAGTTCTGTGAAAAGTGCTATGTTTAGAGGTAAACCATCTAGATGCTGATGTTACTTTTCCTTTTTCCTAGTTCTTGAAGGCGAAGATATCGACAAAGAACACTGTGTGCTGGATTTTGTCAAAGGGCGAGTCACGTTTGAGCCGATTTCTTCATTGTGTTGGGTAAACGGGGTGGCTGTGTCTCAGCCAACGAAACTAAACCAGGGTAAGTTGAATTTGTTCTCCTGTGAAACATCTTTGAGGATTTTGTCTGTGATCAAAATCCCGCCAAGCTGAGAGCTTCTTTTTTTAGGTTAATGTAATTCGGTCGCATATTAAGGAAATACTAGATTTTTTCCCATTATCATATTTTTGTGTCTGAAAATTTCTTCATCTCCAAGTAGAATTTTCTTGTTGATCATTGTTTAAACAGTGATATTTAATTATTGTAGAGTAAACGAAACCAAGCACTGCACATCATTTCTCGTAGGTGATGTTATTGTTCTTGGCAAGAGCGATGTGTTCAAATTCAATTTTCCAACCGAAGCGGCAAAACTGAGGGAAAAACGGCGCTCTGCTCTGTACACCACGGTGAGTTTTTCTCCCTATATCCGATGGCTGATTGTCCTCTCTGGCTGCTGCACATATGCTAAAAAATGAAGGCTTAACATCAAAAAAAAAAATACACAATCACGTAATCGCACAAGCTGTAGAGCGAGACCATTCCCGCGCGAACACGCAAGAGGACTGCAAGAAAGAAGGAACTCGTGCGCTTTCTTGGAAGAAACGACAGAATCGTAATGGTCTTTCTTTTTCGCCCCAGGAATCGACCGAGTCTTTGACTAATTTACATACCTCACCTGTCCGTGGTAGTCATGGAGACCTGAGTGTGAGATCCGATTCCTCTTCACCGATGACTTTGGACTCTGGGTACGAAGTTTATTCCATGAATCTTGCAAGCTTGTTTTAATTTAACATTAAAATTAAGAGAGGGGCATCGAGAGATAACTCATCATTACTCTAATTTCTTTCAGTGTTGAAATCGATCTTCCGGGGCCAGATTCTTTAGAGGAAATAAAGTAAGTTGAATTAGTTTCTTTTAAATTCAATCTCGTCTAAATTCTCATTTTCCTTAATCGGCTGGTCTGTGATGACCATGCCCATCTGAGCTGTGTTACTGCGTAATATTCTACAAACTCTTACGTTAATCAGCAGAAATTAAAATGAATGAGAGGACGGAGGGAAACTGTTGAAAAATATCCTCCTCTCTAACGCACCCCTCCTCCGAGGAAGGGAAACTTTGAAAGTGCTTTTTAATTTTTTTTTTGTATCAAAATGTGAATAGTTTTAGTTGCCGGGATTTCTTACGCCAGGGCGAAACTAGCTGTTCATCTAGGCTGTACCTCTAACGGTGTACATGGCTATCTATTTTTGCAGAAATCAAGTGACAGATTTAATCGCCAGACACAAAGAAGCAGAAGTCAGGCGGCTGGAGATAGAGAAAACCTTCCAGACTGAAATCGATAACAAGCAGAAAGAGATTGACAACCAAAAAGAGCATATTCAGACATTGCGCGAGATTCACGATGGAAAATCGCATAAAGCGCGCGAGGATCTGGAAGAAGTTCGACTTAACATGGACAAGAAGCACGAGGATTCGAGGAAAGAGATTGAGAAGCAGCTGGAGGATCTGTTCGAAATGAAACTTAAACAGTGTAGAGAAGCCGAAGAAGCCGCGGAAGAAATAGCAAAGGAGAGGGAAGAAGTGGCTCGTTTTATGGAGGGCGAATGGCAGAAGGTTGTTCAATATGAAATGAAATTGGCTGATATTGAGCTGCACCGGCGGAAATTGATTGCTCAAGCGGAGATCGAACGAGTCGGTCAAGAGGAACTTCATGCGTTGGAGATGGAGAATGATTTAAAAGGATTGGAAGAACAACAAGTCGAGTTGTTAGAGTTACAAGAGAAACTTGAAATAGCCAAGGCTGAAGCTGAGGGTGAATTAAATCGAGATAAACTGACCTTAGACTCGACTCTTGCTGAAAATTTAGCCGAACTCGACGAGTTAGAACAAAAAATCCAGCTAATAGCAGAAAAACATGATCAGTATATGACTTTCCTAAGCTCTGTAGACGATTCAGTGGGCTCGGAGGAAAATTTTGACGAAAGAACAGTTAACAAGATTGACTACAGTGACACGACACGGAGAATTTCAGACGCTGGTTTGACATCTAAAACTGTAGCTTTGGACTTGCGGCAACGCAGACGAGCCAGTTGGAATTTTCCATCCAGAAAATTTTCTGCCTCAGGGGGAGCGAACGATGATGCAGTAACACAACAACTGCAAAGATTGTTTGAGCTTAAAAACGAAAAAGAGGAGATAATCGAAAAGACACGCAGTGAATTAACGCGTGAGATCACAAATGTCGAGTTCTATGGACGGCAAATTCTGGAAAACGAGGCTAAAATAACTGAACTCGAAGAAATGTACAAAACATCTCGTCAACAACACGCAGAGAAAATTCGTCTGTGTTTGGAAAGCTTAAAAATTAAAGAAGAGCAAGACATTGCTTTGGTAGATCAAGATCGTGAACGTTATGTGGAACTTTTGTGGAAGGAGTATGGCGAGATTGAAAGTTTAATTTCAGAGACGTTTGAATCTTTGAATTCCAGCGATACGCTGGAAGGGGAAACAACAAGCGATGTCAGAGTAAATGATGAAAAGAAACTCGAAGTTCTAAATTTAGTGAAGAAAAGATTAAGGCAAATTGGTAGCGACGAAGATGTCTTATTCCTTGAATACGTCGCTAAACGAGCTCACTTTGAGAAAGACGAAGACAGAGTTCACGAGCAGCAAAGAAAGATCTCAGAGAAGATGATGGATGGTATTAAAGAGAAAGAAGTCGCTCTACTGAAACTTTCAGGACAAAAGGAACGGTTCCATGTGGAAAGAGCCAGAGAAAGGCGACTAATTACTTCGCGTATAGGAAGGCTGTCTCGTGTGAAGTCATCTGGTGATCTGCACAATGAAGAAGCACTGGAATTCTTTAAGGAGGAGGCGAGAAAACTTCGAGAGACGTTCGAGAAAGTGGAAGAAAGTGAAATGAGGTAAGGAAGGATTTAAAAGATCTTAAATTGTCACGTTTATGCAGCTTTAAAGTCGTGCGCAACGTTTTTCAAAAGAAAATCAGGGCTAATTTCTAGCTCGAATAAATGAGAGCCTGTGTTGTTGGTGCTTAGGTGAGTGGTCGTATTTGCATGAAACACTTTTTCGGTAAAGGGGACACGTCATAAAAAAACAGGGCCTTGTAATGCCTTCACGCGCGCCTTATCAACTCGCCTTCTGTTGGAACGTCAGGGGTTCAAATCCGCACAAAATAACTTACATTTTTTGGTCGAACTACGTTCGTGACAATCCGCAAAAACCTTAGTTCGTTTAGAGGCTGTCACTTTTGTTCATTTGAGTCTATTATAGCGGAGCTCGCAAAAAAAATAGTAGTAACCCATCAAGCCGAAAAAATTTGGATGTACGACCGTACGACCGTACAAGGTGCTACTTTTAACATGCGTGGTCAACTGTACCGCGGGCACGCCAACGCCACGGCTTTGTTCAGTAGTCCAGTGGTCAGTGCACTGGGCTCCGAGTCGGACGACCCAGGTTCTAGTCCTGGCCGGGGTAAGGCGTTGTGCCCTTGAGACGTGCGGGGAAAAAAAATGGGAGCTCCGCTTTTAGGCTTGGCTAAATCTATATATTATTTGACGTGGGTAGGCTTCAAAATGAGCGGCGGGAGAAAGAAAATATCCATCTGCAGCTGGAAGAAGCGCGAGCAAAACTACGAACCAGCGAGGAGGACAGAGAGGAATGCGAAGAGAGACTAAAGGATCTGGAAGAACAAAAACTTCAAAAAGAGAAAGAAATATCTGATTTGAAGAGACAAATGGAGGAAGAGAAACAAAGCTATTTGGACAATCTCAAGTAAGAATTGCTCAGTTATCTCCTTCTCGGATCTTTTCTTTCTTTAAGGGTAAGAAGGGCATAACTACCAGACCAGGTCTTCACGCGCATAGCCTTGACCAATCAGAAACGTAATGCTACATCTTCAGTGCAATTACTTATGCCCAGTCTCTTGCAGATGAAGAATTGAAGGCACGTTAATAGAATCCAGAATTCATAATTTAGAAATTTACCAAATAATTTTTGAGACAAAGAAAATAAACGTTACTGAAATAACGGAAAAACTTGTGTTCAATTGCTGGATGACCTCAGTCATTAGGCTCTGTGATCTCAGTAATAAACCCGATTCTGGAAATTGAAGTATTGGTTTGGACAAAACTGGAAACAATTGACAAAAATAAGTACGCAAAAATATGTACGAACCCGGTATGATATCTTACTTCGTTGCATTCTTCACCGCCCAAGATTCTCTGTTGGTTACCAATCACCACTGATGTTTTTCTTTGCAGAACTGAAGACTACGAAGTGATAGAAAAACCTCTTGGTAAGTTCATTTCGGCTTGGTCAAATCTCAACAAAATGATATGAAATTCTCACTGTGCGAAATTATTAATATAAACTAATTTTACATCTGCTTGCAGTAAATCGGCTTCACATTAAATTTCGTATTCTTGGTAACCACGCTGCGGCAGAGGTCTTAAAAGAGGTAGGTCACGGATTGATGCATATGTGTTTATTGGTCAGATGTCGAATTATCTCTACCGTGAGCAATACAGGTTCCTTGGATAGTTTGTGTCTTACTCAGAAGACATCCTTTTATTGTTGATTTTTTGGTTCGGCAAGTTGTCTGTTTTAGGCATCGACAAGGTTCGCACAGCCCTGATTTCCCAAAAGAGAACAGAATTTTCAAACTTGAAAATGGGAATAGTATGTGAAGTGGAGGCATAGCCTCATGAAATGAGCAGCAAGTTCTCAGTTACAAGGTGTGAATGTTTTAAAGGTAGCCCAATTTACCAAAATAACCTACTCTTGAATTAGTGCGATCGGACTATTATTAATTTTGGGGCAAACTCTCGACAACTGCGTTTCTGTTCAGATCATGTGACATGAGTCATAACCTTGAGTCTTGATGGTGAAAGTACAGTTTTGATAAATTCCAAAAATTATTCAACTTTCGCGCAGAAATGAATACGAACCCTGAAAATAATTGGTGATAATGCAAGGAAAAATATCAAAGAACGTTTTTCTTTTTCAGGCCCTACTTGCTTCAGGTCTTCCCGAGATGATCAAAACGGCACCGGCATCTTTTAGGTCTCCACAGCGTCTGACAAACGACTCTTCTCACGGTGGATGGACGTAAGAGCTATTTTTTTTTTCGTGTTTGATTGCAATGAATATTCTCCAGTAGAGATATAGATTTAGGATTCGAATTTGCAGCTCTGTCAAATAAGTGAAAAAGCCTCACAGGTGTTCGTCCAAAACGGAAAAAAAATTGTCACGGTTATAGTGTGACTATAGTAACACTTGAAACTATCAAATTGTCCCAAATATTCTTCCAATCCAACCGACTGTTTTCAGCAATCAACAACTTAAGAACTGCTGGACGTTTTAATTTATATACTTAAAAGTATTTATTCGATTTCGTATGAAGCTGGTGCCAGTGAAAGACCAAGTTCAATCTATATCTATCGCTATCCTTCCTGATTTACTTCAGTTTCAGGCAAATTTTAATGATTATGACTTGTGTGTCTCTTTTAGGTTTCACAGTATTCAGAAAGACGTCACTATCGTGCGGAAAAGGGAAGAGTGCAGTGGCAGTCTCCTACACTGGTAAGAGTGCTGTAGCTATTGATGAGTGAAAGAATAGATAACGGACAAAAAATACGTGGTAATTTGATTCTCTCTTTTTAGCTCAAGAGTTGCCATCTTTCTTACTCCATCTCCGGAACTGTGTGTTGATTTTTCAGTTTTATGGGGCGAGGAGTCATCCCGGCACCACCACCGACCGTGTGGGAGGCAGTCAAGAACCCGCTGTCCAGATATATTTACGACAACATGCTCAAGGTAGACATGTCGTGCATCAGTTCAGATTTGATAATTTAAATGACACAATCGTGAGACTGTTATATATATTTTTTTTTTTTTTTTTTTCGCTGAAGGAAGCTTACCTTATTTTAGCGATCTACGCCTCAACTTGTGTGTGTGTTTCTTTTTTAAATTTTTTTGCAGAAAATAAATATTGTAGAGCATGTGGAAGAAGGACTGAAAGTTGGTGAGTTTAGGCATTTTTTATGATAAGTGTTATGTACGTCAAAACAATATTCATTCAGTGCTCGAATCATTTTTGAAAAGTTTGAAACAAAAAAACGGTTGAAAGCAAATCATTTTCGACATTTAACTAACGTTATCAAATCAGAAAATGAAACGGATTAGAAATTTCAAGATGCTAGATAAAATAACAAAATGAAAACCAGTGAAAATGTAGAATGTTTATTAAACAGAGCGTCGCATAAATTACAGTAGCTTGGCTGTTTTACCATGAACCTGTGTCTCAAACTCAGAATCATTCCTGCTTAGATGTGTTGAACGTCGAAACTTTGTCTTTGCTTGACGTTTAAATTATTTTAGGCAATATTTAATCGCAGTATTTTACAACCAAATGTTTAAACGAGTCGCCCTTTTTTCTGTCTACTTGACAAATTGTTAGAATTATACTGTTGATCTTTCCTAAGAGACAAAAGGCTAATCATTTACATGCGGTCTAACCGAAATCGCGGTTTTACGCAAGCAGTGGGCCTTAGGTATTTTCTATAGGAGGGTTGATTTAATTGAGTAAATGTCCTTCCACTTTTAGAATTTAGCCCTCTAGACACTGATCACAAAATTGAATGTTCAGATAAAGGAGACGGATAAATTGAAAATAGTTTAGAGCGCGGTTCGTTAAACAACGGCTGAACTTTGTTTAAATAACCGACCCAAAGGGTTTGCTACTGACGTATGATGTTTGTTTGTCACAGTGTATATGCTTCATGAGACGTCTCAGTGCTTTATGACACATTCACGTGACTTCTGCTACGTCTCTAAAGAACGCGTAGAGGTAAGTTGAATAATACCTTTATCATAACGTGATTTTTTATGAGATCACAATGGTTGTTGGATATTATGTTGCTTTAAACTAAGGGACGGCCCATTACTTATCTCGCGGGGGGGGGGGGGGGGGGTCCAGAATATTCTGGTTGCGCCTCGATAAAACTTACTGCACCCCCATGACCATCTGTAATATTCATTGACCCAATCTTCGTTTCAATTTTCTTATATACTTGTTGCTATTTTATTGGCGACAACTGATCCCCCCTCCGTTTTCCCTGAAAACCGTGTGATCCAAAAATCCTTCAACTTCCCTCCCCCCTCTTCTTCGGCGATAAATAATGAACCTTCCCTGAAACGTCGTGATCTCACTCTTAAGTGTGATGAGTGTAGCCAATCAGAGCAAGGGACAATATTGCAAGGAACCAATGAGAACTCTATGTAAACATAAACAAAATCCTAAAGCGCGGGAAAACGCGGGTGACCGAGTCGCGATTCGCTTTAGATTTGCATTCATTGTTTGAGAGGGGGCGTAAGTTTCGAAGTCTAACCTCGGATTAAAAGTAATGTGTATCTGTTGCAATACCGGGGTACTTTTGACAATCAACTGAAAATGGCGCCGTTGTACCAATTTTTTTTGTTTTTGTTTTTGTTTTAGGGTGACAAGTACGTGCTTGCATCTCAGTCGATTGAGCATCCAAAGTGTCCTCTGACACCTTCAATCATCCGGGGACAGGTTGGTGATAAGAGCCTAGATGTTTCGTTACGTGAACGAAGAACCTGGATTGGGACCAGACCCACTCTGTGAAGAGTTAATTTCAGTGGGGGGGAGGTGGGGGGGGGGGCAGATTCGTTCCGTTCTCTGTTCTGCAGAGGGCAGCACTAGAATGGATAATTATGTATATTTCCGGGATAATTGTATTTTTCATAAAGATTTTATTATCTTGTCCAGTAACCAATATGGAAGATATCCTAGATCAGATAAAGCATTTTACGATTACTAAGCTATCTTTCTTGAATGTTCCAGGGCAAATAATTTAACATTATTATTTCTTTTCATACAAAGATCATGTCCAGTGGATGGATTGTAGAACCGTTATGTGTTGAAGGACAAGAAATGTCTCTTGTGTGGTACATCACCAAGGTGATTCTTTCTCTTAAAGTAGCTTCACTCTCACTCTATGGGAGACCCATGGCCCAAATGTTCAGCGCGCCTTTGTCTGAATCAAAGGTCCAAGCTTGAACTATTCCGGGTTTTAGTTGTGGTGTGTTTTTGCGTAAAACGCTGTCTTCTCAGGAGTATGGATGGGTAGCGATGAACAGTCAGCGCAGCTAGGACGATGCGATGCGACAAGCATTCCATCCAACAGGAGCAACACTACGCCTAGTCACTAAGTGCCACAGAAATTGATTGCCCTTAGCACTGAGAGGTTTAATTTATCAGTGTAGCTTTGCTTTCTACTTATTTGAAATTTTCTGTTTTCAGGTTCATCTTGGTTCTTCTACGCTACCCTGGCGACTGATCGACCTGCTATCCAAACGCCAGCCCCTCAGTATTGCGTTCTTACGGAGCTACTTAACACCTCCTTGACAATACTGATTAATGACAGCGCACGGCACCATCAGAAGTAAAGATGGCCGCTGGAGTCAAGATAAGGAACCCTTTGGCGTATTCAGAGAGATGAATGTATGTATTTCAGGAGAAAAAATTAACTCTACGTGTAACGTAAGTCTGTTTATCTCAGTCAGAATTATTGTGTTTACCTGCTTTAAGAAAAAGACATAACAAGAGTGTTATTGTGTGCAGCAGCTTGTTAATATAAATCGATAGATGTCATTAAATTCACTGCAGAAGACGTTTGAAGCATAGGCTTTGAACGTTTAAAGCAGTTTTCAATTGGGTGTCGAAAAATCAACCCAAACTAATTACGGCATCCAATCAGAAGAAAGCTTTTAAGCATTGTAAGTAGCCAATGAGAACGAGTGACTCACTCACGATTGTTTGTAGTTTAGGATCTGATTGGTTGAGAGAATGGGGCGAGTTTTCTCGACCAATCACAGAAAAGAGTTAAGTAAAAAGACCAAAGCAATTCCAGATGTCTTTCGACACTCAGTTGAAAATTGTTCTATAGTGTTAAAAATAACGGATTGAAAACAAATAGGAGTGTAAAACACTCAAATATTTAGTCCAAATTGTAATATTTTCTTGTTCACTTGCATGTTTCATTATGATGAAGGAATATTTTATCTAAGGATAAAAAAAAATAAATAAATAAAAATTTTTTTGTAATAGGACAAATTAATTAATATTTTGGGGAAGTAAGACACATTTAGAAATAGTTAGTGAGTTTAGAAGGAGCTTTCTCGCGATTTTAAATATATGGAGGATAATCGTGTTCTAGTAATTTTGATGTGCTTTTGTCAGTTTTCTATGCTTTACAGCCAATCACAAAGAGCTGGGCATTTAGAGGGCTGAATTAAGATGTTTTTGAACGGGAACACTTGTGATGTAATTGTATTTCTGTGCCAGTGGGATAAGATAAAACTAAATCGCACAAAATTAAAAAGATGCAAATCGCATATGATTATGTGGCGATCTGATTGGCTAAGTGGTTTAAAAAGTCAACAAGGATTTATTAAGCTTAGTCTTTGCGCCCAATTTAGAACTTAGTTTATTGTTGACGCGAACGGCAAAGATGTTTACCTTTTCAGATTTTCTTCCTTGTCTCCAAGCTGCTGAATATATGTGACAGAAAAGTAAAAGCATTTTTTCGCAACAAATGCGAAAGTTTAATTTTCTCAGAGCTCTGCTTAAACAAGACCCGGGTGCCAAAGGCGATAAACTTTTCCGTCTGGACAATTTGACTGACCGATGGCCCTTATGAAAGCTTTTAAGAGTTAAGCGCAGTTTATTTCTGAAACCAGATCCTCCAGGTACCTGGTGATTTTTCGATCTCAGGATTCAGCCTTCAACTTTATTTTCAAACGAGGAAAAGGCTGAATTGAAATTGTCACGGTTCGCCGTTTGTTGGTCGTGTCAATGTAGCTCTACATCTAAATCTTTCTCATTTTCTTCGAGCAAATGAGAAATGTTTTTTTGTTCCTTTTATTATTTAATTTATACAGAGTATTTGTGTGCTCAATGAAATGTCTGCCACAGAAACATTTCCGCGAAGAATACTTCTCAGTGAAATCCACTAATTAAAAAGTAAAAAACTGTACTGAAATTGTTTAAATTTATCCAAATTTCACCTCATCTATTATGCACCTTTTGTTTTCTCTTAACTTATTGCAATTATAATTCTGCACAGGTGTAAAGAAAATTTTGTTATGTTCTTGAGGTTCTCAAACTGAGAACAACGCGCTGAAACAGTTCTTCAAGTTAATTCCTAGGCTTTGGTAACATGTGATTTGCAGCTAGTAATAAAATACTAATTATTCGCCAGTTTTGATAAAACAGGGCTCTATATTTAATAACGCTAGGAGTACAAAAAACAGTTTGATGTTAATTAACCTTATTTATGCTGGAGTTTTCGGGAAATTATGATTACTTAGAAGAGGTGTCAAGCGTTTTTCGAAGCTACCCGCGGTGCTGAATAAAATTAAGTTTAATGAGAGTCTGGTTCGTTTGTTTTTCCTAACCTGTGTGCAGCTGCCCCCACCACTCTAAAAGAAGATAATCAGGCGATCGTCAATTCGTTTGCATAATCTGTATCACATCTGAGAAGCCAGTTCACAGTCCCAACGCTGAGGGAAACGAAATGATCTTTTAAAAGTGTGAATCTATTGTTATCGTGTCAAATAATGTAGTACTAAATGGAATTGTTCCGAGTTCAAGTAGGAGTTACTTTGGAAGCGAGAGCTTGTGTATCTAGCGAAGGCCACAAATCGTGTTAATTGTGAATGAGGAGGGCTTACCGGTAAAAGGAAATGGAAAAAAAAAACGGATCGTATTCGATGGTTTTTTTTAAACAAACAGAACAACAAATAAAATAAAAACTTCACATACTGGGCAAAATAATCCAGTGCCGGAATCATTATTCTTCGCGCTTTTGTTTTCTCAGTTTCTGAGAGGCGTTGAAATAAATCTTTCTAGTCTTCGAGCAAGTACAAGCGTTACTTTGCCTGCAATAAAGTTTTAGGCCCAGAGTAACGGTAGCCCGCGAGAGACGAGGAAGTGGTTTAGCTCTGCAGACAGCCAGCTTCCTTGCAGATCACTCGCCAGCTGGCTTTGCTAAGCTTACCTGCAAGCAAACGCTCACGCCGCAGCATTAATGAGATCGTGGCACGCCCGCAGGCAGGGGAGTAAATCACGAATTACCCGTGCAGCAGTGCCAAGCGCTTATGAATAACAGAAAAGAGTGACATGACTTAACTTATATGAAAATAAAAGGTTATCAATGATTGGCATGCTTAAAACTAACGTTGGATTTTTTAATCTTTTTTTTTATCCAGTTAATTTTTCGTTTTTGCTTCCTTTTCTGTCTTTTCCGTCTGTACTCTCTTAGCTGTAAACCTGCAAAACAGGAGCACTGCAATGTTTATGATTCCGAACTTAACTCGTTCTTTTGACTAATGGCGTTGGATATATGATTTTAAATCACAATAGTATTCAATCTAATGTGGATGCCAGGTAACCCGAAGAAACGTCCACGTTTCCAACAGCAATGTTTCGGTTTTGTCGCGATTGTTTCAGATAATTTCGCCATTTCGAAATAAGCGCGAATCACTTCGAAGTTGCACGAGTGTATAGAGAGTCTCCAATGAACAGTTAACATTTCATCCTCGTAACTACCAGTTGATTCAACAGTATAATTTGAGGGTGTAATTAACTTCGGTAAGCCATCCCTGCATTTGAATCACTTATACCTTTTTATATGCAAATAATCTTTGTGGGACGTTCAAAATAATAAAACTAAGGACTGCCAATCAATCTTTCAGTTCAAATCTTGTTAGCTCGTTAGGTAACGGAGTGGTGGCTTGAAACACCGCATGTCAAGACTAAGGTAAGCCACACTTTGTTGAGAAAATTCAATTTAAAAAATCATGCTCTTCACAGAATCATGAATTTGTATTACGAAAGGCGCAAAATACCAATTACATAACTTGCCGGTTCCCCTGTTCAATTCATGAGCTCTTTATTCTTGCAAGATTGTATGGAATATATCTCATAGGGTACTGGGAAAACCACATCATCCCTGGGGCATGGAAAAAGTGCTCTTGAGCCGAATTAGGTAATTTAAATCTTCTCATTCCTGAGTTCTTATATGAAATCACACGCAACTATTTTGATGGCGTGTTCTTTTATACCTGTGCTGCGTACACCAGCAACCTGCATTAGTTGAAAGAACGCAAATTCGCCTGTGTAAATAATATTATCCATAAACACTTCTCGCTCCTATGTTTAAGAATTGAAAGAAATCCCAAATCCTTAGTTTTGATACTTAACTGAAAAGTAGACAATTAATCACCGAAGTAGAGAAAATATCCAGCACTTTCACCGACACTGAGGTGAATAATCGTTTTAGCATATATCACACAGAAGCCAAAGAGAATTAAATTATTTCTGTCAACATACTAAGAAATGCTCGGAAATTACATTGTTGACACGCGATGTTTTCGGTTACTCGAAGGTGAATAGTTCTTGCTAATCACTTCTGAACCAGCCAATCAGGGCGAAGATAAAAAGCAGTATTCACTTGTGTGGTACGTAGTATATTATAATGACAAGAGCCCAATATGCCACACGACGAGCGGTCTGTGTCCCAGTTTGGATCTACTTATTACAGCTTGTCAGATATATATTTCTATTTAAATAAAAAAGTACCAGTTTTGGTCGGGGGCTCCTCGTGTAACCGAAAAAAGAGCAGATAGGGAAATACCCTCACCCCACCCGTTCCTCGTCCCCTTCGCCTTCCCTGTTTCCCAACACACACATGCGGACACACTCCTTCATGGCTTCATGGCCCCTTGCCAAACATGAGAGTTGCAAGGAGAATCGCGTTATTATAATCGCGTAGTTCTATTCATGGAATCTTACTCGGATCATCCCTCTATAGCAGGTTCTGAAGGAATCATCTGAACTCACTTTTTGAGGTTTTAATCTCATTCTGAGATTGTTTTAACTGAATTTTACCATCGAGGAATACTTCATCACTTATCGTCCGCAGGTAAGCATGAGCAACAGTCCAGCCAGTCGAGGCCCGAATTCATCTTTCATGCCTTTTTGACCTTTTTATGTCTGATTTAATCGCAGATCACAATTATCATTTCCCAGATTCTCCTCACAAAGTAGAGGACTTCTCTGGAGTGACTCATCATAGTGTGGTATAAACCTTGGAGTCATCGGAGGCTTTAATGTCATAAGATTTTGCTCATGAGCAAGGTGGTCCGCACTGCTGGAGCCTGAGTCTGTCGCAGTCTCATTAAGCGACCAGGAGTATTGTGATGAAAAGATAGTCCAGCGTATGTAACCCACATCATTTGATCAGATTTCTCAGACAGAACGCTATCGCGAAATTATAACCCCTGGGTGGAGAAGAGTCCCATTGGAGTCACGTTATCAGGTCACGTCATCTGTTAATATTAACCGTAATAAATTCCACCCAGGTTTAACTTGGTTTTTCGGATTCAGCCATTGATTGTAAGGAGGAAGCCACCATGGCTTCAAACACAGTAGATAACCTTGACTGTAAAAATGATGTCTGGAAATCATTCAAGGTACCGGAACTTTTAACCTTACGTAACTAAATATTCCAATCGATTTTAGTATACCACGGGTGTTGACAAATAATTATGCAGCTACGAGTTTTCGAGGCCGATCAACGAACTGCTTCTACAGTGAAAGTAGAAACAAACAGTAAGAGTCTCAGCCATGTTTTTGTTTCATTTTGGTCGAGTTATCTAGGGTTGCTGTGATAAATTATCATGGTTGATTAAACTTTCAAAATGCCACGCAGTAAAATAGGCACTACTGTAATATATGTAAACGACGATTACAATGAAAAGCGAAATTTGACTGGATTGTTAGGAGTGTAACTAGAAAGAATCTTGGGTCCCATTTTGGAGAAAAAATTCCGATTTCATTAACTTATGAGTTGAATTCAATCACCATTAAAATGAAAAGAACTGATCTTTCAATCTGGAGGGAAGCGATTTGTAGATCTGTGTTGAGGCGTATCCCAAGAAATGATACCTATATTTTTAGAAGTGTATTTCTGTAATCCTTCTCCGATATCATGCGAATGAGTCTCTGCTACAATAAAGTGTCTCTTGTCTTTTTAATATTTTCAATATTAAATACTCTTAAACAAAGAAGGCGATCTCACGGAATCACGCATTCTATTGTATCTGCTCGTGAGGAGTCTGGGATATAGACTAGAACGAGCTTTTCAGGAGTTACTACTTTACAGGCGACGAGCGGGGAAAGAAGAAGAGACCAAAGTACGAGTGGCCAGCGGGGAAACAAATTAAATATCTCATATAGAGACATATCAGTTATAGTTGCGGAAAACAATAGTGTTGCAAAGCCGAAATATCAACAGTATACTTCGCTAAATAAAATGTTAAGCAATATTTCAAAAGTGTTGATGGCACATATGTCTTTTACTGCTGTAATAAACAATGGAGACATCGAAAAAGGCATCGGTGGCATCCGGAATGGCACCAAGAAGAAATGTATTTACGTTTTGTAACTTGCAAAAAACAATCGTCTTGTAAAGCCAAAATATTACCAGGTAATACTTCGCTACTTAAAAAGTTAAGCAATTTTCCAAACGCTTTGACTGGAATAATATTTTTCTGCTATATTATCCAACGGAGGCATCGGGAAAGGCATCAAGAAGAATTATATTTACGATATGTAACTTGTTGAATGACGAAAAAAAGTATCTTGACTTGTTTAAGGCGTTAATCACGGTTGGTTTGCTTTTCACTTGAATTTTGCAATCTCGACTTTCGATTCCGGAAGAATGAAAAGCTAAGCAACTCTAAAAACATTTCGTTCTAGATGTTTATATTTTTGGAGTCATTAATAAGTTTGTATACACAGCCTTTATGTTATGTTGGTGTCTCTGTCCCCCTTCCCCCGCCCCACGTCTCTGTGAAAGGTATATCCAGACAACCTGTATGGAAAAACTAACCACAGCCATCGCACCAATTTTTTTAAAAAATCTTTAAAACTGAACTGGTGAGCAGTACTCTGCGAACAGAAGTTGTAAAACTTCTTTATTCCCCGACGCGTGTCGTCTAACTGCCGTAGACTTCTTCGGGGAGTTTTACAATTTAACACTAAACACCTGTATTTATAAGCCATAGTTAGCGGCTATACTGGGGCCAATGACCATAAAGGCTTGGCCGGACCTACGAATAGGAACAGGTGAAGTTGCGAAAAATTTGAAAATTTTTTGGGGCAAGGTGGGAGAATTCATTTGGGGACCACGTATGGGCGGCCGTCACCACCAAAAATACAAGGATGTCAAATAGATCAGCAAATAAAAAGATGGTGTAAGGATCAGCTGCAGGATAGCATAGCTAATAAAGGAATGGCATGGCCAAATTATAGACAGTCTAGTTTTCCTTTCTGAAACAGAACACCCTAAACATGAATAGTTTAGCCAAATGAGAAACGGTCTAGTTGCCCATGTTGAGTTGGAACATGAAATTGTGCAATGGACTAGCTCAATTGCGAATAGCTTAGCACTCATTTGCAATACAGTACACAAACGGTGTAGCGTTGCGTCAAATGGCTCAGGGTAATGTCGAGTAGCACAGCGTACGCACAAACGGTGTAGCGTTGCGTGAAATGGCTTAGCGTTATGTCGAATGGTACAGCGTACATACAAACAGTGTAGCGTTGTGTGAAATGGCTTAGCGTAAGGTCGAATGGTACAGGGTACATACAAACAGTGTAGCGTTGCGTGAAATGGCTCAGCGTAATGCCGAATGGTACAGCCTACACAAATGGTGTAGCGTTGCATGAAACGGCATAGCGTAATGTAGAATGGTACAGCGTACACACAAATGGTGTAGCATTACGAATAGCTTTGCTGAACATAGCTGAACATTAAATTGCTTAGCATCACACGAAATATTTCGATGGTGTGGCGAATTGTCGAGCTTGCTTGTGGCGTGACGTGAATGCTATCTCGCCGAAACCACCAAAAATACAAACCGCAAATGGAACAGCGATCTGCTGGGGGGCATGACGTCATGATCATCGAATGTGAAGACTGGCGTGAATCCATTACATAGTGTAGTCGCTGTGTGGAAGAGTGTTCACTTCGCTTTTCCGTAAAGCAGAGCCAATTCGGTAAGTTTTTCCTCTTTTTTTCCCTGCCGATATTGCATTTATTCGTTGTCGTTCATGATAGCGTTAATTAAAATAGCAACAAGACTGGATTCTACCACGTTTTACCGGCCTCCCGGTTTACCACAGTTTGCACGTGTTGGTGAGCCTGAATTTTTATAGTATTAAGTAGTGTTAAGACGTGCATTTAATGTCGATTGTCGAGCTCTCTTTTCTGTTTCTGACTCACGCTTACTTTTCAATGAGAGTTCAACTTCAACGGCTCTTTGGACATTGGAGTAGTACGTGAGAAGTTGGATTTTGTATGTGCTTTGGACGCCATGGTAAGAAAACTGATATCCTTGATCTGTTTTGACATTCTTCAATCAAACGTGTAGTGTTTGCCAAAGGAACCTTTTTTCCGAGTTGGTTTTGAGCACATACATACCCTCCTTGATGAGGCAGGTCTGCCATAAAATTAGTAAGAAAACGTTCAGACATAAAAGAGGGTGGTAAAGGGAAAATGGGGGGGGGGGGGGGAACGGTGCTTTTACAATTCAAGAAAAATAGAATCGGCTTCATAACGGGTGTTGAAAATATATCTAAGACATACTTAAAGTTACTTCCCACCTTCGCAGATGTCCTTCGGGAAAAATTCGTTCGCGCGCTAGTTTCACTAAAATCCTAACAAACTATATATCAGAAGAAAGCTTAATAACTGCAGATTACGATAAAAAATATAATTTAAGCGACTTTCTTTAACGAAGTGTCAAGAGCCGGTAAGGCGTGAAACGACCTAAGGTTCTTTTATTGAATTCATCGGGTATCGGATGCTGCATCATGAGCAAAATGGCTGCATAGTCTCATTCACAAGGCATCAATCAACAAAAGTGTGTCAGGCTTTTTCAATATTCTGATTGGTTGTGTCGATATCGGCATCTTTAGTTGGAGTAGCTAAAAATATGCGAACTCCTCCAATGTTCAAAGAACGTTGAAGTTGAACTCTCATTGAAAAGTAAGCGTGAGTCAGAGAAAGAAAAGAGGGCTTGACAATCGACATTTAATGCACGCCATAACACTACTTAATACTATAAATATATTCAGGCCCACCAACGCGTGCAAACTGTGGTAAACCAGGAGGCCGGCAAACCGTGGTAGAATTCAGTCTCGTTGCTATTTTAATTCACGCTTTCATGAACGACAACGAATAAATGCAATATCGGCATGGAAAAAAAGCGGAGAAACTTACCGAATTGGCTCTGCTTTACGGCAAAGCGAAGTGAAGACTATTCAATACAGCGACTACGCCATGTGATGGTTTCGCGGCAGTCTTCACATTCGATGACGTCATGCCCCCAGCAGATCGCTGTTCCATTTGCGGTTTGTATTTTTGGTGGTTTCGGCGAGATAGCCTTGGCGGCCGTCATCACCAAAAATACGAGGATGTCAAATAGATCAGCAAATACAAAGATGGTTTAAGGATCAGCTGCGGGATAGCATAGCTAATAAAGGAATGGCATGGCCTTCACGTCACGCCACGACGATTCGCTACAACATCGAAATATTTCAAGTAATACTAAGCAATTTAATGAATAAAGGGGTAAGTTTCTAAAGAAACTGTGGTGCTGCGTCGGTGGGAGAGTATTGCAGGTAATTTAGTGTTAACAACTGGGTTGAAAACGTAAATTAGCCACCGTAAAGGGTAAAAAAGCTGACGTTTCGAGCGTTAGCACTTCGTCAGAGCGATAGACGAAGGGCTAACGCTCGAAACGTCAGCTTTTTTACCCTTTACGGTGGCTAATTTACGTTTTCAACCCAGTTGTTAACACTAAATTACCTGCTAAGCAATTTAATGTTCAGATAGAGCGTCTGATGTTCTGCAAAGCTATTCGACCTAACACTACACTATTTGTGTCTACGCTGTACCATTCTGCATTAAGCTGAGCCATTTCACGCAACGCTACACCATTTGTGTGCACGCTGTACCATTCGACATTATGCTAAGCCACTTCACGCAACGCTACACTGTTTGTATGTCGCTGTGCCGCTATACACCATATGTGTACGCTGTACCATTCGACATTATGCTGAGCCATTTCACGCAACGCTACATCGTTTGTGCGTACGCTATGCTACTCAACGTTACCCCGAGCCATTTGACGCAACGTGACACCGTTTGAGTACTGTACTGCAAATGAGTGCTAAGCTATTCGCAATTGAGCTAGTCCATTTCACAATCTCATGTTCCAACTCGACATGGGCAACTAGACCGTTTATCATTTGGCTAAACTATCCATGTTTAGGGTGTTCAGTGTTTCACGAAGGAAAACTAAACCATCTATACTTTGTCCATGCCATTCCTTTATTAGCTATTCTATCCTGCAGCTGATCTTTAGACCATCTTTGTATTTGCTGATCTATTTGACATCCTTGTATTTTTGGTGGTGACGGCCGCCCATACCCACGGTTTTGGTTTTCTTATTTCGTCACGCACGTCACGCAGCAAGTTACAAAACGTAAATAAAATTCTCCTTGGTGCCTTTCTGGATGCCACCGATGCCTTTTCCGATGCCTCCATTGTTTATTACAGCAGTAAAAGATCATGCCATCAACACTTTTGAAATATTACTTAACATTTTATTTAGCGAAGTATACTGTTGATATTTGGGCTTTACAGCACTATTGTTTTCCGCAACTATAACTGATATGTCTTTATATGAAGTATTGAATTTGTTTTCCGCTGGCCACTCGTATTTCGATCTTTTCCTCTTCCCCCACTCGTCGCCCGTGAGGTAGTAATTTCCGGGGTGGTAGTTTTCAGCTAATGCGATAGAGTGAACCCATCTCTACGATAAATATTTTATTTCTTGTATCCTTTGTTAGGGAATAATTAGCGTCATTGCAACGTAGACTTATCATGGTAAGCCGTGAGATGCGATGGACTTGTGAATGTTCTTTTTCTGTCGCGAGCAAAGTGGTGACTGTGTTTGATTATTCGTTTGTTTTAGACGACGTCTGTAGATCAAAAGGCAGACCCTGAAGTCGAACTCAAATCTCTCGCTCGTAGAGATACCTTTGAACGAATGGACTCTGAATTGAAGATTTTACTTGAAACAGCACCAGAAGACAAGAAGGAGGTAATGTCTCTCTGAACTGTATTTGTAGAGCTTTTAGTGTTGCAAACCACCTTCAAGGTCTTAAATCTAAACAGCTGTGCAATTCAAAGGTAGTGTAAACACTGATACTGGCTTATCGCGGCTTATCATGTTACTGGAGGTAATTAATTCTTACCTGTGTCCAAAATGTGAATTTAGGGATGCACAGTTATAAAGATAAATAGCTTATCCTATCAGGGGAACAGAAAGTTTCTCCCGATAATATACCTCGGGTACAAGGACTTCAAAGTCATACCTCAATATTGCCTTGCATTCCAAGGTATTTGCTTTTCTTTAAATATTTATTCAAGGTTTATATTTTTTTTACAGAGGATAATCTTTGTCTTCGTTGATTATGATTTGAGAAAGAGAGAAAAAGTTTGAAAACACACTCACAAGTGGAATATATGTTTGATTTCATCCTAAGATCATTCAATCAAAACAATCCAATTTAATCTTTACCATGATGGTTAATGTATCCATAACTAATTGAGACCGGTCACTGATTTCGCCCTGTTGAAAATATGCATTTCGTTTAAAAAGTTTCTAATCATGGTTCTTGTCAATCTGGATCGACGATCATTTTGCGTTTTATTTTCATTGTTTAGGAGAGCGAGTTACAGCTCCAGCGTCACGGATCATGCAAGGATCTTGTTGATCTGGAGCTCCCTCACTTAGTTCGCTTGGAGGAGGATCCACTCAGAACAGAGATAATGCTGTATCGTGTTATGGTAAGAGAATAAGTTTTTGAAAATCAAGACAAAATAAATTTTTCTTTATAAAGTTGACGCTTTGATCGTCAGCCCTTAGTAAGGGTAAAATTGCATAAAAACCATATTTGTGGTTCTTCAAATTGATTTTGTTCCACCTGTTATATTATTTTCTGTAGCATGGAAAAACACACATTGGACGAGAAGATGCGCCAAACCCGCAAGATATCGGTAAGTCCACGATATTAGACGACATAAACGCGTGTAATGAGATTTTTGCGTTATTCGCTAACAGTTCTCTCGTTTGCCTTGCACCCATTCAGTTATTTAAACCGAATTCTGTGAAAAGTGTTATGTCAGAGGTAAACCATCTGGATGTTGATGTTACTTTTCCTTTTTCCTAGTTCTTGAAGGCGAAGACATCGACAAAGAACACTGTGTGTTGGATTTTGTCAAAGGGCGAGTCACGTTTGAGCCGATTTCTTCATTGTGTTGGGTAAACGGGGTGGCTGTGTCTCAGCCGACAAAACTAAATCAGGGTAAGTTGAATTTGTTCTCCTGAAAACATCTTTGAGGATTTTTTCTGTGATCAAAACCCCGCCAAGCTGAGGGCTTCTTTTACATTGACATTTTTTTAGTTTAATATAATTTGGTCGCATATTAGGGAAATGTTAGATTTTTTCCCATTATCATATTTTGTGTCTGTAAATTTCTTCATCTCCAACTCGTATTCTCTTGTTGATCATTGTTTAAGCAGTGATATTCAATTATTGTAGAGTAAACGGAACCAAGTACTGCACATCATTTCTCGTAGGTGATGTTATTGTTCTTGGCAAGAGCGATGTGTTCAAATTCAATTTTCCAACCGAAGCGGCAAAAGTAAGTGAAAAACGGCGCTTTGCTTTGTACACCACGGTGAGGTTTTCTCGCTTTATCCGATGGCTGATTGTTCTCTCTGGCTGCTGCACACGCTGAGAAATTAAGGCCCTAACATCAACAAAACAATACGCAAACACGTAATCGTGCAAGCCGTAGAGCGAGAGCATTCCCGCGCGAACACGTAAGAGGACTGCAAGAAAGAAGGAACTTGTGCGCTTTCTTGGAAGAAACGACAGAATCGTAATGGTCTTTCTTTTTCGCCTTAGGAATCGACCAAGTCTTTGGGTAATTTGCATATCTCACCTGTCCGTGGTAGTCATGGAGACCTGAGTGTGAGATCCGATTCCTCTTCACCGATGACTTTGGACTCTGGGTACGAAGTTGATGAATCTTGCAAGCTTGTTTTGATTTAACACTAAAATCAAGGGAGGGGCATCGAGAGATAACTCATCATTACTCTAATTTCTTTCAGTGTTGAAATTGATCTTCCAGGGCCAGATTCTTCAGAGGAAATAAAGTAAGTTAAATTAGTTTCTTTTAAATTCAATCTCGCCTAAATTCTCATTTTCCTTAATCGGCTGGTCTGTGATGACCATGCCCATCTGAGTTGTGTCAGGACGTAATATTCTACAAACTCTTACGTTAATCAGCAGAAATTAAAACGAATGTTTGGACGGAGGGAAAATGTTGAAAAATAGCCCACTCGCTAACGCCACCCCTCCTTTGAGGAAGGGAAACTTTCAAAGTGCTTTTTAAATATGTTTTTTTTAATCAAAATGTGAATAGTTGTAGTTGCCGGGATTTCTTACGCCAGGGCGAAACTAGCTGTTCATCTAGGCTGTGCCTCTAACGGTGTACATCGTTATCTATTTTTGCAGAAATCAAGTGACAGATTTAATCGCCAGACACAAAGAAGCAGAAGTCAGGCGGCTGGAGATAGAAAAAACCTTCCAGACTGAAATCGATAACAAGCAGAAAGAGATTGACAACCAAAAAGAGCATATTCAGACATTGCACGAGATTCACGATGGAAAATCACATAAAGCGCGCGAGGATCTGGAAGAAGTTCGACTTAACATGGACAAGAAGCACGAGGATTCGAGAAAAGAGATTGAGAAGCAGCTGGAGGATCTGTTCGAAATGAAACTTAAACAGTGTAGAGAAGCCGAAGAAGCCGCGGAAGAAATAGCAAAGGAGAGGGAAGAAGTGGCTCGTTTTATGGAGGGCGAATGGCAGAAGGTTGTTCAATATGAAATGAAATTGGCTGACATTGAGCTGCACCGGCGGAAATTGATTGCTCAAGCGGAGATTGAAAGAGTCCGTCAAGAGGAACTTCATGCGTTGGAGATGGAGAATGATTTAAAAGGATTGGAAGAACAACAAGTCGAGTTGTTAGAGTTACAAGAGAAACTTGAAATAGCCAAGGCTGAAGCTGAGGGTGAATTAAATCGAGATAAACTGACCTTAGACTCGACTCTTGCCGAAAATTTAGCCGAACTTGACGAGTTAGAACAAAAAATTCAGCTAATAGCGGAAAAACACGATCAGTATATGACTTTTCTAAGCTCTGTAGACGATTCGGTTGGCTCGGAGGAAAATTTTGACGAAAGAACAGTTACCAAGGTTGACTACAGTGATGAGACACGGAGAATTTCAGACGCTGGTTTGACATCTAAAACTGTAGCTTTGGACTTGCGGCAACGCAGACGAGCCAGTTGGAATTTTCAATCCAGTAAATTGTCTGCCTCAGGGGGAGCTAACGATGATGCAGTAACACAACAACTGCAAAGATTGTTTGAGCTTAAAAACGAAAAAGAGGAGATAATCGAAAAGACACGCAGTGAATTAACGCGTGAGATCACAAATGTCGAGTTCTATGGACGGCAAATTCTGGAAAACGAGGCTAAGATAACTGAACTCGAAGAAATGTACAAAGCATCTCGTCAGCAACACGCAGAGAAAATTCGTCTGTGTTTGGAAAGCTTAAAAATTAAAGAAGAGCAAGACATTGCTTTGGTAGACCAAGATCGTGAACGTTATGTGGAACTTTTGTGGAAGGAGTATGGCGAGATTGAAAGTTTAATTTCAAAGAAGTTTGAATCTTTGAATTCCAGCGACACGCTGGAAGGGGAAACAGCAAGCGATGTCAGAGCAAGCGATGAAAAGAAACTCGAAGTTCTAAATTTAGTGAAGAAAAGATTAAGGCAAATTGGTAGCGACGAAGATGTCTTATTCCTTGAATACGTCGCTAAACGAGCTCACTTTGAGAAAGACGAAGACAGAGTTCACGAGCAGCAAAGAAAGATCTCAGAGAAGATGATGGATGGTATTAAAGAGAAAGAAGTCGCTCTGCTGAAACTGTCAGGACAAAAGGAACGGTTCCATGTGGAAAGAGCCAGAGAAAGGCGACTAATTACTTCGCGTATAGGAAGGCTGTCTCGTGTGAAGTCATCTGGTGATCTGCACAATGAAGAAGCACTGGAATTCTTTAAGGAGGAGGCGAGAAAACTTCGAGAGACGTTCGAGAAAGTGGAAGAAAGTGAAATGAGGTACGGAAGGATTTAAAATATCTTAAAAATTTAGCTTTAAAATCGTGTGCAACGTTTTTCAAAAGAAAATCAGGGCTAATTTCTTGCTCGAATAAATGAGAGCCTGTGTTGTTGGTGCTTAAGTGAGTGGTCGTATTTGCATGAAACACTTTTTCGGTAAAGGGGACACGTCATAAAAAAACAGGGCCTTGTAATGCCTTCACGTGCGCCTTATTAACTCGCCTTCTGTTGGAACGTCAGGGGTTCAAATCCGCACAAAACAACTTACATTTTTCGGTCAAACTACGTTCGTGACAATCTGCAAAAACCTTAGTTCGTTTAGAGGCTGTCACTTTTGTTTATTTGAGTCTATTATAGCGGAGCTCGCAGAGCGTAGCTCCATAATTATACAAAATAGTAGTAACCCATCAAGCCGAAAAAATTTGGATGTACGACCGTACGACCGTACAAGGTGCTACTTTTAACATGCGTGGTCAACTGTACAGCGGGCACGCCAACGCCACGGCTTTGTTCAGTAGTCCTGTGGTCAGTGCACTGGGCTCCGAGTCGGAAGACCCAGGTTCTAGTCCTGGTCTGGGCAAGGCGTTGTGCCCTTGAGACGTGCGGGAAAAAAAAATGCGAGCTCTGCTTTTATGCTTGGCTAAATCTATATATTATTTGACGTGGGTAGGCTTCAAAATGAGCGGCGGGAGAAAGAAAATATCCATCTGCAGCTGGAGGAAGTGCGAGCAAAACTACGAACCAGCGAGGAGGACAGAGAGGAATGCGAGGAGAGACTTAAGGATCTGGAAGAACAAAAACTTCAAAAAGAGAAAGAAATATCTGATTTGAAGAGACAAATGGAGGAAGAGAAACAAAGCTATTTGGATAGTCTCAAGTAAGAATTGCTTAGTTGTCTCCTTCCCAGATATTTTCTTTCTCCTAAGAGTGGGAAAGGCATAGCTACCAGATTAGGCATCAGCGCGCATAGCCTTAACCAATCAGAAACGTAATGCTACATCTTGAGTGCAATTACTTATGCCCAGTCTCTTGCAGATGAAGAATTGAAGGCACGTTAATAGAATCCAGAATTCATAATTCAGAAATTTGCCAAATAATTTCTGAGACAAAGAAAATAAACGTTACTGAAATAACGGAAAAACTTTTGTTAAATTACTGGATGGCCTCAGTCATCAGGCTCTGTGATCTCAGTAATAAACCCGATTCTGGAAATTGAAGTATTGGTTTGGACAAAACTGGAAACAATTGACAAAAATAAGTACGCAAAAATATGTACGAACCCGGCATGATATCTTACTTCGTGTTGAATTAAAAAGTTGCATTCTACACCGCCCAAGATTCTCTGTTGGTTACCAATGACCACTAATGTTTTTCTTTGCAGAACTGAAGACTACGAAGTGATAGAAAAACCTCTTGGTAAGTTCATTTCGGCTTGGTCAAATCTCAACAAAATGATATGAAATTCTCACTGTGCGAAATTATTAATGTAAACTAATTTAACATCTGCTTGCAGTAAATCGGCTTCACATTAAATTTCGTATTCTTGGTAACCACGCTGCGGCAGAGGTCTTAAAAGAGGTAGGTCACGGATTGATGCATAGGTGTTTATTGGTCAGATGTCGAATTATCTCTACCGTGAGCAATACAGGTTCCTTGAATAGTTTGTGTCTTACTTAGAAGACATCCTTTTATTGTTTTTTTTTCGGCAAGTTGTCTGTTTTAGGCATCGACAAGGTTCGCACAGCCCTGATTTCCCAAAAGAGAACAGAATTTTCAAAATTGAAAATGGGAATAGTATGTGAAGTGGAGGCATAGCCTCATGAAATGAGCAACAAGTTCTCAGTTACAAGGTGCGAATGTTTTAAAGGTAGCCCAATTTACCAAAATAACCTTCTCTTGAATTAGTGCGATCGGACTATTATTAATTTTGGGGCAAACTCTCGACAATTGCGTTTCTGTCCAGATCATGTTACATGAATCATAACCTTGAGTCTTGATGGTGAAAATACAGTTTTGATAAATTACAAAAATTATTCAACTTTCGCGCAGAAATGAATACGAACCCTGAAAAATAATTGCTGATAATGCAAGGAAAAATATCAAAGAACGTTTTTCTTTTTCAGGCCCTAATTGCTTCAGGTCTTCCCGAGATGATCAAAACGGCACCGGCATCTTTTAGGTCTCCACAGCGTCTGACAAACGACTCTTCTCACGGTGGATGGACGTAAGAGCTTTTTTTTTTTTTTTTTCGTGTTTGATTGCAATGAATATTCTCCTGTAGAGATATAGATTTAGGATTCGAATTTGCAGCGCTGTCAAATAAGTGAAAAAGCCTCACAGGTGTTCGTCCAAAACGGAAAAAAAATTGTCACGGTTATAGTGTGACTATAGTAACACTTGAAACTATCAAATTGTCCCAAATATTCTTCCAATCCAACCGACTGTTTTCAGCAATCAACAACTTAAGAACTGCTGGACGTTTTAATTTATATACTTAAAAGTATTTATTCGATTTCGTATGAAGCTGGTGCCAGTGAAAGACCAAGTTCAATCTATATCTATCGCTATCCTTCCTGATTTACTTCAGTTTCAGGCAAATTTTAATGATTATGACTTGTGTGTCTCTTTTAGGTTTCACAGTATTCAGAAAGACGTCACTATCGTGCGGAAAAGGGAAGAGTGCAGTGGCAGTCTCCTACACTGGTAAGAGTGCTGTAACTATTGATGAGTGAAAGAATAGATAACGGACAAAAAATACGTGGTAATTTGATTCTCTCTTTTTAGCTCAAGAGTTGCCATCTTTCTTACTCCATCTCCGGAACTGTGTGTTGATTTTTCAGTTTTATGGGGCGAGGAGTCATCCCGGCACCACCACCGACCGTGTGGGAGGCAGTCAAGAACCCGCTGTCCAGATATATTTACGACAACATGCTCAAGGTAGACATGTCGTGCATCAGTTCAGATTTGATAATTTAAATGACACAATCGTGAGACTGTTATATATATATCTATATATATATTTTTTTTTTTTGTTTTCGCTGAAGGAAGCTTACCTTATTTTAGCGATCTACGCCTCAACTTGTGTGTGTGTTTCTTTTTAAATTTTTTTGCAGAAAATTAATATTGTAGAGCATGTGGAAGAAGGACTGAAAGTTGGTGAGTTTAGGCATTTTTTATGATAAGTGTTATGTACGTCAAAACAATATTCATTCAGTGCTCGAATCATTTTTGAAAAGTTTGAAACAAAAAAACGGTTGAAAGCAAATCATTTTCGACATTTAACTAACGTTATCAAATCAGAAAATGAAACGGATTAGAAATTTCAAGATGCTAGATAAAATAACAAAATGAAAACCAGTGAAAATGTAGAATGTTTATTAAACAGAGCGTCGCATAAATTACAGTAGCTTGGCTGTTTTACCATGAACCTGTGTCTCAAACTCAGAATCATTCCTGCTTAGATGTGTTGAACGTCGAAACTTTGTCTTTGCTTGACGTTTAAATTATTTTAGGCAATATTTAATCGCAGTATTTTACAACCAAATGTTTAAACGAGTCGCCCTTTTTTCTGTCTACTTGACAAATTGTTAGAATTATACTGTTGATCTTTCCTAAGAGACAAAAGGCTAATCATTTACATGCGGTCTAACCGAAATCGCGGTTTTACGCAAGCAGTGGGCCTTAGGTATTTTCTATAGGAGGGTTGATTTAATTGAGTAAATGTCCTTCCACTTTTAGAATTTAGCCCTCTAGACACTGATCACAAAATTGAATGTTCAGATAAAGGAGACGGATAAATTGAAAATAGTTTAGAGCGCGGTTCGTTAAACAACGGCTGAACTTTGTTTAAATAACCGACCCAAAGGGTTTGCTACTGACGTATGATGTTTGTTTGTCACAGTGTATATGCTTCATGAGACGTCTCAGTGCTTTATGACACATTCACGTGACTTCTGCTACGTCTCTAAAGAACGCGTAGAGGTAAGTTGAATAATACCTTTATCATAAAGTGATTTTTTATGAGATCACAATGGTTGTTGGATATTATGTTGCTTTAAACTAAGGGACGGCCCATTACTTATCTCGCGGGGGGGGGGGGGGGGGGGGTCCAGAATATTCTGGTTGCGTCTCGATAAAACTTACTGCACCCCCATGACAATCTGTAATATTCATTGACCCCATCTTCGTTTCAATTTTCTTATATACTTGTTGCTATTTTATTGGCGACAACTGATCCCCCCTCCGTTTTCCCTGAAAACCGTGTGATCCAAAAATCCTTCAACTTCCCTCCCCCCTCTTCTTCGGCGATAAATAATGAACCTTCCCTGAAACGTCGTGATCTCACTCTTAAGTGTGATGAGTGTAGCCAATCAGAGCAAGGGACAATATTGCAAGGAACCAATGAGAACTCTATGTAAACATAAACAAAATCCTAAAGCGCGGGAAAACGCGGGTGACCGAGTCGCGATTCGCTTTAGATTTGCATTCATTGTTTGAGAGGGGGCGTAAGTTTCGAAGTCTAACCTCGGATTAAAAGTAATGTGTATCTGTTGCAATACCGGGGTACTTTTGACAATCAACTGAAAATGGCGCCGTTGTACCAATTTTTTTTGTTTTTGTTTTTGTTTTAGGGTGACAAGTACGTGCTTGCATCTCAGTCGATTGAGCATCCAAAGTGTCCTCTGACACCTTCAATCATCCGGGGACAGGTTGGTGATAAGAGCCTAGATGTTTCGTTACGTGAACGAAGAACCTGGATTGGGACCAGACCCACTCTGTGAAGAGTTAATTTCAGTGGGGGGGGGGGCAGATTCGTTCCGTTCTCTGTTCTGCAGAGGGCAGCACTAGAATGGATAATTATGTATATTTCCGGGATAATTGTATTTTTCATAAAGATTTTATTATCTTGTCCAGTAACCAATATGGAAGATATCCTAGATCAGATAAAGCATTTTACGATTACTAAGCTATCTTTCTTGAATGTTCCAGGGCAAATAATTTAACATTATTATTTCTTTTCATACAAAGATCATGTCCAGTGGATGGATTGTAGAACCGTTATGTGTTGAAGGACAAGAAATGTCTCTTGTGTGGTACATCACCAAGGTGATTCTTTCTCTTAAAGTAGCTTCACTCTCACTCTATGGGAGACCCATGGCCCAAATGTTCAGCGCGCCTTTGTCTGAATCAAAGGTCCAAGCTTGAACTATTCCGGGTTTTAGTTGTGGTGTGTTTTTGCGTAAAACGCTGTCTTCTCACCATGCCCCTCTCTACTCAGGAGTATGGATGGGTAGCGATGAACAGTCAGCGCAGCTAGGACGATGCGATGCGACAAGCATTCCATCCAACAGGAGCAACACTACGCCTAGTCACTGAGTGCCACAGAAATTGATTGCCCTTAGCACTGAGAGGTTTAATTTATCAGTGTAGCTTTGCTTTCTACTTATTTGAAATTTTCTGTTTTCAGGTTCATCTTGGTTCTTCTACGCTACCCTGGCGACTGATCGACCTGCTATCCAAACGCCAGCCCCTCAGTATTGCGTTCTTACGGAGCTACTTAACACCTCCTTGACAATACTGATTAATGACAGCGCACGGCACCATCAGAAGTAAAGATGGCCGCTGGAGTCAAGATAAGGAACCCTTTGGCGTATTCAGAGAGATGAATGTATGTATTTCAGGAGAAAAAATTAACTCTACGTGTAACGTAAGTCTGTTTATCTCAGTCAGAATTATTGTGTTTACCTGCTTTAAGAAAAAGACATAACAAGAGTGTTATTGTGTGCAGCAGCTTGTTAATATAAATCGATAGATGTCATTAAATTCACTGCAGAAGACGTTTGAAGCATAGGCTTTGAACGTTTAAAGCAGTTTTCAATTGGGTGTCGAAAAATCAACCCAAACTAATTACGGCATCCAATCAGAAGAAAGCTTTTAAACATTGTAAGTAGCCAATGAGAACGAGTGACTCACTCACGATTGTTTGTAGTTTAGGATCTGATTGGTTGAGAGAATGGGGCGAGTTTTCTCGACCAATCACAGAAAAGAGTTAAGTAAAAAGACCAAAGCAATTCCAGATGTCTTTCGACACTCAGTTGAAAATTGTTCTATAGTGTTAAAAATAACGGATTGAAAACAAATAGGAGTGTAAAACACTCAAATATTTAGTCCAAATTGTAATATTTTCTTGTTCACTTGCATGTTTCATTATGATGAAGGAATATTTTATCTAAGGATAAAAAAAAATAAATAAATAAAAATTTTTTTGTAATAGGACAAATTAATTAATATTTTGGGGAAGTAAGACACATTTAGAAATAGTTAGTGAGTTTAGAAGGAGCTTTCTCGCGATTTTAAATATATGGAGGATAATCGTGTTCTAGTAATTTTGATGTGCTTTTGTCAGTTTTCTATGCTTTACAGCCAATCACAAAGAGCTGGGCATTTAGAGGGCTGAATTAAGATGTTTTTGAACGGGAACACTTGTGATGTAATTGTATTTCTGTGCCAGTGGGATAAGATAAAACTAAATCGCACAAAATTAAAAAGATGCAAATCGCATATGATTATGTGGCGATCTGATTGGCTAAGTGGTTTAAAAAGTCAACAAGGATTTATTAAGCTTAGTCTTTGCGCCCAATTTAGAACTTAGGTTATTGTTGACGCGAACGGCAAAGAGGTTAACCTTTTCAGATTTTCTTCCTTGTCTCCAAGCTGCTGAATATATGTGACAGAAAAGTAAAAGCATTTTTTCACAACAAATGCGAAAATTTAATTTTCTCAGAGCTCTGCTTAAACAAGACCCGGGTACCAAAGGCGATAAACTATTCCGTCTGGAAAATTTGACGGACCGATGGCCCTTGTGAAAGCTTTTAAGAGTTAAGCGCAGTTTATTTCTGAAACCAGATCCTCCAGGTACCTGGTGATTTTTCGATCTCAGGATTCAGCCTTCAACTTTATTTTCAAACGAGGAAAAGGCTGAATTGAAATTGTCACGGTTCACCGTTTGTTGGTCGTGTCAATGTAGCTCTACATCTAAATCTTTCTCATTTTCTTCGAGCAAATGAGAAATGTTTTTTTGTTCCTTTTATTATTTAATTTATACAGAGTATTTGTGTGCTCAATGAAATGTCTGCCACAGAAACATTTCCGCGAAGAATACTTCCCAGTGAAATCCACTAATTAAAAAGTAAAAAACTGTACTGAAATTGTTTAAATTTATCCAAATTTCACCTCATCTATTATGCACCTTTTGTTTTCTCTTAACTTATTGCAATTATAATTCTGCACAGGTGTAAAGAAAATTTTGTTATGTTCTTGAGGTTCTCAAACTGAGAACAACGCGCTGAAACAGTTCTTCAAGTTAATTCCTAGGCTTTGGTAACATGTGATTTGCAGCTAGTAATAAAATACTAATTATTCGCCAGTTTTGATAAAACAGGGCTCTATATTTAATAACGCTAGGAGTACAAAAAACAGTTTGATGTTAATTAACCTTATTTATGCTGGAGTTTTTCGGGAAATTATGATAACTTAGAAGAGGTGTCAAGCGTTTTTCGAAGCTACCCGCGGTGCTGAATAAAATTAAGTTTAATGAGAGTCTGGTTCGTTTGTTTTTCCTAACCTGTGTGCAGCTGCCCCCACCACTCTAAAAGAAGATAATCAGGCGATCGTCAATTCGTTTGCATAATCTGTATCACATCTGAGAAGCCAGTTCACAGTCCCAACGCTGAGGGAAACGAAATGATCTTTTAAAAGTGTGAATCTATTGTTATCGTGTCAAATAATGTAGTACTAAATGGAATTGTTCCGAGTTCAAGTAGGAGTTACTTTGGAAGCGAGAGCTTGTGTATCTAGCGAAGGCCACAAATCGTGTTAATTGTGAATGATGAGGGCTTACCGGTAAAAGGAAATAGAAAAAAAAACACCAGATCGTATTCGATGGTTTTTTCAAACAAACAGAACAACAAGTAACATAAAAACTTCACATACTGGGCAAAATAATCCAGTGCCGGAATCATTATTCTTCGCGCTTTTGTTTTCTCAGTTTCTGAGAGGCATTGAAATAAATCTTTCTAGTCTTCGAGCAAGTACAAGCGTTACTTTGCCTGCAATAAAGTTTGAGGCCCTGAGTAACGATAGCCCGCGAGAGATGAGGAAGTGGTTTAGCACTGCAGACAGCCAGCTTCCTTGCAGATCACTCGCCAGCTGGCTTTGCTAAACTTACCCGCAAGCAAACGCTCACGCCGCAGCATTAATGAGATCGTGGCACGCCCGCAGGCAGGGGAGTAAATCACAAATTACCTGTGCAGCAGTACCAAGCGCTTATGAATAACAGAAAAGAGTGACATGACTTAGCTTATATGAAAATAAAAGGTGATCAATGATTGGCATGCTTAAAACTAACGTTGGATTTTTTAATCTTTTTTTTTATCCAGTTAATTTTTTGTTTTTGCTTCCTTATCTGTCTTTTCCGTCTCGGTACTCTCTTAGCTGTAAACCTGCAAAACAGGAGCACTGCAATGTTTATGATTCCGAACTTAACTCGTTCTTTTGACTAATGGCGTTGGATATATGATTTTAAATCACAATAGTATTCAATCTAATGTGGATGCCAGGTAACCCGAAGAAACGTCCACGTTTCCAACAGCAATGTTTCGGTTTTGTCGCGATTGTTTCAGATAATTTCGCGATTTCGAAATAAGCGCGAATCACTTCGAAGTTGCACGAGAGTGTATAGAGAGTCTCCAATGAACAGTTAACATTTCATCCTCGTAACTACCAGTTGATTCAACAGTATAATTTGAGGGTGTAATTAACTTCGGTAGGCCATCCCTGCATTTGAATCACTTGTACCTTTTTATATGCAAATAATCTTTGTGGGACGTTCAAAATAATAAAACTAAGGACTGCCAATCAATCTTTCAGTTCAAATCTTGTTAGCTCGTTAGGTAACGGAGTGGTGGCTTGAAACACCGCATGTCAAGACTAAGGTAAGCCACACTTTGTTGAGAAAATTCAATTTAAAAAATCATGCTCTTCACAGAATCATGAATTTGTATTACGAAAGGCGCAAAATACCAATTACATAATTTGCCGGTTCCCCTGTTCAATTCATGAGCTCTTTATTCTTGCAAGATTGTATGGAATATATCTCATAGGGTACTGAGAAAACCACATCATCCCTGGGGCATGGAAAAAGTGCTCTTGAGCCGAGTTAGGTAATTTAAATCTTCTCATTCCTGAGTTCTTATGTGAAATCACACACAGCTATTTTGATGGCGTGTTCTTTTATACCGGTGCTGCGTACACCAGCAACCTGCATTAGTCGAAAGAACGCAAATTCGCCTGTGTAAATAATATTATCCATAAACACCTCTTGCTCCTATGTTTAAGAATTGAAAGAAGTCCCAAACCCTTAGTTTTGATACTTAACTGAAAAGTAGACAATTAATCACCGAAGTAGAGAAAATATCCAGCACTTTCACCGACACTGAGGTGAATAATCGTTTTAGCATATATCACACAGAAGCCAAAGAGAATTAAATTATTTCTGTCAACATACCAAGAAATGCTCGGAAATTACATTGTTGACACGCGATGTTTTCGGTTACTCGAAGGTGAATAGTTCTTGCTAATCACTTCTGAACCAGCCAATCAGGGCGAAGATAGAAAGCAGTATTCACTTGTGTGGTACGTAGTATATTATAATGACAAGAGCCCAATATGCCACACGACGAGCGGTCTGTGTCCCAGTTTGGATCTACTTATTACAGCTTGTCAGATATATATTTCTATTTAAATAAAAAAGTGCCAGTTTTGGTCGGGGGCTCCTCGTGTAACCGAAAAAAGAGCAGATAGGGAAATACCCTCACCCCACCCGTTCCTCATCCCCTTCGCCTTCCTCGTTCCCCAACACACCCATGCGGACACACTCCTTCATGGCTTCATGGCCCCTTGCCAAACATGAGAGTTGCAAGGAGAATCGCGTTATTCTGATCGCGTCGTTCTATTCATGGAATCTTACTCGGATCATCCCTCTATAGCGGGTTCTGAAGGAATCATCTGAACTCACTTTTTGAGGTTTTAATCTCATTCTGAGATTGTTTTAACTGAATTTTACCATTGTGGAATACTTCATCACTTATCGTCCGCAGGTAAGAATCACTTCAAACACAGTTTGTGACAAATGTTTTTACCTCGCTCTTAGCACGAGACTTCGTTTCTCAGTTGGCTGGGGAACCGCATGAGCAACAGTCCAGCCAGTCGAGGCCCGAATTCATCTTTCATGCCTTTTTGACCTTTTTATGTCTGATTTTATCGCAGATCACAATTATCATTTCCCAGATTCTCCTCACAAAGTAGAGGACTTCTCTGGAGTGACCCATCATAGTGTGGTATAAACCTTGGAGTCATCGGAGGCTTTAATGTCATAAGATTTTGCTCATGAGCAAGGTGGTCCGCACTGCTGGAGCCTGAGTCTGTCGCAGTCTCATTAAGCGACCAGGAGTATTGTGATGAAAAGATAGTCCAGCGCAAGTAACCCACATCATTTGATCAGATTTCTCAGACAGAACGTTATCGCGAAATTATAACCCCTGGGTGGAGAAGAGTCCCATTGGAGTCACGTTATCAGGTCACGTCATCTGTTAATATTAACCGTAGTAAATTCCACCCAGGTTTAACTTGGTTTTTCGGATTCAGCCATTGATTGTAAGGAGGAAGCCACCATGGCTTCAAACACAGTAGATAACCTTGACTGTAAAAATGATGTCTGGAAATCATTCAAGGTACCGGAACTTTTAACCTTACGTAACTAAATATTCCAATCGATTTTAGCATACCACGGGTGTAGACAAACAATTATGCAGCTACGAGTTTTCGAGGCCGATCAACGAACTGCTTCTACAGTGAAAGTAGAAACAAACAGTAAGAGTCTCAGCCATGTTTTTGTTTCATTTTGGTCGAGTTATCGACTGTGTTGCTGTGATAAATTATCATGGTTGATTAAACTTTCAAAATGCCACGCAGTAAAATAGGCACTACTGTAATATATGTAAACGACGATTACAATGAAAAGCGAAATTTGACTGGATTGTTAGGAGTGTAACTAGAAAGAATCTTGGGTCCCGTTTTGGAGAAAAAATTCCGATTTCATTAACTTATGAGTTGAATTCAATCACCATTAAAATGAAAAGAACTGATCTTTCAAACTGGAGGGAAGCGATTTGTAGATCTGAGGCGTATCCCAAGAAATGATACCTATATTTTTAGAAGTGTATTTCTGTCATCCTTCTCCGATATCGTGCGAATGAGTCTCTGCTACAATAAAGTGTCTCTTGTCTTTTTAATACTTTCACTACTAAATACTCTTAAACAAAGAAAGCAATCAAACATGAAATTGAAGCAAATCTATCAATCTATCACGGAATCACGCATTCTATTGTATCTGCTCGTGGGAGTCTGGGATCCAAACAAGTTGTAATTAACTCATGTAGTGGAGAGAGTCTACCTCTACGATAAATATTTTATTTCTTGTATCCTTTGTTAGGGAGTAATTAGCGTCATTGCAACGTAGACATATCATGGTAAGCCGTGAGATGCGATGGACTCGTGTGAATGTTCTTTTTCTGTTGCGAGCAAAGTGGTGACTGTGTTTGATTATTCGTTGTTTCAGACGACATCTTCAGATCAAAAGTCAGACCCTGTGGTCGAGTTCAAAAATCTCGCTCGTAGAGATGCCTTTGAACGAATGGACTCTGAATTGAAGATTTTACTTGAAACAGCACCAGAAGACAAGAAGGAGGTAATGTCTCTCTGAACTGTATTTATAGAGCTTTTAGTGTTGCAAACCACCTTCAAAGTTTTAAATCTAAACACAGCTGTGCAATTCAGAGGTAGTGTAAACACTGACACCGGCTTATCACGGCTTAACATGTAACTGGAGATAATTAATTCTTACCTGTGTCCAAAATGTGAATTAAGGGATGCATAGTCATAAAGATAAACAGCTTATCCCATCAGAGGAACAGAAAGTTTCTCCCGATAATATACCTCGGGTACAAAGACTTCAAAGCCATACCTCAATATTGCCTTACCTTCCAAAGCATTTGTTTTTCGGTGTAAGTTTATTCAAGGTATATATCTTTGATATAGGATGACCTTTGCCTTCGTTGCCTATGATTCGAGAAAGAGAGAAAAGTATGAAAACACACTCACAAGTGGAATATATGTTTGATTTCATCCTAAGATCATTCAATAAAAACAATCCAATTAAGTCTTTGCCATGGTTAATTTATCTACAACTAATTGAGACTGGATCACTGATTTCAGCCAGTTAAAAATGTGCATTTCGTTTAAGACGTTTTGAATCAAGAACGTAATTTTCAGGAACAAAATGTTATCAATCCAGGGTTTTCGTCAAGAAATCCAAAAAGCTAAGGGAAATATTTTCAAGTAACAAGAGGATATTAGTGAATGAATAAATTGCTCAGGTCATTGAAACTTAGCCAAAGAATTCTGCATGGTGGTGGAGGAATATTTCGTCTCTGCCAGTGAGAGGATTCTTGCAGAAAGCCATATAAACAGCTGGTTTACCATAATCCTTTAACACCATCCTCAAAATGTTGGAGACTTTCAAGATGCTGGATTTTTTGTTTGCTTTCTAGGAAGCATTGAAGAATATGAAAGGCTTCAAAGAGTTGTTTGGCAGGTATCTTGAGGAAGAAGGTCCATCAGTACTCTGGGACAAAATCAAACCTCCTCCCGAAGGATCTGTGAGTAGAACATTCATGAACTATCTATACAAAGATTTAGGGATTACATCTAGTTGGTCATGCTTTCTGCTGAGAAGATTCTTGACAACGATATGACAATGATTCTTATGTCTCTGTTTGTAATTGTAAAAAGTGTTGATAAGATGATTTAAGATAACTCCAATATAACACTTCTTGTGGCATCCAATATTTGTTAATAAAAGAGTTGATATTGATATGTCCAACTGATCCAGCACACTGGATGTACATTGTTGTGTATTGGATTATTGAGTCAGTCAGGAGACACTCATTCTTTCATTGCTAAATCTACATTCTGTCTTTATTCAACAATCAACTATCTATAATCCTAGTACAGTCATCCTACTTGATTACAGTGCTTTTACATCACTCAGCAGTAAGACAGTATTTTCTCTAATGTTTATATAACAATCTAACCTTTAGATTGTCATGTATGATGCAATACCAGAGGTTCCAGCAAGCACTTTTAAGGAAGTCCTCAATAAACTTGTGGTGATCAAGCTTAATGGAGGTTTGGGTACAAGTATGGGATGTACTGGACCCAAAAGTCTTATCTCGTTACGTCGGGATTTAACCTTCCTTGACATGAATGTTCAGCAAATTGAGGTAACAAAAATTATGCTTGAAATGAAATGTGACATGCTTTAAAATCAATTATGTTAACCCTTTCACTCCCAAGATCTGAATCATTAGTAATTCTAATAATTCCTTAATTGATATAATTATTTATTCTCATCACTTGTTTCCTTGATGTTGTATGGATATTGTATGGAGAAATTATGTCTTGGTCATTCATGGGAATTACAGGGTTAAGACCACCAATTCTATTGAACTTTTGAGCCAGTTATTGATGGTGTTTATTTGTGGACTTTTTGAGACTTTCACTCTTGGGAATAATTACTGTTTAGGTTCTCTTTGGAATTTTGAAATTTCAAATTTCGCAAATAATGAAGTATGAAATGTGAAGCAGCAAGATAAAATGAGAGTACAGAGGGGAAAAATAAGAGCAATGGCTGGCTAGTTTATCACCACAAAAAAATACCATTGCACTTCTTTTCAGAAGTTGTCTTCATCTATCCTAATGATTATGGTGTGTTTACTCAAAATATCAGATCAAGAATGACCTCAGTGGAAAAACATTGGAAAAAGACTTCTTTTCGAGAGGATATCTATTTCAACATAACTTTGCTCTCTACACCATTACATCATAATCTATATTCTGCAAACTGTTCCTTACAATTTCCCTATGGTACACATGGACTTTACACAGATAATCTGTTTCCCAATCAAGAGCTTCTAGGAAATCATTTCCCTTATTCCCATGACACTGATGTTTGATTCAACAGTGACAAGGTTGGGAGAAATTAGATGGTAATCACTTTTAGGAATTAAAGAGCTTAGTGAAAGCACTCCCTGGTTATTTTTTGGTAGTTTCTAGAAAGGAGAGTGACAAAACTCCAAAGGTTTATAAAATCTCTAAGTTTAAGATTTATGATTCATGACTTTCACCTTTTCTCTTACAGCATTTAAACAACAAGTATGGCTGCTCTGTTCCACTTGTCCTTATGAATTCTTTCAACACACACGAAGAGACTCAGAAGACCTTGAGGAAGTACAAAGCAAATAACGTTCAAATTCACTGCTTTAATCAGAGCCAACATCCCCGCATTGTAAAGGAGTCTCTGCTCCCCTTACCTAGACTCATAGGAGCTCAGAAAAATGAGTCAAATATTGAATGGTAAGTAATATCAGATACATACATTAGATTACAAGTATAGGCAGAGGGAATATGTATCCTAGTGGAGAGTTTTTTGAGGGACTGAAATTCCCAGCAGGTGCTAATTTATACCTCGGAAAAGGTCTTGTTACCTCGAATAAAATTGAACCACAAGTTTCAAATCTGATACATGCACTGTATTTCTTTCCTCAAACAGCTGGTACCCTCCAGGTCATGGCGATATTTATGGCTCATTCTACAACTCTGGTCTTGTCCAAAAATTCATTGATGATGGCAAAGAGTATATATTTGTGTCAAATATTGACAACTTAGGAGCCACTGTAGATGTAAATATCCTTTAACACTGTTGAAAGTTTGCAGAAGTGTGACAACACATTCAAACAGGGAGTATTTTCCTCCTCCCCCTCCTCAATTTTTTGTAGCAGATTTCAAGACTAGACTCTTGGGGGATAAATTGAAATCTGTTTAGAAAAAGGTTCACACTTTTCCCACACCATTTTGCCTTAACCAAAAAGAACCATGATGCTATGTTTAATGTGACATTCTTACTAGTTTCCCCTGACAAATGGAAGTTGTCCCTCCGTCCAGTCCTCTAGTTCTTCCCTATACTGCCACCATTTGTCACTAATGAGAATGGCACAGACCAGAAAATTGGCTGTCTGGATTTGAGTCATAACTGATATTTTGCTAGACACACAAGTTTCTAAGGTTATTATTTATGTATAAAGGGGGTATGTTTCTAAAGAAACTGTGGTGCTGCATCAGTGGAAGAGTATAACTTTGTAATTCAGTATTATCAACTGAGTTGATGAGGTAAATTGGCCACTGTTTAGAGTTTCAAAGCTGATATTTCAAGGGTTAGCCCTTTGTCAAAGGGAAAGACAAAGGACTAACATTTAGAGGAACTAAATTTTCTTTGACTGTGTTCAGATATTTTAAATTCACTCTGAAAAAGGGCTAACGCTCAAAACATTGGCTTTGAAACTCTTTACAATGGCCAATTTATGTTATCAACTCAGTTGATAATGCTAAATTACCTTGTTATTGATGTAGGCTTCCTCATAGATATAACTCAACTGTTTTATTCCAAGGTTAGCCTCAAGGACTGAAACAGAATTGTGTTCAGAGAAACCAAACTTTCTTTAACCATATTCAGATATTTTAAATTACATGTTAAATCCTTCGCGATCACCAGCTCCTGAGTTTGTCATGGAAGTCACTGATAAAACACGGGCTGATGTAAAGGTAAGGAAAAGCACTCTTAATACTTAAGTCATAAGTGATAATTGCATGAAAAATCCAGAAATCCAGCTAGTATGTATTTTGATGTGCATTTATTGCAAGATTAAGAGAATAATTTCCATTTTCATAGGGAGGAACCCTCATAGAATATGAAGGAAAACAAAGACTTTTAGAAATTGCACAAGTTCCTAAAGAACATGTAAGTAAAAGGTCCTTTCTTTTAATTTACTATAATAATTTTGTTTCAATGTTCTTCAATGCACATCACTCGTCAAATTGCCGAATAAATTGTTGATGACAGGAGCCTGCTGTCCATAGAGTTGAATAGTGAATAAATACGTTACATACAAAATAAGTGGCATATTTCTTTTGTGGTATGTTTGCACACAGAGAGCAGAAACATTTATGCCATGTTACTTTGTAAATTATCTTAGCCCTTAAAAAATCTAAAGGAACCATCAAGAATTAGATTTTAAAAAAACTTAGTAATGAGGGTATGATCTTCAGGGTAAACTGTATATTTGAATTAAGTTAAATGGTCTGAAAATTTCAGGAGTTTAACAGGATATGTTGTGGTCAATCTGATGCTTAAGCCAACTGAGATATAAAGTCACTGTTGTTGGAATTAGGTTCCCTCTGGGCCCAACTTTTCTTCTGGAAGACGGAGGTAGTAAATGTATCTAAGAATAAATCCCAAGTTGATGTGATTAAATGAAAATCTATTTTTTTAGGTTGATGAGTTCAAATCAGTTAACAAATTCAGGTATGTTCCATTCATTCTATGGCTAATTCTTGTCCAAACAAATTCTGGGGAGAGGAAAAAATAGTTGTTAAAGTGGTTTAAAGATACTATGTGTTTCTGCAATAGATTAAAAATCAAGTGTTATTTATTCAAGTGGTACTTTTGTTTTTTTGTGGTTAGAATTTTCAACACCAACAACTTGTGGATGAAGTTGACTGCAATTAAGAGGCTTGTTGAGGAAGACAAGATGCACATGGAAGTTATTATCAACAACAAGGTGTAGATCTACTTAGATATGATTCAGTTATTCAAACTAGCCTGTTTAGTAGGTTTTAAAACTTGGAAAAGTATCATTTGTGAGGATCTGGCAGTCTTTGCTAATGCTTTGATCATTCTCAAAAAAAGAATAAGCACCCTGCCCACAATAAGTGCTGCGCCTTGTTCCAAATAAGTGCCCTCCCTGTAGTTAACCAAAGTAAATAAGCCCCCTGGGCACAAAATTGAATCATTACAGTAAGCATTGTTTATGTCAAGAGTGAGTGAGGGACTGGCCACTATTTATCACCCAGGGGGGTGTTGGGGAGGGGAGGTTGGAGGATTTTGGACATGTCACAATAATATTTAACTAACCCCCCACTCCCCTCCCCCATAAATAAGCCTCTTTAGTAGTCTAATGATTCCATTTCATCAGTAGTCAACTTTCTATTGTTCTCCCTTTAAACTCAGTTAGAGACGACTGATTCCCCCTATGTTCCCCTTGAAAACCACGTGATCACCCCAGAGGTGCTACGTTGTAGATGGTCTGCATGGGAAGTCAAACGAGAAAAGAAACTCGTTTTTTCTCTAATTTTCGTCATATTTGTACCAATTAATTTCGAGGTCGAAACTTCCGAACAGTCGTTGAATTCTGGAATGGGGATGGAGAGTGCTTGTCGCTCTTGGAGGTTTCAGTCAACTTTAAAGCAATTGCAAGACAGAAAACAATTTATCAGTCAATTTATGACATCTAAAGTCAATTTATTTCATGCTATCTCTCTGCCCTTCTAGACCCTTGATAATGGAATGCGTATCATTCAATTGGAGACAGCTGTGGGTGCTGCTATGAAAAACTTTGAAGGAGCTCATGGTAAGAGTGAAGGGTGGTGTAGGGTAATTTTTGTCAATTCCACTCCCCCCCACTCCTTCCCGCTAATAGAATACTAAGCGAATCACAAGCTCATTATTTATTTCTTTGGTTAAACCTGCTTCGTCCTCTCTCTGCCTGTATAGGTATAAATGTACCACGTAGACGTTTCCTCCCAGTCAAGACTTGTTCAGATCTACTGCTGGTGATGTCGAACCTGTATGACATGAAGCACGGTCGACTCGAGATGAGTCCGCTGAGACAGTTTCCGTCTGTGCCCATAGTGCAGCTCAGTGGTGGTTATTTTAAAAAGGTGCGTGGACAGAAGTTTATATTAGAGCTTGTCTCCGTCTGCATTCTTTAAATCATGGGACACATACCGCTATCATTTCGTTGTCTCTCTTTTTTGTAGTCAATTTCAGCAAAGTGTCTCTGTCATTTTTTAATTTTATTTTTTTATCAATAGGTGAAGGATTTCTTGAATCGTTTTGAGACCATTCCAGATTTAATTGAACTGGATCATTTGACAGTGTCTGGTGACGTCACGTTTGGCAAAGGAGTATCTTTGAAGGTAGGTCGTCACATATGGAAGGATGGTCTTCACAATGTGTGCCAAATTGTTAAGTTCAAGTGTTAGTTTGTACAAATTTCCGTACATCGCTCAGTCAACCTATCGTAAATTCCATCGTTGCAAGGCAAACATTGGAATGGATCTGATTGCACCCGTAATTTGCGAGCGTTTGCACAGTATTCTCTTGGTGAAAATTATTGCCGCCATCTTTGATTGTTACGGCAGTGGAAGGCAGGGGAGGAAAATAAATTTTTAACAATGGGGTGAGCCACGATCAAAAAAAAAAAGAGAGAGAGAGAGAGAGAGGAGAGGGGGTGTGGCAGTGAAGTCTCCTCGACTTCTCTCCCCCCACCCCCTCCACCCCCGCCCTCATCCTTTCCACTGCAACTCTCCCCTCCCCTCCTCATCCCTTCCACTCCAACACCGTCCACTCCAACTCTAAATCAATAATGGCCTTTTGGATATACAGTCGCAAGCTTGCAAGGCCAATGCGCCCTAAAAAGACGCCTGCATGACAGGCTTGATTGTGCCTGATGATTTTGTGGTGTTTTATTTGGTTTTTTTCTTTTTTTTTCTTTTGTCATTTTAACAGGGAACAGTGATAATCATAGCCAATCATGGGGAAAGGATTGATATTCCTTCAGGTTCACTTTTAGAAAACAAGATTGTTTCTGGAAATCTGAGAATTTTACAGCATTAACAAACAGGAAAAAAGCTTATTACGTATTTTATCAGTTACCGATAATGTTGACTGTGATTTTTCTCGTGATATTAATCGTAAAAAATATTTAGCCTGTGTTTAACTGTCAGTTGGAGTAAACGAGCGAGAAAATGAGCGCGCGAAAAATGGCCAGCAAGCTGATGCGACGGTGGTGTTGTCAGGGAAACGACTGTGTTGCAGTTTTTTCGCGCGCCCTATTTTTCGCTCGTCTCCAATGAGCCTGGGATAGACTGAAAAATATTTCGTCTGACTCGTGACGCTACAGGTGCGATTGCGTGATGCCGTGTTAGGAGTAACGTTTTCTGCACTGTGTTATGAAGTGTCGTTTGTAATTGTTAGTCAGTGTCTAGTTCACGTAATAATGGGTAAATATTGATTGTAGCAGTTTATTTAAGGTTTCTAGCAACTGTTGTAAAACAACATATGACCAAAATATCGAGTGCATTGACGTTTTCAACATTACCTTTAAATATCCTTTCAAGGCGGGTTATGATACGGAGTAACACTAGTTATTACAGTGATCAGGGCAATCATAGTTGCTTCATTTAGGTACCTTCAACACTTGCTAGTTTGCATGCCTAGCGGTGATCTGCTCTAATTTTTTCCACCTTTTCCAAACAGCGACAAGATTCAGAACAAGATCACGAACAACATTCTTGTTTCTTTTTTTACCTCGATATCAAGTCAAGCTCGTTAGTTTTGACCCTTAAAAACCATGACACAAGGAGAGGACAAAATTTGCTTTTTGAGGAAAAATTATTACTTAAACTGTAACTGTTGCATGAAGCCCATTCCCTCTCATTTCACCTCATGTCCTCAATACATTTAGAGAATGAGGCAGAATTTGGCAAGAATTTCACCCTTTCTGTACGTATCTCCAGTCGACAACTTTCTCTCGATTAAAGCTTACATCGGCAAAATCTTGGGACCTTGAATGTACATGGAAATCACATAAATTGTGAACAAATTTCCTACAAATGGTAGTAGTGATAATATATTTAAGCACACTACTTTATTTCTCTGCTTTTGAGAAGATGGAGGCAAGTACTTAGCTCGGAATTTGGGAATACAATAAAGTTTATAAGTTCATGTACATCGATTTTTTACTTTGTTTTCTTCATTGAAATTTGACCCATGTGTTCCTTCTTTACACATAATCATCCTTTAAAATCTCCCCTCTTGAGGATCAGAAAGCCAGTTCGTTTTCGCGTAAGGTCCATTGTAATGCTCGATATAATTTCAGTCCTTGTTACAGCATTTCTTGTTAATCCTGGGCTGGGCTACGCTCGATTGGCTCGAGTACCCTCTTTTTCTCAGTTCCAGTCTTCGAACCCTCTCCCTTTCTCTTTCCCCCATCCCTCCCCTGGCACGGGCACAGTATGCACAGAGAAACCAATGGGGCGCCAGAGGCATATGCGCCTTGCGCCTCAGAGGGTCCGGAGGCACAGCCACACCAGAAAAGAAAAGCTTCTTAATAATTCCAACTTATATGGAAGCTACTCACCTAAGGAATCACAAAGGTATTGCTTTAAACATTGATCAAGTAAGAGTGTATGTTTTGAAAGTAACTCTTTTACACTAACACATTATACAAGAAGGTGACGTGAAGATAGAAAGGTACAATATTAATCGGGGAATACTGCTTGATTTAAAACCAATTTTTTTCAGAGACCACACTTGAGAGAGAGAATTGATACTGAAATCTTGATAGTTTAGGCGTTAAAAATGTTCAAATTTGTTTGATACGGAAATATATTTGAAACTTCAAAGTGCAATCACGGTAAATTTACCGCTGTTCTGGCAAGTTTTCGCGGTAATTGCCTTTGTTACAAAATTTACAAAGGCAACTAAGAATATCACTAATGATTGAAAGAAAATGAAACGAGAGCGAACGAGACTATTTTTTTCTAGGAATTTGTTTTCATACATTGATCTTGGTCTTCCGTAAGAGTAATATTCCTGTCTTACTCAGCAAAATGTTGTGACTTTTTATATACGAACCTCCCAGAAAAGTCTATTACGTCACTTTGGTGACACGATGTCGAGGACTTTAAACTGACCAATAAGAGCACACTTTTTTTGTATACATAAACGGCCGCCATCTTGGTAAACACACAGACAGGTGAAATGATGGAGGGATTTTGACAACTGGAAAACTTTCCCTGAAAACACTTGGTGGGAAATGAGCTTGGGAGAAATTGTCACCCTCAATGTTGGTGGAAGAAAGTATGTGTAATTCGCTGCAATTTTTTATTTTATTGTTGTTTTAAAATAGGCAAAGAACCTTTGGTAATGATAAGGGTTGTTACTTTGCGTGTTGCTATACGTCAAACTCCCTATTTTGCTTTAGAGTGGTACTTTTATGCGATAGAGACGAAACCGTTTTTGTACAAACAAAATTAACCATGAAATTATCAGTAATCAGTGGAAATTGAGCTCGTAAAGCTTCAAGCTGGTAGACAATTGGAATTGTACAGAAAAATATGAAATGTCTTTTTCAAAATAATTTCTCGATTGATAGGAGCTGAACTAATTTATGGAAGGTAAAGGTTACGTTCTAGGTTTTCCTAATTAATTTATTTCCTACCAGAAATTTGAAATCAAACCAATACTAGGCTAGTTTGTTTCCACGCTAACAGCCTGGAGTATAAGACCTGAATAAAGATAATTTTGAATTAACACTTACAATATTAGCCATCTTATTAATCCAAAGAACCTTTACTACCGTCTTCAGTTTACATATATAATTTTGGTGAATCGACTCGTCGCTGAGTGATTGTAATTTGTAATGATTATACTTTTTTTCATATTAATTCTGAAACATGTTGAACTTCTGCAGATTCTCGACTTCTAAGCAGACACTGACGTGGATTCCAGACTCATTTTTCTCTAGGTAATTGTTTAATTTCAATTAATGGGAAGTGTACAGAGGTGCACGGCTACCAAAGACTTTGTTCTCTCTACAAATGTTCGTATTGACTTACTTACATCATATTGATATAAGAAAGGTGAATCCCAGCCATATGACCTGCTGATAACTTTATTTATGACAGAAATTGATAGACCTGCTCTAAAATGACAAGAAGTTCAAAAGCTCATTTATACAACTCCCACATTTAGATGACTACATTTTAAGTTCATGGTGGGATAATGGTCCTGCTAACTCTGCTATGTAGCTGTTTCCCTTCTTGGAATTGGAAACTTGGAAGGTGTTGCTAAAATTAGCCAACATGTCACAATGGTTAAGCTTTAATGTTGGCTTTATTACAGTGCCATAATTATGTATAAATGGAACTTTCTATTCATGACAAATATTTTTGACCATTTATAATAAAGAATTAACAATGAATAACATCAGTTATCACAAAACTGAATTTGAATTGTTGTTTGGTCATTTTGTAATATTGTAAGCTGTTAGTTCCAGATGTTGACCATTCATTATTTTTCTTTTTAGTTTACTAAGTGGGCGAATTTCATCTCTAAGAGATGAAACAGGAGCGGTAAGTGCTGTGGCCTTGCAATTGTAATTTCAACAATCAAAATCCTAATCATTGTGGAGATGCCAACCATACCATTTGCTAGGACTCTGCTCAATGTCAACCTACAACATAAATAACTTTAAACAATTGACTCACTGGGAATGTGGTTTATAAATTTGGAACACACTGCTCATGTCACACACTGTGACTATTTTTATGTGTTCACAAACAAACCAGATCAAAATCAAAGATATAACTTTGCCAATTGATTGAAACTGACCAATTGTAGCTGACATACTTTATGAGTCTTCTTACCTATAACATTTAGAATAGTCTCTCCTATCAGTGCTCAGGAGTCACTCTTTAAACACTTGACTGGACCATCATAATACCAAGTTAACTGTTACTCTCAGCTGAGTCCAAACCATGTACTGTGCTACTAAACAAATTGCCAGCTACATTTCTTTAATCATATGGTACTTGAAACTTCTCTTCACTCCCACCATTTGTCTATCTGTCTTACAGTGTTAGAGCTCATGAAAGGTCCATACTAATTATTGTCACTCTTTCAAAAATAGATATTTATTGACAGAGATCCAGAAGCCTTTGTTCCCATATTGAATTTTCTAAGAACCAAAGAACTTGATGCAAGGTATTGTATTTTCAATACAATTTCATTCATTATGTCCATGTAAGATCTGGGAAACAAACCCCATTTGCACAAAAAATAATTAAAAAAATGTATCAAATGTAGACGAAGAAAGTAAGTATTTTGGAAAGTTTTCTCATGTTGAACCATTTTTGTTTTTATTTCATGCTGTGAAATATCAGTAGTGGATTTCAGAGTTGAAACTCTGGGTTTAACTTTGTTTATGATTTGCAGATCTTCTTTGACAGAACTAGCTGATTGTTTAAAATAATGGACTCTGCCATTCTTGTTGAAAATAATTAATAAAAATTGTAGAAAGAAATGGTTTATATTACTTGCAAATTAACCTGTGAAGCATTTAAGAACAAACAAATATATTAAACTAAATATTTTTTGCTTTACAGAGGGTTAGACTTAAGGGTAATCAAACATGAAGCTGAGTTTTATGGGATCACTCCTCTAGGTAAGATTGAATAAATTAATGACATTTCAACCATAGACTGGGTTAAATAATTTGTTAAATCATCCAACAATGAGGTTAATCAATTAGACTTGAAAGGTAAAAATTTATCCTTGATATTATTTGTGGTTTATATGCATACCAAGTAGAATTAAAAGATTGTGTTCTTAGAATGATCTCCGGTGACCTGAGGTCTGTGGTCAAAGAATCTGAGCTTTTATCAATAACACAAACTTTCATAAGTCATGTAAAGAAAAGTTTAATTAAAGTAGGTCACCCATGGCATCTAGGCTCTGCCAGAGCATGGGCTTGAATTGTATGTTTTACACCAAGTGATGCAAGATACAACTTTTGAATTCATTTTCATTTGGTTCATTTGTTTTGCAGCCAAGAGGCTAGCCTTATGTGAAGAGGTATCCAATTCCAAATGTGGCAATGTGTTGTTCCATGGATATCTCAACACTCCAGGTAATGGGATTGTCAATTAATTCCCTGGGTGCCCATCAACAAATATCTGGCATATGGTCAAGCTATAAACCAGAGAAATTACTTGCTGACAAATTGGTACAATGATATATGATCTGGGAATACATATTTTGGGAATGTATAATATCTGGTGTTCACAGCTCTCTGAGTTTGACAGTAGATTTATAACAGTGGGACTGTAAGCCATTCTGAAAATGATATGTATTCTAAACCTTTTGTTTTTGTTGCATGAAGTTTGCAAAGAGTTCCAGCTGGGTGGCTTCCACTAATGTTTTGTTGTAAAATTACAAAAAGTAAACTTTTTATGTTTATTGCATTTGCAATAATTTGTAAGGAGGTTGTTTGTAACAAGCACTGTAAGACACTGTGAGAGCAAATTACAGGCAGTGTGTGAATTGTGCTGCATTTCCTTGTGCTATATTTGGTACTTCTTCAGTATTTTTGCAGTGAAGGCCTCATTACTGACAATAGTGGGAAAGATGGAGTACCAATAACTTGGCAGAAATAAAAAAAATACAAGCATATACTAAGATAACACATCATGAAAATAAGAGTTTAAAACAAGTGTTTCCATGGCTAATCAGGGGAAGGATAAGCGTGAAGATTGCTGAAATGATGAGGTGTTGCTATGACATACTTGTGCAGTTCAGATGAAAAGTGTTTTCACATTTTAAACAATATACTTTTCAGAGTTTCCAGCTCCTCCTGTGTCAAGGCACTCATCATCAGCTGCCCTCACAAGGAGAAGCTCTACATCAACTGTAATAAGCACCTCTCGTTATGAACCTGACACTGCAAGCTACCGAGATGTTGGTGTCAGAGAAGTCCCTGATGATAATGAAGGTGCTGTTGTTATGGGTGAGTGTCTTTTTAAATAGGAAGGTTGTTACAACAGACTGCAGATGAGCTTTGCCAGGCATTATTGAAATGATGGCGTTAATGATTGTCAGTGTTTTGTTTTACAAAGTCATGTATTTATGATTCCCTTCACAGATGTAGACCCAAGGAAAGTGTTGATGGTGATAGGACACCACAGTTTTGTTGCCGTAGCTTTTGCACATTCTGTTTTTTGTTACCGGTGAGTGGCCTGAAGGTTCCTTCTCATGTTGTCAAAAGGCTGCTCTTTGCTTTACTAATTGTGCCTCTGTTTTTTTGTTTCTTTGTTTTAGATCCAAAGATTCAGTTGGCTGGGAGCTTATTTTCTCTACTCCTTATCTGCATAACACTGTGGAAAGAATGGCTTTGAATGCAAAGGTGTCATCCAGTTCTTTTGGAGACAAAATGCTGGCAGTTTCATCAGGTTGGTTTATTAAAACGTTTTAAGGGTGTTGAGGGACACATAATCAACTCAACATTACTTCAAGATTAAGGAAGATTTAACAAATTTATAACAAGCAGGGACAAAGAAAAACCTGAGTCTCCTGTGGGTTTCTAACCTCAGCTAATTGTACTGGATACTCTACCAACTGAGTTAAGTGTAATAGGCACACTTTCATGAGACCTCACAGGTTTGATGAGAGCGTAAGTGTTTTGAACTGACCTAGTATTAAGTTGTATAACTGGAACCAACTAACTTTGCATTTCAGAGGGTAGAATTCGGTTATGGAGCTTTAACACAACTGACCACACTCAAGATGTTGTGAAATTTGAAATTGGTGAGTTGTTCATTGCATCTTGTGGTTGCTTCTACAGTGCATTTATATCAATGATAAGGTCTTTGTGGCTGTTCATAATAAGTGTGATTGCTTTTTCCAGTCTGTGGCAGAGTCCAGCATTTCAGATTAAAAAAAATTCCATCTGTTAAAAAGGTCATCGTAATAACAGCTATAATTGTTGTATATTTGACACTCTGGTTTAAGCAATATAAGAAATATGGTTTTGCTTTCTGTTGGGGACAGGGACCTTTGATCTTGGTGTCACTGTAGATGCTCTGTTTTTCATTGGAAGCCAACTTGTAGCCACAAGCCACACAGGAAAAATTGGGGTGTGGAATTCAATGACACAACATTGGCAGGTATGAAACAATATCTGATCATAACAGGGTAATTTAGTTGATGACGTAAATTGGCCACCGTAAAGGGTTTAAAAGCTGACGTTTCGAGCGTAAGCATTTCGTCAGAGCGATTGGCGAATTGGTTATTGGCAATCGCTGTGATGAAGGGCTAACGCTCGAGAAGTCAGCTTTTTAACTCTTTAAATTCGGTTCCCACCGACGCAGCACCACAGTTTCCATTGAAACACACCCCCTTTATTCATATGATCATGTCAGCTTCTTAGTTACTGTGATACTAAATCCTTCTCTGTAGTAGTATTCCTGCATCTTCTTGAACTCTGTTGTAACGTTTTTTTATCCTTACTGTCTTTGTTTAGATCCAAGAAGTGACGCCGATTTCCAGCTATGACACCGCTGGTTCCTTCCTTCTTCTTGGCTGTACAAATGGCTCTATTTATTACATTGGTACGTTGTAAGTTATTTTCACTTGGTCGCAAGCACTTTTATAGCTCCAAGTAAACTCTGACTCCGTCTTTAGTGGAATACAGCCATATAAAACAAAAAGGAAATACAGATCAACAATTTTTTTTTCCCGAATTCGTTTACAAATCCAACTCGGTATTACCAACATTAACCTCATACAAGAATAGGGAGCCAGAGATGCGCGAAGCACATGGTTGCATCAATTAACTCGTTTCGTTCTCCCTTATCTTAGGCAATATGTTGTTTGCTTCACAGATATGCAAAAGTTTCCACTGAGAATGAAGGATAACGACCTTCTGGTTACAGAGCTGTATAAAGATCCTAATGAAGACATGGTGACTGCACTCAGTGTGTATTTAACACCCAAGACATGTGAGTGAATATCCATGAGATTTGTCCTGGAACCTTGTGTCTGCAAATAGAAATATAGGACAAAGTCCTGTTTTTTTTTTTACTTTTTTTGTTAAATATTAACTAAAAAATAGTTGTTACCAACTGAAAATCTTTGCTTCATATCGTTTGTGTGTCAGGTTTAAGTGGTAACTGGATTGAGATCGCATACGGTACAAGCTCGGGAACGGTACGAGTGATCGTTCAACATCCCGAGACAGTAGGCCACGGACCACAGCTCTTCCAGACATTCATGGTACATCGGAACCCAGTTATAAAAGTCATGCTAAGTGAGAAAAACCTTGTCTCCATTTGCTCCGAGTATAACCATGTGCGCTCGTGGAACGTGACGCGTTTTCGGGGCATGATCTCCACGCAACCAGGTTCCACGCCCCTCGCATCTTTTAACGTAGTTTCTCTCGAGGCGCAGGACGCTCATCCAAGTTCCTTAGCTGGTAATGGCATCGGTGAGTGGGAATCTCATCACCTGAATTTTCGTCTGCCATGTTTTGGTGAAAGACGGTTTCTAAAGTCGGTTTTTTTACGAGTTTTTCTCGCAAAAATTGCATTTTTTTTCTCTTTTTTTGTTTCTAGGCCCCTTCGGCGAGCGTGATGATCAACAAGTGTTCATTCAGAAGCTCGTACCTGACACCGATCACGTGATTGTGCGTTTCTCCTCCACAGGAAAAAGGTAACAAATCTGAGTTGAAATCTATAAATCAATCTAAGCCCACCTCCTCCCTACTCATGGTGCCATATCTAGCTACGCCAGATTTGAAATATTAAACCAGGTGGTCTTTGTACTTTGAAGGAATGAGCTCAGGTAAAGTGATGTTGTCGCTTGAAGTTTCTTGTGTGAAAAAGAACAATCATTTGAGAATTGCCTCGGAACACACGATATTAACAAGAGTATCCAGGCTACTGGCTGAGTGGAAAATAAAAACTTGAAAAATGAAAAATTGTAATCCAGAGGTGATTAGCGTCAATCCAGGGTTAGCCAAACATGCTCTCCCTTTTTTTTGTGGCTAGAAGTTGAAATTAGGAATTTTACACTAACTCTGGTTTCGCTTATTCAAACAACCTGACCCAGAATCGTCAACACTGGATGGTACTGTCAGTTAAGAAACAACTAGGCTGAGACCTACAGGATAAAAATAGCGTACTTTGAGGAGGTTTTATTTATGCGGTTGTTTTTGTTTTACAGGGTCTGTACGATACGTTCAGTGGACGGCAGCAACATCACTTCATATTGTGTACATGAATGTGATGCTTCTAGTCGAATGGGATCCAGACCCCGGCGGTTCCTGATAACGGGACATTCGAACGGATGTATACAAGTAAGAAATTATGAAATAAATGCAGAGTGATTCTTCTCTGTGCTTAAATGGGTTTGAAATCATAACAAAGGATATTTCATCGCAACAAGAACTTAAACCAAGACATGTTCGAACTTTTGACTTTGGCTTGGAGGATGTTTTGAACAAGAACCAACTGTAGGGGAATGGAGTGTTAAAGGAAAAAAAAGGCTAAGAAGTTTTGACGCTCAGAAAAACGCTGATGAAATATAGTATCCCTGGATCTTTTAGAAATTTATTTTCATATTCATGGTTCTTACTTAAACCACTTTGCTTAGAGAATATTTCGAATGGCCAGTTGCCTGACGTTGCTGTGAAACTGGGTAATCTTAGCTGAGATTTACGGAAATATTCGAGGAAATTAGATTAATGCGATCTATTTTTGCGATGATTTAGATGTGGGACTTGACAACTGCTTTAGAAATTGCAACCAAAACCACAGGAGAAAACTCAGGTGAGCGATTCTAATAAGGGACCAGAAAATCTTAGTTAATAAAACCTTTTTGAGAATATCTTTGGTATGAGGACACAAACTTAAGACCTCTTAAGGGATTCGAACATAAAATATGCACTCACAGCTAGGATATATTCAGAGTTGCCAAGTACCATTTGTTCGCTCTACTGAACCAACATAGAGCGTTAAAACTGCGCGTAACTTATTTTGTTACATTCGTTTTTCACAGCCGAACGCGACGATATTGGCAATGTCACGCAAGGCGAACTGTTAAGAACATTAGAGCAATGTGACCTCAGTGCTTCACGCTGTACCACTCCCTCCATGTCGCCTGCCACGTCACTCCTGCACACAAATCTCACGGGCTCACGACTAAAGCTTTCTTACTCATGGCCCAGTTTGGGCGAAGATGACCGCGAGGAGGCTGAAGGCAGTGGTGGAAAGTCCAAGTACGGAATTCTAGTGTCGCAATGTTAAAATGTTGGATGTATTGAAAACACCTTACAAATAATTGGGAATATTAACATAATTTACAGCCAGAACAGGCTCTAAACATAAAGTACGGAATATTTGAACCTGACACCTTTGTATTCGATTTTTTTTTTCAATGGCTAGACGCTGAATTCATTAATTGTTCAAAGACTCAAACACGATTGGAATAAAATTTTCCCTTTCCTCGGTTACCGCTTCGGTTATCGCTCAATTGGTCGTCGCCCCGTGCTTAAAAGAATCCGTCAATTCTTAGTTAAATGGCATTAAAGAGGTAAGTAGTAAGGTAATCGACCTTGATCACACCGAAGTTAAGTTTTGTTTGTGGGAATCACCACCTGACTTTACTTATTGCTGTCACCCCTACTAATTCTCACGGTAGCAAAAATCACTTTCCATGTAGTTAACTACCATGTCAACCAAAACCTTGTTTTAAATGCGAAGGAATAATATTCCACGACTGGCTTTCTGTTTCGACAACTAATGCCAGTAACTCTCTTGGACATATTTGAAAATTTCCATCACTAATGAAAAGGTTATGTTTAACACTTTAACTCCCAAGATCTGATAAGTTATCTCCTTCAAAGTGTAATAGTGTTGTCAATTTGGTGTTTTATTAAGATTACACCCTCTAATTGATGAGTTTGTGTCTTCTCATGACTCATTTGCAGGGGTATGTATTGATTGAAAAAGAATTTAAATGCCAATCACAATCACATCTGGGAGTTGAAGTCTCATATTTTGTTGTCGCGACAGTTGCAACTGATTTATAATTCATAGATTGTTGGGTCGGATTTTACATTTTGGAGTTGAAATTCCGTAAATTGTTAGTAAATGACACGGAGCCGGCGTGGCATGGCACGGGGTTTTCCAGAGCGTTTTCTTCAACCAACAAGTCACGTTTACTTCGAACAACTGGCATTTACAGAAAAAAGTTGTGAAACTTAATGAAGCCAGTTTGACTTTAGGATAACTTTATTTAAATACTGACTTTCTGATTGGTTTGGTTTCCCATCGCAGAAATTGTTAATTTATTGAAATAAAAATGTGCGATGAACTTAATGAGTAGTTTTTCTTGTGATTTTACGTACGAAACCTGGCAATTCTCCTGAACTCAAGACTTAAAAAGTCAGTTCAATTACAGGGACATCCACGTTTAATTGCGCGCAACTGACTTTACATACAAAAGTAACATAATTCGCTGCTAAAATGAGTTCCGAGTGGTAAAATGTTTCTTCACGTCTGGACGAATCCTCCTTCAGACAACTTCCTTTGTGACGACAAGTTGATAATTAACATGAGGAAGTTTAGCACTGATATCACAGAGAATCACCATTTGGAAGGTCTGTCATACCAGTGATGACGTCAAAAACGGGCGGAGGATTGGAAGCAGCCAACCTAAATGTCAATAAACAAAACAAAAACAAATGAAACAATTGTTTGTTGAGAGTAAATTAACACTGTACTTAAAAATCGATAGTTAAATAAACAGTTTGGTTAAATTGGAGATGGTATAGAACTTGATTTTGCTTAAAAAGCAGCAAAACTTCGTTTAACGGCCTAGGGTTTCAATAATGTGTGATTTACCTAATCATTCTGTTGTGGCTAAGAACTTTCTTGGGGCCTGGGTTCGGTCGAGCAGCTGGTGGGCGTGGCAAGCATGGATATTGCTGTAACTGCTTCTGTAGGCGAACCTTCTCTTCGGAAAGTTTCTGACTTAAGACTTTCATTTGTCTGTTATACTCCTCTCTTGAAACAGCTGGACCTCTAACTGCTTCGCCAGCTGTTTTTCTCTCCTGTCTTTCCACTTCTTGTGTCTTGTCGTACTCTCTTTTCAAGTCAACATGAATAGTTTTCTCGTCAGAAGAGCGTGCACCTGCAGTATAGGAACGGCCTTGGTCAGCAGCACTGTTAAACCAAGCCACGTGACTATGACTGCCGTCAAGCTGTTGGTCGTGGTTGACAAATGTTTCGAACGTGGCGTTCGCACTTGCATGTCGGTCATGTGGTCTGTGAGCAGATCGTGGTGCTTTCCCGTCAGGATGTGACCACGGATTGGTGGAGTCGTCACGGACACTGATGAACTCATCTACATTGAGAGGGGAGGTAACTTCGACCTCGTGATTGAAGTCCATCTTTTTAAACAATTCGTCCCAGTTACTTCCACTGCGGCCAGAAGTGTTGTGTGCAGAATACTGTCGCGCAGCCTGTCGTTTGGCCAACCGCTGAAGAGCAGAGGTGACTGCATGCTCATCAGCAACACTGGGACCTTTAGTAATGAATTAAATTCATTTCAGTTTAAGATGGTAACTAAGCGAAGTATTAAATTACCTATTACCAAACGGAATTTGTGTTGGGGAAAGCCACAGAAAAATGAATACTTCCGTTGATCTATTATTAAATGGTTTATATTTGAACGACGGCAAAAAATATATATAAAAAGGTTTTTTTACGCATGCATCATCGCAAGAACTGAGCTGAATTTTTCTAAACTGGGGACAAATTTACTCAACGAAAATATATCACGCCAAAAGTTCTTGTCTTGGAAGTTTTGTTTCAATTTAGTAACTTAAAATCAATCAAGTTTTATCAAACCTTTGGGCTCATTGTCTGATCCTTGACTGAGGCGTCGGACTGGTGCCGAGGAAACGCGACTCCGCTGGACACTGTGAGTATGAGCTGTAAACACGTTGAACAAAAGCATGTTACAATAGCACGTGTTCGATATATAAGAGATTATTTTTCTTGAGAAGTTTGGCAGTAAACCTCGCCTTCGTGTACTCGACCCAGACCTCTAGGTTCGCTTGCAAGAGATCTTTACCTGGCACAAAAACTTAATTTTCTCCGAGCTTTAAAAGTCCTGAGTAATCAGTTACGCAAACAGTTGAGAAAACACTTGGGTAAGGTTATTAAGAGAGAGATCTCATCTTGGCAAGTCACATGATCTCTTACCTCCAACCAAGCTCCTAGGGTCACCAGAGTCTTCATCTGTTTTCGTGAAACGTGAGTATGGCTTGGCTGACACAGGACGACCAACCTGATTTATTCTATCAGCTCCTGGTGAAAAATGTGTGAATAAGTTAACACGTCAGCCTGTCTAAAAGTTGGGTAACAGAAGTCTTAAGTTCTACTAAACCTGTTGTGGCGAACTGAGTTAAATTTTCGGAATCTGGTTACTAGCTAATAGGAGACAAGCTATGTCATAAGTATGTCGGGTCGAGTCTCCAGCAAAAGAAGAATTATAAGACACACAAATCAATTCATCAATTGAATCTTATCACAGAAACATTTTCACCCTAAAACATGAAAAATTAAAAAATTCTGGCCTACCACTTTCAACCTACCTGGTGAACCTGCAACCTTGGCCGACATTGGCCTGTGTCGGGTCTTGTTAAGGGCCACCGAGGTGCCATACGCTGAAACAGCTGTTAGCGCCCGTGCGTGTCGATCTGTGACCATGGGTCCCGTGCTGCTGAGGTCCTCTGTGGGCCTGATGAAGTCCCCATCCGGGGTGGGATTTGAGCTGTAGAAACATGCAGAGAGAAATTAACTCAATCCTTAGACAAAGATTAGTTCCTTAGTTGTGACAAGTGAAAAAACAACTACAGTCACTGAACTGGGAGCTTCTGACATCAACGAAACAACAAATCGCCATATTTACCTCCTGGAGTACCTGTCTCCTTCTTTTCTCCTGTGCAGACCAGAGTCGTTTGAAGGTGCCTTAGTTGAACTCTCTTCCGAGCTCCTCTCTGGCCGGCCTCCTAGAAACACGCTGGCGTTTTTGTTCAATTTGGTATACGTAGTTAAAAGATCTTCCAACTCTGTCTCGCTGTAGAAATGGAGCAATCAAGTTTTTTCACATTTTTTCCTCGTAGTTAGAATTTTCAGATCTCTTTCAGTATGCATCCTTACCTTGCAATTGCCATAAAGACCTTGAACTCTTCATCCGGGATTTCACCGGTGAAGGAGTTGCTTCTTGATAGCCCATACGTGCGGTTGATTTCTAGTCGCTTTTGAAATTGCATGGTCTCCTGTTGACAAATATCATTTCAAAAGCTGTAAAATATAGACAAATTGTACTTTCAATTTCTGTAAGGTTACTGTACATTTGCTGGTTCCTGGGAATGGGTGTCATATCACACACCTCTCTAGGTATGATCAGAAGCCTGTAACCTAGCTAGTTTGGATGAATAGACAATGAAAGGAGAAAACAGGATTTGATAGAAAAAAAAGAGAAAAAAAACAAGGATGGTGATAAGACGTACGAGCCCTAACGTATTTCCATATTAAGTAAAGAGAAGTAAACCTTTCCATAGACGCGGACGAAATCCCCGAGCTGTTTAGCCAAAATTCTCCGCCTGAAAGAAAAGCAAAAGCGCATGAACACACTTCTTCCCTGGACAACAGATGCAAAACGTTCTCCGCACTGAAAAATTCACATTATCAGCTCACCAGCTGAAGACTTAACCTAGCCTTAGCTGACTTGAATTTTGTATTTCGAAGAAAGGTTAACCCTTACAGACGAGTCTTAACTACCTGATACCTACACAAGTGGATCGCTTGGCGCAACAATTAGCCGATGTTCAGGAAATGAGCCCGAGCTCATCTCACGACAGCACATTCGGAGAAGAATAAAAACTGAACTTGAGAGAGCGAGTCGATTATCTAACAGTCAAAAATGTTAAATAAAGTGGTGTGCTGAAATTTTGACGACGACTGGCCTTCTAATCAGCCTTTGGCTTCAACTCGTTCATTTGAAACTAACTGAATTTCCTCTAAATTGACGATCGTTTTTCTTCAAAATTTTCCCAAGATAATCATCGGTCCAAGCGGTATCTCACCTGTCATGTAACGGTAACTTGTGGCTCGGTACAACAACTTTGAAAGGCTGTTGTAAATTGCTCGCTGCCTTCTTCAGGAAACGAATCACCAAGTTCTGAAAATAACAATATGAAATGAAAGAGATTCTCCTATTCTCAGTCTCTGCACAACATAAAAGGGAAGCTGTGTAGTGATATCGAAGGGAAAAAAAGGAAAGAAGCAGGCTGGACGTTCTTTTGTGTTGTAATACCGCTGCAAAATTTTAGTTTTTATTGAGACATTCAATGTAAACTGCACAAACCATTTGGTCGTCTTGTTTGGATTCTCTACTATCTCTGGAATCATCTGAGTCATAGCTGACAAAGAAAACAAAAGAAAAACGCAATAGCTGACATCTTCACCTCCAGAATCTGAATATGTTCGGCTAAATTAGAGAAAATTCAATGAAATTTGTCCAGAAACAATCAACAACGAATGGCGAAGCGGAAGAGATGAACTCTAGACCACCGAGAAACAACCCAACTGAGTGTAAAACTTGAAAGCGTGAATCTGGAAGCTCCCGTCTGCAAATTTGGCGCCTTAAGCCACACGGGCATGCTACTCCCCTAAAAACTGCCTGTAATTACAAAACGGTGCAAATATAATATTTTCAGTCAGAAAGAGGTGCTTTCTCGGGTTGAATTCATACCTTGTCTCGTGCATCAGTCTTTGTTGAACTCTTTGTAAATACATTGCAAATGCCTGCCTGGCTTGCAGCTTCCTGTAAGTATAAATACAACAGCTCCGTCACTCCCTTCAGAGAAGGCGGGATTCACGAGCAGCCAAAACATATCAACCAAATCTCAGGAGGAATTTTTAGAAGAATGAGACACCAAGCACAATCAAACTTCATGTTTAAGTCTGCAGTAGCCATGGACTCGATAACGGTATACTACAAACTCCAACACTTACGTCAGGGTTCCCGCCTTTGCCATGATTTCCTCCACTCTGATTGGTTGGTATCGCGGCTGCGCGGATAAGACACGTTTTGACACTGTTTCGCCGCTGCTTGGTAGTGGTGGCTTCTGCACACGCGTGGCTTCCTGGAAGGGTCTTGGTTGAGGGCTTGCTGAGGACACTCGATACGGCGGTGCCTTTCCCTCTGAGTCCAATGAGGGCTTTGGTCCTAAAAGAAGAATGAAGGAAAAAAGTCGAGTATCCTCTTCCGCCTGAACTACAGAGAACTCAAAAAGGAGCTAGGCCTTCATTAGGTTTATTCGTGACAAGCGTCCTTGATACCGCTAGCATCATCAATTTCGAAAAAGTCCTTTGTGATAATGTTGCATCGCATTGATCGTTGTCTTTTTAACGGAGTATTATTTCACAAAGTGCTTACCAGACAAAAGTAAAGAATTTGATAAGTTAGACTACGAGTCGGCATCGGGAACGAAAACAGTCCTAATCAAGCGATTGAACAAAACAGTCGCTGCGCACGCGCGTTAGCTGAGTTGTGATTATTGGCGGAATTCATACAGTACTGACCAATAAGAAAGAAGCACAAGTCACTTGAACATACCTCCAGGATAAGAAACCGATTTTCCTTCCATGTAATTCGTCACCACTTGTCCATCGGGGGTAGTGCGCGCGATGGAAGTATCACGTGGTTTCTCTGACATCTCTTGGCTTGTGTTGGGGGTACCTTAAATAAATCACGTGACGAGAATTCAATAATGTTTCCACAAACGGTGTAAAAACAGATATGGATTGATTTTGTTGAGAAATGTGGAGATATCACAAAGTATTAGTTTAACGCCAAAATTCCCCACATCGACATTTCATTTATGTTACAATCAACACAATAATTATTTATATCGAGACAGAGTAGTATAAAATAGTACGCTAAAAATCTACAAATGTAAAATTCTTCCTTACAAACACGTCTATGGCTTTTTTCTTCTAAAAAACTGCTCAGAACTTAATGTGTTCGGACTAATTTGCAACTTGAGCTCAGAGCAGTGGCATTTTGACAACATTACGCAGTGTTTTCGCACATAGTATTCCTGAGAAAAATTAAAAACTTTCCTATAAGCTCAAAACATTAACATTACTTGCACTCGGAGTCGTGCTGCCAAGGGCTTTATTCGTTCGGAGGAGAGACGGACTCTATTGGATAAGGCAAAAGAAAATGTTATCTTTACGTTTTACTGCTAGGGTCATGGGGACAAATCAGGATTAACGGAGCATCTTAAAATTCTGATCGATTATCCTACCCACTTAACAATTTGTTGCACATTCACGAACTTTCATTTCACATCGGAAAAGTTGTATTACATACCCAACTGTCTAGTTTTCTCTCGTAACAAATAAGTCTTTCCTTGATACCAAGAGAGACATCCCCTGAAACCTGATAAAAGGGATAAAAATACTGGAATTAAAATGTGATTTCTTCTTCTCGTTAACGAAGTTTTTTTGAATGGCGAGGATTTCTAATCCTGAATTTTTTTAGGCCTCTTAACTGCAATTGCTTTATTTGCTTGATTTTCATCCGCACGTCAAATTTATTTCGTTACAAGTTTCTAAGGATATCTAAGACACATTAAAATCAACTTTTGTACAGCATTATTTTCGAAACCGTCAAAACTATACAATAATTCACTTAAAACAAAAGCGACTTGTCTACTTCTTTCTTAAATCAATTTGTTTATTAAGTAATTTTTCCTAAGCTAACAATATTTTCTGGACCATCTCAAAACTCCAAACAGTGTAATGCCACTCGTGTAATTATAAGTGAATCTGTTCTCACCTCAGGAGGTTCAACTATCACATTAACTTTAGACTGAGGAGCTCCGTACAAGGCTATGCTCCTGAAAAAGAATGCGATGTCAACACAAATGTAAGGATGGGAGACTTCGCTGACAAGACTAATTTTTTTTATATTTTAGAGAGGCAAAATCTGTCCTGCCAACCTGACTTAAATGGACTCTCCTTGACTAAAATACTCCCTCGTGAAATCATGATTACACGTACTCTTGAGTTTAAACATGAAGACAAATATAAAGCACTAGTTAAACTTACCTTGCCCTTGCACTTGCCGAGGAAAAGCTTGCTGTACTGGGTCTTTGAAGGGAGGATTTTCTGTAAAATCAGTGTTTACCGAATTAATTCATACCGAATTGTGTGCTCAGGAGCGTTTTGAAGTGTAGCTACTAACTGCTCATTATTCCACCGACAAAACGTAAGACTTATGGAGACCGGGCGTTCAGTGCTGCAACGCCAAGGCTATAGAGTGAATTGTTTCTTAGCATTCGAAAATCTCCATCAATAGTTATTCTTGAGAAGAATTCAAAGACTTGTCTTTTTAAAGAAGCCTATCACTTTTAAAATCGATTTTGACATATGTATTTATTTAATAATAATTATTATTATTTTTGTTTTGTTTTGTAAATTTATTAAGTCTTTACCTCAGCATTATGATTGTAAAGCGCTATGGAATATTGGCTGAATAGCGCCATATAAATCCATATTCAGTATTAAGTGTGGATTGGTCAAATCAGAAAATTGTTCCAAATCTAAAATAAAATAACTAGATTAGTTTACCTTCCAGGAAACAGTTTTGAATGCAACATATGATTATGGGTTGTACGATGCTCTAGAAATGACCTAAAATGAAAGAAAAATATATCAATAACTCATAAAATGAAGACATTTATTAATGTTAGGAATATTTGTCATTATTTTTCGGGATTGCTGAACAGGTACAAAATCTTTCTGCTTCAGCGCGCAACTTCCGATAAAAACTGGTCCTTACAGATATGTTTAAATTTCCCCTCTACCCCCCAAAACAAATGCGTGGTATTTTTCATCTGTCCTCATTTTCTCATCAAATCCACGTGTTTTAGCAAAGAACTCTGCACACGTTGCTTACACTTTGCTTACCCATAGAGCTCCCAGGAGTCAGGGGAAGGGAAAACGCGGACGAAACCACCCCTCCTGGAGAATTCTTCGCGCGTGTGACGTAATATTCTTGCTTCCTCTGCTGACAAACCATCTTCAGTTTTTCTTCTCGTTCCTGAAGACAAGGGTCGTGAGTTTGGCATCACAACTCCACCAGCTGTGGCTGATCGCTGCCTCTGTATAAATACAAAATGGTTTTTGAACGAATATTGTTAAAGATAATCAAAAAACAAATTTTAGGCTATGGAGGACTCGAGTTATTGGTACAAAGTCGCAGAAAAACAAGTGTAACCTATAACGGTAATGAGTAAAATAAAGAATATAATTTGGGTAAGCAGGTTAAAGAAATTCAGCTTAAAAAACCAATATAAATGAAATTAATTGGTCAGAGGACGGTATTTTCCTTGGTTTTTAACGACCACTTGAACGAAATTCACCAAGAGGAAAACTTGGAAAACGGTATAGTTACTGAACATTAGTATTGACAATACAAAAGTGGTGCTCGACTTCATGAAATAACCCACCTGTTTAGCATGTTTTTGGTCATTTTTTTTCTGACACAATTATCCAGTTATAGGACTTTGCATTATTAAATTCAGAGGTAAACGAGCTTGTAGTATTGAAATCATGTTAAGCATTCCAAGAGAGGCTTTAAAACCAACCATAAAACGGAGCAAAATAAATCTTTATAGAACAGACATTTTACACGTAGACTTTAATCGTTATGCTGAGGAAAGATGTTTCCAATTCAAGAGATCTGTTACCTGATATCTGTTTTTTGGTGGATTATCAGCAACAAATCGCCGGTTAGGAAGTTTACGAACCATTGGATCATGAGCTGTAAAACCTACAAACAAACAATTTACTGTGAAGAAGTACATAGAAACTCAAAGCCGAGGATCTAGAATAGACTACGACGATGGTACAGTCAAGCAGGGCTAGTAAAGTAACCACAGCAGCCAATCAGGGGCTGAAAAACCATGCGAGTCACCAACATTCGTTTAAGCCCTGTATCTGATTGGTTGAAAGATGGCATGAGTTTTCTAGCCCAATTGGTGCCCTAGTAGTGTAACAAAGTAAATAAGTAACAGAGTTGGGTGCTGTCTGACACGCTAATGATGTTTTTAGTGAATTTAAATTTTGACAAAAGAATACATTCGGCACAATATTATGGAGATGCGAGAAAATTTCTCTTGCTGTCACCAGGCATCACTCACCAATTAAATTAAACATGTCCGATACTAGATGAGACTTGATCTTCAGATCCAGCGGCGAGTCACTATAAATATGAGAGTCAAATTAAACAAAATTAAAAACGAACGAACGAACAAAACACAAAAAATAAACAGGTAAAAGGTACAAGACACATTTACACCACATATCCTAAAATTGTAAACGAACACCTAAACAGCTCGTTTGATCCTGTTACTCAAACGTTCTCGAAACGTGTTGTTTTGCCTTTTTTGAAGCACAACAATAACGATAAAATCGTTAAAATCAATCAAAATACAACTTGAAGAATAAAATGAAATTTTAACTCACCAAGCAAGAGATGGAGATAAATTAACTTCCAGCAACCACGGACGTAGATTTTCGTCCACGAGGATGTCAAAGCCATATATTTCTACGAGATAAGATCTAGGTATCAGCTGAATAATTTATTTCAACCACACTAAATGGTTAAGTTCGTCAGGCTGGGTTGCATTAAATTGCATTAACATGGAAAAGGACAGAAGGAAAAAACGAAGAACTGGATGAAATAACCCACTGGCCAAGAGCAGGAGAAAGCACCCAAAGAGACAGACACAAAATAACAGAGAGACGGCAGCAAAATTTTTAAATGGTCAAAAAACCTTTCTCAGAGGTTTCTTACCAAAACAGTTTCCTGCATAGGGCATGAACATTTTACAGGCAGAGGCGATGTGAAGCTCTCCAGCAATGATGGTCTTCACCACTACATCTTCTATTCTCATCATAAGAGCTACATGAAAAAAATTAACAATATTGGTGATCCTGAAGTTCACTAGCTATTTCTCAATAACTTTTTCTGATTAGTTAGCATACCTGTGGTGTCTTTGCCAATCTGTTTGAGGTAACGCAACATGGCACTCATGCTCCACTTGTTTCCAAAATCTTCAACTTCAGGATCTGGACACCTTAATTACACAAACATAAAGGTTTTCATTGTCTGTTAACAGTTTAAGTTCAACTACTGTTATGTCTACTTATTCCAATTTTTATCTTTAAGTTGGTGAGAAAGTTTTTTTAGATCGTTTTTTCTTTTAGGGAAAGGATACAGATGATCTAAATCATAAACATTTAGATGCAAAGAGAAGATCAGAAATAGATTCATACACCAACTTTTTTAAACCTGTAATACGAAATTAATCTCTGTTGGCCTGGAGCCCCTTGCCTCAAAAATGCGGTGTACCAAGCTCTTAAAAATTTTCATAAAAGTAAGGTTGTTTAAGTCACCCATTGACAAAAATTGATTGCCTATGACACTCCAACTTCAGAAAGCTTTTTTTTTTACCACACATACCTGACAAAATCTGCATTTTTCTTGTTGACACTGTAGTTTGTTAAATGCATGCAAACATTCTTAATGTTTTTGCCCGTCCTGTCATATTTCACAGTGGCAAATCTGAAAGAGACAAGTCCCAATTATATTTCAATATTGCATCTCTAGACCATATTTATATTTCATACAGTGCATGGTGTAAGAAACTCTCTGAATATCATGACCAACCTTGTCAAACCTTCTTCATAGAGATACACCCTGACAGGATCAAAACATGTCACACCAACATACAGTCTCAGGTCAAACTTAAAACCTAAAATAGAAACAAACAGCTTGTAAATATCAGTCATAATCATTCTATTATAGCATGTCACAAATATCAAAATGTCATATAATGAAAACAGAATAAGTCCAATTTGCCTTTGATGGTCAGCAAAAATTTCTTCTCAAAAGAAAACTGAAATAAAGTAATTTCAGAATGTAAAGCCTAAGTAAAAATGCTCACACTTTAACGAGATGTTGAACTTGTGGTTATTGGTTAGCACTCCTATTATATTAATTGAGTAACAAGATCTGAAAGCATTAATTACAGTAGCAGAACTGGTGACCAATTTCAGTAGACAAGACATCCATCATCATGTGTAGCAGTCTTTTCCAATGGTAGGACAAGTACATCAATCTTACCATCAACAAGCAGCGGATTACTGATGTATTTGCAGACTAAGAGATTGTCATCAAGTGGAACGTGGCTCGGCTGGAAAGAAAGATCAACGAGTTCTTTTAGCAATGTGTGAAATACATTACAGTTTCTAGAATACAGAGCTAACAAAAAAGTCTTAAGAAAATTGAGAAAAAGTCATCTTGAAGAATGTTTTTGAGTAGGATCACCCATCAAGAAATAAGTAAGAATAAATAAATATGCAACTTAATCATACTTTTTGTTACATCAGCATACAAACTTTTAGGACCAACAAGAACATATGTATAATGCAAATAGTCCTCAGTAAACTCACATGATTGACTAGATAAATTCCTCTGCCGCGTGAAGAGGCAACAGGTTTTACAATCCATGGCCTTCTGTCCTTTAGAAATGCCGCTAAGATAATGATACAAGTATATAGAATAATGTTTAAAGTTTTTTTTTATTGTAAAATGTTGCAATGTTCTGTAATTGCATGTGATCAAAAAATGTGTGTCATCCACAAGATTGACAAAAAAGGTTCATGCACAAGACAAACCAATTTTATAATAGTTCATAACATACATCAAGTGTTACAGATCCTTCTAAACAGTACTTACCATTAAACTCATTAAACTCCTCAGGTATGATATAACTTTCTGGTATGAAATCGAAATGTTTGACACCCTTAGAAAAAAAAGCAATAAGCTTATTAGTTTGGAATGATAGCATCATGCTCACTACCACAAGTTTTAACTCTGAAGATTTTATTTCAGACTCTGTCCCTTGTTAGTTGGTTAAAATTGTTTGATGCTTACAACATCAAATTAGATAACAAACTTGAGTTGTTACCTGATAACTCTGACTAATCCAATCACCTGTTTCTTACCTACTGTCCTGATATTTTAGAGATAAGTTACACATTTATGACAAAGTAAAATAAAGACTGATGATGTAAACAGCACTGTACTTTTGAATGTTGCATTCGTTGAATGTTCTTGTACAACTTGTCCTTCCTGGTCAGTTCATAAGACCTGTTCCAAAACAAAGTGTAATTATAATGTCCAAATTCAAAATAGAGCACTAGTAGATGTGGTTAAATTGACATCTACACAGAGGGATCTCCTAAAGAAGCATAGGTTATAGGGGTAACTGTAACTGATAGAGGTGAGAACAAACTATTTCACTGAATTTCAGGAGATTGGGGATTGCAAAGTAATGAGGGCATTTGCTTTGCACTGGCTTGGCCTGTGTTTGACAACTGGGAATGAGTTGTAGCTCCTGTCCATCTTTTTTCCAAGGGTTCCCTTTTGGTTTTTCAATTGCTCTGACAGCCTTCACCCAATCTATCATAATTATTATTTAAAGTATGTGGCACCATTATTAAATTTGACTATTGATACCTTGGAAAATGGTTGATCTTTTGGAAATCCTGGAGACCTCTGAGAGTGTGAGGCTTGATGTGTGAGCCAGTCCACATCAAATTAAAGTTTGAACTGTTGGGATGAACCTGAAGAGGGAAAATTTAAATATTTTTTATAATAAGAAAGGAGTTTACCTGTAGATTGATAGAGCAAGTACTGGTAATCAAAACGTGGTTCAAATACAATTGAACAGCTTATTTCATAAAATGTTCCTTAAGTTTAGAATTTATTAGAAAATGCATCTAGTAAGAATCACTCTTTATTCAGTGGTGCATTTCAAAAATTAGAAATTACTATAATAATTACCCATTAGTATAATAATTTTGATTACCATTTATCCTCAGATCTTTACCTCTCTAAAGCAGTGAACATTCAAGATACTTCGTACAAGTTTGCATTCTGTCTTGACAAATTTGTAAGTCAAATGATATTTTTCTGTTAGGAAGACAGTAACAAGATCGGGTTACTGATAAATAAACATCACTAACCCAGATTCAAATGATTTATTTAAGATCTAAAAAATACTCCCATACTCTATTCTGTCACTGACTGTTGTTTTATTTTGTATCAGTTCAAGCCTCTTATAGGAGGGAACCCATTCCCTTAATTAGCCTCTGGGTTCTACTGGACTTCCTTCCTATCTCTTCTAATAAAAGTCTACATTATTGGGAGTTAAATCTTGACAAATTTAATATGATATTGTGTAGGAATCATGTATGATTCGACAAATATCCTACTTTTCCTGATATAGCATTTCTCACAGGCTTAAAATTCTACAACTGAGCTAAACATCAGGCATATCTTAACTTCAGTTAATCATAATCTATGTTGTGTGTCTGAGCTGGCAGCTTTTAAACTGTACCAGTTACTCTGTATTGGTTTACTGGCTATGTTACAAGTCAACTGCTCCATTCAAGATTCACACAAAGATATGGCATAGATTGAATATCAATTTTTATAGGAATTCTTGTCACTCTGACTCTGCTGTAGCAATAAAACTAACATTAAATATGAGTTATTTGATTCAAAGATTTTTCTTACCTGCTTCTGCTTTTGATTCTGGAGGCAAAGTCAGTAATAAAACATGGGGAGAGAAATTAATCAATGGATGCTTCTTATTGGGGCCAGTCCACTTAATGATGCTGAAAAGGGAGAGTTAAATTGAATCAATTAATGCTGACGTTAGTACTAACAGCATATTTCAGAGGGCAGGTTCAATCTCAATCAACAAAACTTGGGCGTTGATCAATTCGAGGCTTCAACATCTCCCAACTAACTTTTGAAGATTGGTTAGTTCAAATTCTTGGACCAAAATTGTGTTCAACTGCCCTACCCAAGTGCTAGATTTGATGGTCAATTTTCTGATAAAAGGGAAAAACAGTGACTGTGACTTCCTGTTCATTGACTAAGCTTTAAAACCTAAACCATGTAGACCCAATGTTTGAAGGTCCATGGGACAGTATAAAAATATCTTAAAAATATCATTACTTGGTAGTTAAGCCCAAGGGGATATGTTGTGCAGTATTATCACAGAGCTGTATTATCAACATTGTTACCTAGTTTTTTCTTGCAATTCCTCTGATGGTTCCTCCACTTGAGAAGCCACTGGTATTTCAGCTTCTTCTCCACATTCATCATTTTCTGTCACTAAAGAGTCTGTATCAGAATATCCACCACGTTTCTGTGGCCGGGCCATACTTATAGCCTCTTTGTAGCTACTGTTTGGTCACTCAAACCTTAATTTGATTTTGTTTTGAGAAGTTTCATAAACTTAATTCTTTGTTTGTCAGAATAACTGCTTTAACACAAAAGTAAGAACAGAGTCACAAAACGGCAGTATGATAATGTTTTGATACATCCACCGAGACAAGTTCCCCAGCTGTTTATGCCTCTCTGCTGAAACACAACTATGTTGATTTAACAGATATAATTTGTTGATATTAGTCCATCAATTAATCTTGCTTAAACCTACAACAAAGTAATCATTCCAGGGTAAATTTGTCCAGTTTATCTCTACAGAATAAAAGCCTAAGTATGTCTCTTTCCGCTTTTCCAATGCACAATGGAAGAATGACGAGAAGAATACAAAGCTTGGAAGAAATTCCAGCGATGCTTACTGAAGCGAGCAGTTAACAACTCTTTCCGTGAACTGTCAAGGCACTTAACAAAAAAACCGTGTCGCCAGTAGAGCTCAACTATTGACCACAAAATATTCGGGCCCAACGACTTTGAATTTGTGATCCAAGGTGAAGAAACTCCTTAAAGTCTAACAGAAAATAAGCATAAGCTTTTCTACCGGTTTAAAAAAATCCGCCATTTTTATGTACATTCCTCGTTGCCATCCAAGTAAGCAAGGATCTCTGGGAAGGCATCAAATTGCGTGACAAGTTCGCATCGCGTGATCGTCACAAATCGTCTATTTGACCTTCCACAAAGCAGAAACGTTACTACACGGAATCTTTAAGTCCTCTTTATATGATGGAGCAATGCCTTGACCAGAACCAGGAATTCGTGGATCTGATAACTTCGGAAAGATTATGTGGTGAGTCTTCGAACATAAGTAGCCCTTCCTACGACGCAAGCGGTAGTTTCCTTGAGAAAACGAAGAACCTTTTTTGTTCTGGCGTGTTTTTGAAGGGCGTCGCTCATGCTGTGGGATTCTGGAATCCCAGAAAAGGATTACGTGTTTTAATGGCAATAATCGTGTTATTTCTGGATGTTTATTATCTCTTTGAAGCCGTGTACTACGCTTTTCTTTGCGGCCATTTTGAAACTCCCCTCGATCAATGGATGTGTCCAAATGCTTCCCAAAACTCCACATCAACTCATAACATACCCGTACTTGCATTTCTGCATGGAGTTGAGTTGGTCAATATTTTATCCTTGGTTGCCTGTCTCGCTGTGCTGATGTCTAATACAGCTTTCTTCTGGTGTATGTGGAACACGAAACGTCACACGCCAAATTGCGTGACATTAGAAAAGGCCTACTCCTCGGCAGGTCGGTCATTGTGGGTCCGCCTGAATTGCACCTTGCTTCTGTTTGGTTTCTCTCTCGTGATAATGATTGTTTGGTTTAATTTGACATTTAAAGGACTTTTTATCAATAACTTGTCAATCTCCCTGGGCATAATTCCCCGGTTGGCAACACTAACTAGTTGTTTTCTATTTTCTTTGATCACCAACGCAATGAAGGATTGCGTGACATCATGCCAAGCAGAAATCAGAAACTCTATCAACAGTAGCTTAGATGACATCATACGCATTCATAAACATCTTTGTGAACAGATCTTCTGTACTTCTGACTCCTTGAAGCCGTGGTTTGTGATTCACTGGTTTTTATTGGCTGTAACAGCAGTCATTTATGTAGCAGACATGGTGGAGTTTTTCCACAAAAATGCTACAGGGTGGTATGATTTCTATCAAGTCACTCTCATAAGTGCAATTTATTTATATGCCTTTGTCTACCCCAGCTACTGCGCTGCATCAGTGACTTCAAGATGCAATGAAATGCTCAAAGAACTTAACTTAACTTCGAATGACGAATGGGATACAGGACACCCATTTCATAGCCGCACGCAACTGGCTCTGTTCATTCAATATGCACAGTACACTGACTGTGGCTTCCGAGCAGGCGAGGTCACTTTTGGCTCCAATTTTGCGTGGTTTTCAACACTTATTGCAATGTGTGGAGTTGGCGTGAAAGTTTTGTGATCATGTCACACCACAGATTCAGAGAGAAACAATATGAGGTCAAACTTATCCTCGTGAGCTAAACACGGAAGTGGATTCTTATTGTTTTAGTAATAGGAGTAACGATTGTTGCAAACGAGTCTTGCTTTATTTTTGATTCTCTGAATATTCCACGTGGAGGATATTATGGAATGGCCTCTCCCCCTCAAATTCTCACAAAATAAGTTAGCTTTTGTTAGCAACATTCCCTCCCTCCCCCCCCCCGCCCACCTCCGTCTCCGATATGTCCCTGCTTGAATCTATTGCACAAAGTTTTTTTATTTTTAAGCTTCTTTTTTCTTTAATTACCAATCAATAATCACGTATGAATCATAATACAAAATGTCCAAAATAAATAGCGCGTACGAATATCTACAACTGATCAATGATTTGGATTAACTTTCACTCGCATGTATAAGGAACGGCTTTCAAATGAGTTAAATATATTTTTGCCAAGACCAAGTAAATGTAATACTCTAAATCGACAATGCCGTTCTGAGATTGACGATATGATTGTAAAGTTTTACAGCGGGACCCAATTTCAGGCTCATTCCTTTCATTAACATCTCTGGCGAAAGTGAGAGTAAAGCTTTACCATCGATCTCCTGCAAAATGGAAGAAAAAAATACAACTTAGTCACTGAATGAAAATGCAAGCTGTAGAATATTCCCAGCTTTCTTTTTCCCCTTTTTTTTTCTTAACCGTTTGTGGGAAACCAAGTTCATTCTAAGGCTATTTTTCAATTTCAAGGGAAAGGCCTTGAGAATGAGGTTCGTGGGAAGCCTGGGGAAGACAGTTCTAGTAGTCATGTGCAAAATGAAAAAAATTGAACACCTTTCGACTTGTATTTTCAAAATATTATTTTTGCTAAGCGAGGCGGGGGTAGAGTTTATCAAGAAGTTTTTGCCATACTCATCAAGACGTCTTTACCATACTCATCACGAAAGTGCGCGGTTGTTCTCTAATTCAGGATAGGTTCGTTTCAAAGAGAGTTGCAGACCCGGCAGAATATCTGCGAGGATCATTCTCGTCTTTATGAAGAACTGCGTTAAGATCAGTGGTGATCAATTCTGATTGGCTGATGCTAAATTGCAACCAATCAGAGGCACTGTACGGACCTCTGGCCTGCGTGTTACCAGTTTCACTTTCGATATCTCCGAAAAATAGCTAAGAGAGGAAACTTTCCATGTTAAAAGGCAAACTTTTAACGGAACAGACGACATTAAAACTACAAAGTTCTTTGGTCAGATACAAACCTCCTCCAGAAAAAGTTCCGCTTTATCCTTACAGTCTGTTGCAGCAATAAAATCTCGCACGTTGTTTGCGTCCCATTTAGTCAACTCCTTATCGCAGATGGCATCAGTTTTTATATACTCCACCAGTGGGGGACTGAGTTCTGACCCATGACTCACTGAAACCACCTCCCTGGGTACCAATCTGGGCCTAACATATATGGACATGGGATTGAAGATGGCATCTTGTGTGCTTGGCGTTTGACTTGGCGCAGAGTCAGGTGTACGGCAAACAGCTGGGTAATGGACTTTCTCTGAAGGGACAGTGGAAAATTTATCATCTGAAGCCATCGGAGAGTCAGTTCTCTCATCTTTTATCATTCGCAAGGGACCTACGTGAGCACCTGTTTTGTGATGTTGCGCGTACGTGTGTGTACGGCCGGGCAAATGAGGCTTTCCTTCACCGCCTAGAAGAGCACCGTTTACGTAAGGTGGATCTGTTTGCGATGTGTTCGTAAGCGTGACAGCTGCACTGCTACTACTTGACTCGTAACCTGAAATAGCTCTTGCATTCGACGACGCATTGTCTTTGTACAAAGAGGGTTGTGATTGTGCAGGGTGAACGACCTTTCCCTTGCTAACGACACCGGTACACGCACCATGTGTCTCCTTTATGCAAGGCGTCGAGTGTGGAAACGGGTACGACATCGGCGTGCTTGTGCTTCCAACTGACACACAATCGTCGCTTTTATACTTTGACGGGTGGCCTTCAGGGCTTAAGTTTCCCCTCACCTGGTGGGAATGCTGAGAAGTTGCCGGTAAAAATGCATAGGCTGGCTCTCTTTTGTTCGTCTTATACACTGGGACTAGATAACCCGACCGAGGATGCCGAGGGATGCCAGACAAGTGCGATTGCGCCGTTGAATTTGAAAGGTACACAATACATCCGGGATCCAGAGCAACAGATGGTGACGACGTTTGTCCCTTGGCAGCGAAAGACGGGCTCGTCGTGACAACTGGTGTCGTCATGGACACTGCGGCTGGGGTGGACTTGCTCTGTGGCGTTTTCACGAAGAAGGCGTTTTCGTCTTCTCTTCGGTCCACCAAAGAGTAGCATTGTGTTATTTGAGGCACATTTTTTTCTCCTATTCAAAAGAAAATAACAATTATTTTAGGAAGTTTTTTTTGGTCCGTATGATGCATCTTTATCACATGCTGTTTTTAAATTAGTTCTTGATCTCTTCCGGGAGACCATTGTGCAATGGTCTCCTGTCTCTTTTCGTTAATTCATCTGGCGCTAATTTGACTGTCTCTTCTCGAAAGTTTATCGTGTCCAGTTTATCGAGAGCTAACCTTTGACGCTTGTGCCCAGGTCTCCTTGATTGTGGTGCAATATTGTATTAGAATTGCTGGATGTTGAGGTCGTGCCAGGCTACAAAGATAAAAGAGGAAGAGTCAATCGATTTACTTTAACTTCTTCGCTGAAGTAAATAAACAAATATGTTACCAATAACCATCAAGTTACAGTGCTTGCACAAAATACCTCAACGTTCGAATCTCTGCTGAAATGACGACAGTAACTGGATATCAAGGGGCGGAATTGGGGGGGGGGGGGAATCGCAGGCGTTTTCCATTTCAGTTCAGGTATGGTTAGTGCACTTCGCGCCTGCATGGGCCATGGATCCGAGCGCAAGTTACATTGCAGACCGAGAAAACGAGGCTTGTAAGAGGTGTATATATATAGATATAGATGGGAAGTCTGTATTTCGATTTTTCCACAGTATAGTGCTCGATATATAGAAGTAGAGCGCGATATATATTGAGCTAGGAAAAACAAGGAGACTTCACTTTCATCCAGTGTAGTCTCTTTCTTTTTTTCTATCTCAATACATATAAAATATATATATATAAAATGTTCAAAGCACGCACCTTACATCACACGAGTTCACTGTTTTATAAAAGATTAAAAAAAAATTGTTCCTCGAGCATTGTTGAGTTATATAAGCACTTCTCTCGTGTTCATAAAAATTCCCAAGTGCTTATATAATTTAACAATGCACTCGGTGCGTTTTTTTATTTCTTTAATATATGTTACCTCTGGTTAGCAGTAAATAATGTAGACTTACCTTGTTTTCTCTTTCAAAAATATTCTCCAGAGTTGTTGGTTTATCGACGCACATAAGTTTAGGCTACGATTCAAAATAGATAGCCTTTGTCACCCTTAATACGAGAGTGCAATCATAAAGATGCTAAAGGCCGTGGTAATTCGTGAAAGTTGAGCTGCATGTGCCAATTTCGAAAGCAGTCAAACTCATATTACCACAGTCCAAAGAGTAAAACATTTTATTGACGTAGTTCTCCTAATATTTGGCCAGTTCCTTACATTTTTTGGGTAATTTTTGAACTAACGATCGGTTACATATTTATCTGATCAGAAACAAAATATTACATCAACTGTTAGGTTTAATACTTGACTCGTGACTAATATTTCGAATTTCTGTATTCAAATTTTCAAAAAGGGCATCAGTATACAAAATATCGTTAATTCAACTATCTCTTCAAACAAATTAAAGGCGATCTTTTTTCTAGAGAAATTGTATTCAACAAACTAACCATTAGTCTTGTTTCATCATCTATAATTCCTGACTCTATCTTTCGTTTCCTCTCTTTCCGCACTCCTTCTACTGTCGGAAGTTTTTGAATGGTTACAGAACCATCAACTCTTTTAGGACTGTGTGCGGGTTTGGTTTCTGTAAATTTGGAAACAAGACCTCTTCAACACAATATCTCTCTACCATATCTCAAAAGCTCATACATCGTAAGAGGAGGATCGTTTTTGCGGAGTAGAATTGATCCGTTTTTCGAGAACATTTTCTACCCTGACAGTTATGGCATGGTGATGAAAGCTCGCGAAAAATGGAAGTGTGCAAGAATATTGTTACCGTGTTCACGTAGTAATCGTTGTAATAATTGTAAATGAGGAATGGTGTCACTACACGGCATGGGAAAATTATCCAATCTGTTTACCTTTTTCCAGGCCTGTTTTGCTCTCATAATGCTGCACCTCATAATTCTCGTTAGCTGTCAGAGACTGCAATAAAAAAATATTGAGGATAATCAGCAAGACTCGGCATAAATTCGCAAGTAATTAATGTTGGTAAGGATACTTTAATATACAATACATTGTCTGTGTTACTGGATCATTGATGATAAAAATTCGTTCAAAATTTTATAAATAATCAGAGCTAGTAATAAAATTGTTTAAGTATTGCATTTCTCCGAGAGCACAGAGGTTTATCTATCTATATTTATCTATCTATCGCGAGAGGTTTATTAAGTCGTTAACTTACTAGTAATCGGATAAAAAAAACGGACAAAGACATCGATATGTCAAAGTAAATTGCGCACTGACATAAACTATTTTTGTTTATGTAAATCTTTTTAGCTTGAAGTATTTTTGTGATTCGCACCCTCCACTTTAACATTTCTTCAGCATTTCCGAATGAAATATTTTAAAACTGTCCAGCCAAGTAGTTGGCCGTGTTGCAATTCCAATCCAGAAGTCCCTGGTTCGAGTCTCAAGCCAAACTTCTGTGAAGGCAACTTGTTTGTCTTCTGCAGTTGTCATGCGTTTTTCTCAGCATTTGTTTCATTCATTTACTCAGGTCTTCTAGCCTTTGTGTTATAAACACAGCCAAGAATAAATAAAGGTAACTTTTAAATTCTAAAATTTAAATTTCATCTAAACTCAACCAAAAGTTAGTTGACAGTTAATAGTTTCTTTGTCTTTTTTTAAGTAAAATTTTACTCTGGAGCTCTAAATAAGAAATGTGAAATTTGACAGATGGCGAGTCAACGAGAGATTCCTCTTTTTTGGGAGGACGAAATCTTACTTCTTCAGTATTCTAAATTGGTTTAAAATCAAAAACAGAGCCAATCATCTCTGATCACGACTTCATCCAATATATCTTCGGAAGTGTTTGGATATCTTCGGAAGTGTTCGGATATCTTCGGAAGATTAAGGAAGTGAATGAAAAGCTTTGTAAAAATCAATTGATTTTTATAGCCAATCAAAAATCCCTTCAGTGGTAAATGATTTTGGATGAATTATTTTTTCACAATGGTTGTCAAGCCCTCTATTTGATATGCTCTGATAACGTATTGTTTCGCAATAGTTATCTTTGGTCTGAAGAAAATTTTACAAACAAAGGCAGTATGATCAAAGCATTTTCGACCAAAAGTTTGCGAGAAAACCGAGCCAAGTCAAGCTTTTCATTACAAATAACGTGATGTCTTGCCTGAGATAGTGAATTTAGCGTTCTTTGCACCTGTAAACAGGACAGCAAATAAGAAACTATTCATTTTATCCAAACTTAAAGCAAACAATTACAGATATATTTTGGCCCGCCAGTGAAAAAAGGAGAGCGAAAGTTGAATTATTAGAAAAAGAATCACAGTCACTGTATTTCTATATCTTTTTAATTCAGTTATTTATTAGCTTAAAGGGGAAAAAATTAAATGAGTCGGTTTTTTTTTCAGTTTCAATTTCCTTCTGCTTTTTCGACGGCTCGAATATCATATTTCGTATTCCGAAATTACTTTGCGGAAATATTTGCAATGGCCAAATTCAACTACATAATAAATTTCTATGGCAGTGTCATCTTCCCTAAAAGTTTCATTATCAGTTGAAAAGAAGTCTGTTAATTTGCGCGAAAGATTGAAGGCTGCCATTATGCCACAGGCGCATCTCGTCGCCCAAAAACTCATTACCTCGACTTTTCATGACGCGCACATTTAGAACCCCTGTTTTTTTTCGCATAATTTTTCAAACCGCTTTATCATCTTTTCGAAACAAGGAACTGGTATGCAAATATTAACGAGCCTGTATTGATCTTTGTGTCTACATCGCACGAAAGTGTAAATAAACCTTGTGTGAGCGCTGTAACAAATTCAAAAACCGTCTTACCTTCGACGAGTTCTTAACTGCTATGCTAGTGCCGTGTTCTTTGATTTGTGCCGTGGAGACATTTGCTGTCTCTAACGCTTTCACGTTGTATAAGAACGACTGTTTCATTGTTCTGGCCTGTTCAGATTTAATAAACTGTATTTTGCTCGTAGAATCTCTTTTCTGGTCTGTACTGTGTCGCTGTTGAACGAACTCAGATCCAGGCGGGGACTTGTCATGAAGCGTGTCACTTTTTTCCTTAGCTTGAGGTTCTAATAGAGTTTGTCTGACTTTCTCCTCCAGTTTATGATTATTAGCAACTCCAGCTTTGCTTATCTCATTTGAATTTTCGGTATGCTCCTTGTTGTTTACATTTTGGTTGCCAGCTTCATGCAAAATCTTTTCCTCGTTGGCCTGCACTCGTAGATTCCCAACGCGCTGCCATATCGGCAACTTCTGATTCCGTCGCTCTTCGACCCATTTTTGTCGATCTAAACGACGTTGCTGTCTCCTCAGATCCCATTCTTGTGACATCTTCAATATATGCAACTCATTCTTTTGTTTTTTCGAACGAAACTCAACGTCTTTACCTCCTCGACTCTTGCTTGAAGTTTTCATGAAAACTTTCGGAGTCTTTTCTATTGGCTTGTTCATAGTTGAGTGTTTTTCACGAAAAGAGCGAAAACTTTCCTGACAAATCACTTACGAGAGATTGAAAAGTTAGTAGGACGAGAATAAATAAACAGGCGAGGAATAATACTGTTTCTCTTTGCGATTCAGTTTTCTAAATTATGCGCATATCAACTAGGTACGGAAGAAAATTTTGAATAATTGTCGTATCAAATGACGCCTTAAGCGCGGACTCATACAATAACTAATATATTCCTTTTTCTATAAAATATTCGCTTTGGTAATGATTTTACGACATGGATGAGTTAAAGCGCGTATGAAAAGTAGAAATTATATGGTAAAATTTCCCGGCGGAGTGAGATAATATGATTCTTGAAGCAAAGTATTTCACTGCGACATGCGCTTCGTTGAAACAAAAAGTTTTAGAAAATACTTACAATGATTAATGGTGTGTTCTTTGACAATTAGTGTAGTTTCTAAAAATGGAACTTTTCTTTCCTGAAGGGTTGAATAATCTCGGTTATGAAAAAGCCTTTGTCAATTTGATTTCGTCTCTGTTCAATGCAATAAACCATATGCAAATTTTCTGTTGAACTACAAGGCACATTGAAAGTAACCATCAGCTGCTTCATATATGCTAATGTGATTCGTTGTCGTGTCTGGCACCTGCCCAACTGTACAAGCAATTAGAATTCATAGAAAGAATATTTTTACCTCTCTACGAATATAACACACCCATGCATTCGAATTAATCAAAACATTTCACCAAAAGTTTACGATTTGATAACTTTGATTTAAATAAACATCTTCGTAGTAAGATTAATGGAGTAGCGTTAATGAAAATCTTGATGTTTTCGAACTTGTTGATTTCAATCTGTGTCGCGCTCCAATCACTCGGACGCCAAATCTTTAAACACTTATTATTTCAAACATAATGATGGCAAAATTCAACGCCCACACTTGTCACTCAACACGCGTTTTCCAGAATTTTGGTTTTTGTAACCTGAAACCAAATCTGCGCGTAAGAAAGTCATTAAATAAGAATGAATTTGGTTTAAACTCGTTCTTCCTATTTGCCGGTGCCTCATTTTTTTTCTAGTGGCATTTTTATAGCTAATCTACTCTTAATTTGCGTGTAAAGCTAGACTGTCATAAAAAAGCGATTGAAAAGCTTAAATTTCATTTCAACAGCATCCGCATTTCTTCCCTAATTTTCCCGCAAGTTAAACTTGGGAGACTGTAACAAAAGAAATTTTGCACAGATTATCACCTCACTTGCCCCCAATTTCCCCTGCCTTTAATTGACCTAGACAGAGATTGCTGACAGTGAAAATATTATGCAACATTTCACGGATCAAAAGCTTACCGCCAAGAGCATGCGCCAAAATCTATCTAAAAATAGATGGTGTATAAATTATCATCTCGTCTGTTATAGCTTGAAGTGATCTTAATATTGATGTTGTTTGAGGTAAATCAAATGCCAAAGACTATGTTTAAGTATTCTTTTTCAAGCAGTATCTAGTCTAGCCACGCAAGGACAACAAATGGAAAGTAAAAATTTTCCTTTCATGGACCTGCTAAATGAATATGATCATTTTTTCTCTCAAGGAGAGGCGCTCTTTTGGTTTACAAAAGGCAAATCATAAATTATGAGCTATTGAAATAGAATATTGAACTTTATTGTAAACACTTTTTGTTTTGCCAATGTTGTTCTGTTTTTTTTTTTTAAATAATAATAATAACTCGACCATGAATTTAAAAGAAACTATGTAGATGATTATTTTTAATAGGTTATGGTTCTCATATTTTTGAGAAGTTGCGCTTGTGGACGATAAGCAGTAAGCGCGATATTTTATGTCATGCATTTGAAAACGGGTGTGTGGGTAACCTGGAATTCTAGATCAGTTCTTACCTTTTACAGCTGGGGCCGGCTGATAATCCCGTTTTAGCAACTAATTTACTCACTACACTTAAATTTGATCATGTACCACCAACTAGCTAGTCCTGGATAAAATGCTCGGTAAATGATTTACGTGCTTGTCGTATGGAACATAAAAAGCTCTTTTAGATTGAACACTAGTTCCCAACTCCTGACTCCGTCATAGTCGGACCAAAGCCTGGAAAAGAAAACTGTAGGGCTGTACAGAGATTGTTACATTTTTTGTTCTTAGTTTTTTAAATAAAAAGTGCCATCGAAATATGTGCTGCTAAAAGAATTTGTTCTCTTCAGGAAACAAAAGGCTGCAAAGAAAAAAAAATGTCGTAGGAGCCGTGCTGAATAAAATTTCCGCCGATGTTCCACTTCCCAGAAATTAAAAAAAATTGACGTCGTTCTGCAAAGGATGGCTTGTGAGAGGAACAAAGGGTTTTGCCATGCTGATGTTATGGGTATTCCGAAACTCACTAAAATTTGCAGATTGACCTGTTTCAGGCTAGGGTTTTTTTTTGCTTATTTTCTTTTTCCTTTTACACTTATGTTTTGCCCACGTTAAGCTGAAGGTCACAATAGACGTTAACCAAAAAGAGCCGAGGAATTCCTTGACGCGCACCTTTGATGCCGTTGACTTTTCGTGCATCTAGCGGACTCTATTTTTGCCAGTTCTCTTTGCCTCTCTCTGGGTGATGTTCGTCTTGTCCACTACGCCTACGTGCATAGCCTAGCAATGAGAAAACCTGAAAACTTCAAAAAGTCGCACACGGGTTCTCTTTGTGGATATGTCAGTAGACTTTCTTCCGCTTTTTTTCCGTTATGCCTCAAACTAAAACCATGAGCATTACAATGAACCGCTGCAACTGAGATACTAAACAGAAAGTAGTAAGGCACACAAAAACGAATGTAAATCGGGCCGGTGTCGGATGAATTTCGGCATGACGTCATATTCGTACCTTGACGTTACTGTCGACACTTCGATAACGTCAGTGTTGGGAAGCTGGCCAATAGACTGAATTTTTGCTTGATGCTCGATGCTGTGGTTTCATTTATCAAAACATTAAATAAAAAACATCAACGGAGCATTATTAAGGATTAGACAGACTTCAAGAGGTCGACATCCGTATGATTCACGGAAAATGATAAAAACCACGGGTGTTTCCGGGGTTATTATCAGCAAGGTGCGATGGCGTTACAATGACAGGACGTCACGTGTGCACTCACTGTGCGTAACTAACGATGAAATCCATCATACAAAAGAGGTTCAGAAGAACAATAGACACAAAAGATCTTGTCTTCATAGGAATGTCTAGCGCTCTTTTGTTCTGAGAAATTACAAAGTCATTTCGATGCCGACAGGTCTGTCAATCAAGCACGGGTTTGACAAACTATCAAACACCTTTCAAGTAGCGAAACCATGGAATCATCGCAGTCAAACATCACAACATGTAAATCACGCGAGATTACTCACGCAGTACCACATACCGAAGGATTGCGTTTCTAAGGAAGTCATCTCGCCATTAATGTGCCATGGTTTTCTTTACCTTCTTTAGCGGAATCTTCACCCGGGTTATGTTTCTTGTGCACGGAGTAGTAAGCGTGTATCTTGTGGTTCTTTACAAGAATAACGACACAATCTACTGGTGGCTATGTACTGGACTGTTTTTACTTTTGATTGAATCGTTTTACACCATCGTCATCCGGAAAGGCAAAGAATATAAATAGTAAGTAGAATATCTGTGATGATTTTCATAGCGTGGCTTCTCTCTTTCTCTTATTTTCTCGATTCTTTGCAAATGAGTGATCGCAATGTGGTATGTTTGTTTTAATACGAAAACACGCCAAACTAAAACCCGAGTACGCTTAGACATACTGATGTTTGCATTTACTCAATTGCATATGAATTTAAATTTAGATTAACTCGCTTTATACTTAATAATTTGACTTGGTTGTTGATGAATCTTTTTCAAGTGGTACTCTAATATCTGGAAACCTTGCTCTATCGAGATCTGATCAGCAAATAGCGACTCTCTCATATTTAAAACTATTTCAGAGCAATCAGTTGTGCGAGAATATTATTAGCTTATAGACATCCTGTGGATTTAAGGGTTATCATCCATAACGCATTATTTCACTGTGGTTGTGAAAGCGAAGAACTGGTTGTTAATTACCACTTAATCAAAACTTCGGGCTTCTGTTTTCTGATTCCATGTTTTTTTTTAATCGCAATCGAAAATAAGTGCTTTGTTGAACAGCTGTGTGAAATTGTTCCTTGGTTTAACAAAGACGATCGTACACCAAATTAAGACTAGTGGCACCGCTTCGATAAATTATTCGCTTTGAATACGTCATCAGGGTTAGGAAAGTCAAATGTGTGTTTGGATACAATCAGTTTTTGATGAGAAATATATACGAACAATATCCTTCTGTTAGCGATGGATAGCTGCGGTTTGTTTGGCAGTTTTTTAAGTACTGATTGAGTTAGCCGAGGGATAAATGAAAAACCATTGAAATGATACTGACTGGGTTATAACAAAAGATAAACACATTGCAGTCCGATATCTTTGCACGAAGTACTTTCTTCAATATCGCGATATTTTAGGTTCACCTAGTAAGAAAAATGTTCTCATTCGAGGCTCGCTGATCATAAATTTAGGCCGAAATTGAGACAACAACTCTTGCACGAGTTAGCCGGAAAATTTGCACCAGTTGTAATTAACTGATGGTTGTTCAAACAAGTTTTCTTAGACGGAAATCTGCCGATCTGGTAATTGGATAGCAATGGGTCACAAGTTCAAATGTAGGGACATTTCTTTTCGTACGATGCATCCAAAAATGCCTTTAAAACATCCCTTCTTTGCAATAATTCAAAATCAAGGCGCGTAAAGGCCATAGACACAATTGTGTTGTGTTTCGCAATCTCGTCCAAATTTCAATTGAACTGGGTCGGCATCTTAAACGTTTCGAAATCATTTTGACATATCCTACGCTTAGCACGCAAATTGTTGATGCAAATTGTTCGTTGCTTCAACATTAATTTATTTTTAGTTTCACGAACTTAATGAAAAGTCGCTGTGAGTCCTGTATTCATTTTTTTTTTACACATAAAACGGGTAGAATTATAAATTTGAAACTGCTATTTGAAGACGTCTAAATATCGTCGGACGTTGACGTTCAGATACAGCGACATTTGTCCTAATATTTTAGTTCTACATCACTTCCAAACTGCATTACTACTCAAGCTACAGAGGGTATCATTTTCCCTCAGTCTGTATGCTTAAATCGGATGAAGTCTCTACATCTGTTTACATCAGAGATTGCTTAACAAGGTATTCATGGGCGTAACCTTACTAGAGAGGGGGGAGGAGCATTTGACCCTTAGCCTTGTTATTTCATTGCTATTGTTATCATCATTATTATTGTTACCACTATTAACAGTTATATTGCAGTCATTATTGTGTGGTAAAAAGTCTTTTAAGTTTGATTCAAACATCTTATCTGGAAGCGCTCGTTGTCGGTGAATGACGCCGATAAATTAATTTTATTAATTTAATTAACATCTCTTGCCTTGCACGGGGTAATGAAATAGATATATTTTTTGGGGGGAGGACAGGGTCAGGCTTTAAAGGCGTCAGCGGCACACCTCAGCAAAACCATCCTTAATTGTCCCATCCCCTAACAAAAAGCTCTTGTAGGCAGGACCTCATTGGTGAAAATCCCGCCTAAGCAGCAACATATGAAATTAATTTTGTACTCTTTTTCTAGTTTTTGGCCAAGCAGCTTTCTATACATGTCGACCGTGATACCTGCCATCTGGGTGGCTGAGTTAGCGATATTGAATGAGAAGCTCGAATCAGGTCCAAAAAACTGCACGTTAACTGCAGAACAGAATTACGATAAATTTGGTGGATTGGTATGTACCCTTTAGTTTCATTGTACACCTTTGTAAAACACCTTTCAATTTTTTGGAAGGTGAAACTCTGTTTGTTTTTGTTAGTTTGTTTTGCTTACCGTGTAATATTTGTCCCATCTGGTTTATTCCACATTGTGTAAATCGTTGATAAACCTAATTTCTTAAGGGCACCTGACTTCAGAGCCGTCCTTGCTCCTTTGAAGGAGAATTACATAAAAATATTCAAAACTTTATGAAAACCAAACCAAATGTCATCTTATGATCGTTCAGTCTGATCGTGCGGGTGAGAGTAGTCCCTGAGAAGGACTGGTGTCGGTATTGACAACTGACGATTAGGCGACCCGAGAGTAATAGGTCGAAAGCGCTGAGTTTGCTGACCTTTTACTTCCAGTGCTCATCCGCAGTTTTTGTGGCAGGAAGTGACAAGGCGTATTGGCCCTTGTCGTGAAGTCCTAAGGTTACCCGTGACGTCATGTTTTTTAGTTCTAAAACAGATGATAGGTATTTAAAATGAGTGTGATGTTGTCTCAAATATGGCGTTGTATGTGCGTTTATACCTAACGGTACTTCGCTGGGATCGAGTGCGAGCTCATAATACAGTAGCTTAGAATCTCGTGGGTTTTCACTGACTTCAAAGCGCAAAAGAAACTTCCTACTGCGCAGGCTCTTCTGTATATGACTGAATTGTATTTGTTCACCAGATAACAGTCAGGACAGACTCTGGTCAGCTGGCGCAGAAGTTTTCCAAACTCGGTCTGATCCTATTAATCATTGTGGGCCGCTGGTTGCTTCCCAGAGGAGAACTAACACGTGATCAGCTTTCTTCGCTCTTATTGGTTTATGTGGCAAATGCCGCGGATATCATGGGTAAATTACAATATTATGATTATTGTTATGACTTTGAGTTTGAAGCCTTTTGTGTTTAATTTTGTTTTCTGCGTAAAAGCTTGCCATCTGAGATTCGTTATAAGCTAAAGGGAAAGGAAATTTAGAATTGTCTTAAACCTACTTTCTTAATTTTACCACAGAATTGTTTGAAGTTTTTGACCAAGAGCCAGATCTGTGGTGTATACAGGGAGTAGCCTTGGCTGTTCTGGCCACATATACTTGGTCGTTCTTGCAGTTTACTCTCGTGTTCACTGCCACAGCAGAGACTGTTCCCGACACAAAGGTACGTCACTTACGCTCTGTATTGGATTCTTCTTGAGCCAATCATTTGTCAGATTTTTTCATCGCATTGCTTATTCATCACTGACTGTTCAGGAACAAGACTGAATCATAAAGTTTCCTTGCGATGACGTGCTAATAGGTTGATTTTTAGGGTCCCTCTGACTTTTTTTTTTTTTTTTATTGTGTGCGCGAAATTCGAAATCAACCACCAATCAGATCAGGTAATTTGTAAGTGTGGACTTTATGTGCAGAGAAAAAGGGAAGAAAAAACCAATTTCAATGTACTATGTTTGCTTTAGACTTACGAGCCCCTATTGCCTATTACTGTCCGAGAGTACCTCAATTTCTGTAGCATATTTACCCCTCTGTAATGTACTGTGATTTCGAGGAGTCGAAAACTGAAGATTCCAGAACAATAGCTCGACAAATGTTATTTCAACAAGGAGTCGAGCATATGGCGACCGTGTAAGACCTTACATATGTAATGAGAACGACACCTCCCTCCTGGGTTGGATATCGCAGTTTATTCTTTCCTTTCTCCCCCCCCCCCCTCCGCCTACCCGCCTTTTAAGGATTTCACAAAATTTCCACTAACAGTCTTGAGGCACTCGCAGACAGTCACATAAGCCTCATTTCCCTCCAGGACAGCAAACTCTTGGGGGGTAAGAAGGACAGAGGGAGGGTGGGTACTGTCAGAGCATAATATCTTGCCAAATTGCACAATACTATAACTCAACCAGGGCCTAATCTGAGATCTGTAAAAAAGAAACATTAACAATCTTTTATTTTCTTTTTTTTTCTTAGCCACCAGCCCTAGAGGAAAATAAGACAGACCGATCGGGTGACGATCATACAAAGTTACCAAAGTACATCAAGAAACTCATAAAACAGAAGCAAAAAGATGAACTGGCTAAAATTGAAAAGAACACAGATTTGCGCGCAGCTGTCGACCAAATGAGACAACTCAAAGCTTATAAAGATCGCGGAAGACAGGCAAGATTCTCCATTCACGACACAGCATTAGAGGTTGTACAAGTGCAAAGAGAAGTCCGACGTGAGGAAGAAATCCTCGAGAAGCAGATAAAACAAAGACAGAAACTTAAACTCCACGGTGACTTGTATTCAATTTTGACTTTAATGTTAATGCAGGATGGACCATTTCTTATCGTGCGGCTTGTCTTGATAATTGCTTATCAAGTGGACGCCTTGTTACATATCTTCTTCACCGGCAAGAACGCAATGGCACTAGCTTTGCTCATTTACAGGCTTGTTATTTTGGTGATGGAATCGAGTGAAGACGAAGAAGAAATTGATAAAGATAGTGATTTTTATGAGTTGTCAAAGGCATAGATGTGAAGTTTCATTTTCCAAGTTTTTTAAATAACTTCCAGGAAATGCGAAATCATGCCGAAACCAATGGATTCATTGGCCTTTGCGACAAGATGTTTTCATCGTCACTTGGCGATGACTTTACACTAACCATAAATGATTTGAACAAGTTTTGACGCAGCAGAGGTATTACGACTTCGTTCAATGCCGAGCCATTTCAGAACAGGACAAGAATTGGGAAACGTTTGTTCTTTGGGCGTGGCTGCCTCTTGCAATTGCACGCACCACTATTTCATGTATTCAGTTTTTTTACTGAGGAATGGCCGACCAAAATTAAAACTTTCCGTGTAGCTTGCTACGCGTTATTCCTCAGTCCGTGGAACAGTCCGGTAGTCTATCCGTAGCTTCACGAGTCCGTTTATCAGTTTGGCATCTGTTTACGTCTGTTTTGTCTAGTTAATTACGTTTCTCTGGCTCTTCCCTTCCCGATCAGACAAACTGATAATGTTCTCAAAATTTAGATAAGTTACTCTCAATTGCCGCAGCGACTCACTATTTATTACACTGCAGTGCAAGGTTGGTAATATGTGATAGTTGCTGTTTATTTCCCGAAAGAAGAGAGTAAAGCAAGTGGGTCAAAGTCTCAAAAACTGGGCCTTTTTTAACAATTAGTGTAACTTTGTATATTTAAATGTATTTATTTATCAGCAACTTATCAGTAGATTTTAGAGCTTTAAAAACATTTGTATAACCTACTTTCTCCATAGATTCGAATACTGAAAAATTCTTAGAGTTGTAAATAAACTTGTTTTTTTTATCAGAAAAAATAAGATGAAGAAAAAAAGGAACACACCTTTGTCAAATATCGGACCTCGACTTAGAGGCTTCCTTCCTTTCCAATCGCTCTGACGAAGGGCTAACGCTCGAAACGTCAGCTTTTTTACCCTTTACCAATTTACGTTTTCAACTCAGTTGTTAACGCTAACTGAATTACCTGCTATACTCTCCCAACGACGCAGTGCCACAGTTTCTTTAGAAACTTACCCCCCTTTATTCCTTTCAGGACCGACCTGTTTCAATGAATACTGTTCCAAATTAAATACGGGAAACTTGATAACAGGGCACGAGTCAACTCGATTAGGAACTCGACGTGGTCGCGAGCGGGGAGGAGGGGAGAGTCGCAATTTTTTCCAACTGTTTGCAGTCTCAAGCTGTACAGGAAGTATAAACGGGGATGATAATTATGGCACTCAGCCAAGGATGATGCACGTTTTTAAACACATGAGCCCTGAAGAGCACTTGCGTTTAATGCGTATCAGAGACAGACTCGAGCACACTCAAATTCGGTGTGCACAAGAGAACACGACCTGAATCTTTCTAATCTAATCCCCTTAGAGGTCTCAATGGGGTTCACCGTTAGACGTAACACGGCAAAAAATTAGCCGTTCAGCGTTGAAACTAACCAATTTTAACTGGTAGTCCTAAAAAAAATGTTTTATATTAAAAATTTTATTTAAACGGCAACGGAAAGATATTAACCATTAGCCGTAAAATGGCCAGAATTTTTTTAACCGTTCGCCGTTAAGAGACACCACCCCATTCAATGCTTCCCATTAGGAAATGTAGTGACAAAATCGAATGATCGCAAAGCTGCAATTTTTTTTCCCAAGATTTGAGAAAATCTTTTGGCTTCATTTTTAAAGAAAATGTCATTTAACAGGGGATCTTCCAAAGACCTGTCGGAAATCAAGGGATTGATTGAAATACTCAACATTGATATTTTTGCAAAATGACTGATTTTGGAGGAAAAACTCGTAACTGTTCGGGGTATCACATCTTGCTGGATCTCAAACAAGCCGACGTTTTTTGACAGCTGGGACAAATTAGGAACTAGGGATGACGTCAATAAACCATTAAAAATATTTGTATTCAAATTTAGGCGTCCATATTTCGAAAAACTTAATTCAGCGTCAATATTCTCGAAAACAATTTGTCAAAAGTGGTCATTGCAATATATGAAAACGCCTTTAAACTCGACAGCACTCCATAACATCCAGGTCAGTTTCTTTGATGGCTTTTGTCAAATAGATCAAGCTAACTAACTTGCTTATTTCATGCTTTTGGTTTTGTATAATTTTTCCAACGTAAGTTTGCACCTGTCTTTAACCCAAACTAAACCCGGAATTATTATTATCGCTCAAAGTTTCAAATGTTTCCATGTTTTCTTTTGGTATCTCATTATCTCTTACAAACCTTTTAAGACTGGTTTTTGGCATCCGTGCGATCTTTCCGTTATAAATAGTTAAGACAAAGTGTGATAAAGTTTTTTTACGACAAACCCAAACTTTAATCACAAGCTCATTTGCAATAGCATCTGTTGAAAAAAAACCAGCTAGCATTTAAAAAGGAAAATAAGCTTTCTAAGTAAATTTTAAACTATAACAAATACGTCTGTTTATTAGAAAAGAAAGATTGTTTCGGCTCCTAATAAAAGATACGCATGTAAATTCAAGAGGTTGTTAAAATTTTTGAATACAACACCTCCTGTGTTGTTTGATTGTCCCTTTCCATTGTTTCGTTTTATTTACCGTCATAACACATAACTTGCAGCAATCGTTTGACGCCTTGAGTTTTATTGTCGTTAATCGCCTCAGTGTAACTGTTCAGGCAAAAAACTTCAGCAATTAAAGGACAATTTTGCGTTATCCTTTTTAACAATCTTACAACTTGTTCGTGTTGATTTCACTGAAAGGTATCAATCAAAAGCAACGCGGGGGTTGTTCTCTTGATATACAAAAAAAGCTAAATACAAACAACAACATGAATAATTCACACAGTCGCTGAAGAGCGGCGAAGCAGAATATTGGAACTCTTAATGAGAGCATATCGGCGCTCAACCAACTTTTATACTCAGTAGGAGGCAGACCATTTTGAAAACATATCGCCCAGACGTCGCAATGTAGTGGTTTCTCACGCTAAAACTAAACGCTCTTTCACAGAACAAATCAGCAATTGAGATGTGATTGTGATAAGCTTGGCCCGTCTGATATGTTGTCATATATAAATAAGTTGTCCACCACATCAGACACAGCGGAGATGAAATCTGCTCTAAGGGCTACCAATGACTTCAGGGTCAAGCCAAAATTGTACAGTAAAAACTATAACCGACGGGCGAGTTGCCCACCAGAAGCGCTCAGCTCATTGGGAGATTCTACACCAGAGGACAGAAGACTGTATGACACACGAGTGAAGATAAACATTAGTGGAAAAAAGTATGAAACTCTTTATTCAACATTGGCGAAATTTCCGAACACCCTTCTTGGAAATCCCGCTAAAAGACAGCAATACTTTGATCAAACGAGACAAGAATATTTTTTTAATCGGAATCGCAATGCTTTTGATGCAATCCTGTTTTATTACCAATCGAATGGTCTCCTCACGCGACCGAATAACATCAGATTACAAGAATTTTGCGACGAGCTGAAATTTTTTCAAATCGAGGAAGAAATTGTCAGTGAATTCAAACGAGACGAGTGTGGGATCGAAGATGAAGATGATGATGAAGAAGTCGTTCTGCCATCAAATGTTATATTAGCGAAGCTTTGGCTGTGGTTTGAGTATCCCAAGTGCTCCAAAGTTGCTAAACTTTTTGCGGTTTTCTCCGTTACTTTCATCGTAATTTCTATCTACGTTTTATGCGCGGAGACACATTTTAGAGGATCCACAGACTCATCTAAATACAAGGAGGAACCCCCCACATCAATGCGCATTTTGGAAAAAGTTTGCATTTCTTGGTTCACTTTAGAATTTATCCTGCGATTGATTTCATGTCCAAACAAATTGCGATTCATCCTCGACATCTTGAATTTGATAGACCTAGCCGCTATTCTGCCATACTACTACTTCGAGCTCTCTTTGAGTGAATCTAAAAATGACAAAAATATCGACGCCATAAGACTTTTAAGAGTTCCCAGGTTGTTAAAACTAACCCGACATCTGGAAGAGCTCAGAGTTCTCGCCAAAACAGTGCGCTCCACTTGGCGAGAACTTGTCATGATCTTGTTTTTTATTCTCATAACTACCGCTATTTTTTCTGGGTGGACATTCTACGTAGAATATGAGGAGCAAAAGGAATCGTTTTCCAGTATCCCCGCTACAGCTTGGTTTGTGATAGTTTCAATAACAAATGTCGGATACGGGGATATGATTCCAAAGACTCTAATGGGGAAGCTGCTCGGTGCTATCTGCACTATAGCAGGTGTGTTGGTAATAGCATTACCTGGTACTGTAATCGTCACGAAATTTCGTCTATATTACGAGAAAAAAAAGAGGAAAAAATTAGCCAGTTACAAATTTTAGTGTCATTTGCTTCAAGGTACGAATCATTGTGAATTACACGCAGCGCTCTAGCGTTCATCATCAAAGTGCGTGGGTTGTCACTAATAAAAGGACGCGCAGAATAATTATGAATAAAGAAAAACGTGTTAAGTATAACTGGAGCTCGTAATTAGACAAAGAAAAAATATCTCATGTTTTTTCGATGGCATCAGAACTTCGAAATATTATCTTTTCATAACAAGTTGCAAGTAGACATCAATTTTTGGCTTGTATTACACCGGAACGTTTTACAGATTAAAAAATCAACCAACAGCTTTCCTCTTAATAGATTACAAAAAATCCGCTATCTTAAGACATATTTTATAGCTTGGCTTTTCCATTTGGTCGAATCTTTCAGACTAATTCGCTATAAAGTTATACCGATAATTTGCTTGAAGTGAAACTGGATACGTAGCGAATTGCGCTTTTTTTCTGCCGTATGAAGCAAACAGACAAATGAAGTTTATATTTCGACTCACATAATGTAAAAAAATATCATATGTAAATAAACTCAATCGTCTTTGTTTTATTCAAATTTTCCGCTTGCTCTTTGTGATTGGTTGAACCATTGCAGCTGGAGAAGCTAGAAGACCGGCAAAGACTCCACCCACCCCACCCTTCCTCTTCCTAATTTTCCTGAAAATAGTCACCCATGACCACAGCTTACTAAACTGACAGATGAAACAGAAGAAGACATGACAATTAATACTATATAGTATTACTCTATTTCCGCTTTATTAAAACTCGTTTTCCGAAACTAGTGCAGAGTTGAATATTCAAGAAACATCGTAAGCTTGACACCGCCAAGTTTGTCTTAGGGCTTGACCGTAAGATTTCTTACAAATTGTAATCTATTCTCCGGAAATAAATCCCTGATAAATAGAGAAGTCTAAAGCGCCATTTATTTTTGTTTCACGATCAATCCAAAAATTAATTTGATGAATCCATCCATTTTCTCACTTCCAGTGATCACAAGAATTAAGAGTTACTTTGATTAAGGTGGGACTTAACCTAAAATTTGACTACAAAATGCAATTTTTGTTTTTGGAGAAATCTGAAACTTCAGGCATAGAAGAAAGCCATGACATGAGTTTTTAAGACTAATTTGCTTTATTTTGTTGCCTACGATAAGTTTTCTGCAAGCTAGTAAAAAAATATTTTTGGTTACCATGGCAACGCAACGTAGCATCTTTCAGTCTTGCTCCAATTTGAAGCCCGAAAGTCCATCCAATTCCTAGAATTTCCTCAGTATTTTCAAGAGGAAGCTATATGACCCCTTACATGAAGTATAGCTAGTCGGAGGTGGCGTGGGATTGAAAGCTGGCGTGTTTTCAACTGTGGAGATACTGTGAGAGCGAGATTCGAGTTTTATATCAGCGAAGTTTTTGTCTAAAATGCCAGGAGGGAAGAAGAATACTGTATATAGAAGAAAGCGGAAAGGAAAGCCTTTTACTGGAGTGCAGAGATACGCAAGGAAAGCGAAGAAAATGCCGCGTGCGGATAGAGAAGTCACAAACTCAGCATCGAGTTCCTCGTGTGATGAGGCTCTGTCAGATGCCGAAAGTGCTTCCATCAGTGCTTCGAGACTCAAAATGAGACCAGAAGATTCACCAGATAGTTCATCAAAGATTTCTGATGTAAATGATTTTCAGGGAGAGGGATACAGACTTGTAGACCTCAAGAAATTATATGCCACGTTGTCTGAAGCACATGTGTGCGAGGAAGGTGAGAAAACATAAGTGAACATCTGTTTTACTTTTAACCTTTTCTTTACTGTTCATGTCTCGTAGCATATGCTAGTAACAGTGTGCAGTTTCCATTTTTTTCCTAAGAATGTTTTTTTACTTCTCTTCAGTACTATCTTTATTGTTTTCATTTATTAAAAATTACAGTTGTAACTGTCTGTTGTGTGGTATGTGGTGAATAAATTTTGTGACTCATATACATGTATGAGAATGCACAAAATAACTTTAGTGTATACTGTTATTATGTTCTAGGGAGTTTAACTCTGAAGGAGAATTCTTCTGGGAGAAATGGGCTAATGGCAGACCTCTCTGTGGAGTGTAGCTCCTGCCTTGAAGCTACACCATTGAAAACATCAGATACAATAACAAAGAAGCAGAGCAAGAATAATGCAGAGACTGGTAATTCCAGCAGGGGAGTACACTCAGAAGGCCTCAGAAGAAAAGGACAAGAGGCGGTTGAGAAAATCGGACCTTCAGACCTCTGCTAAAGAAAAGAAGCGCCGGCAAGGAGAGCAAATGAGGCGCACACGCAGAGAAGATGCCCTACGGGAGGCTGATGGTGATACCTATGAACCTGGAGGCTTCTAAGTGACTGAAAGAAACATTTGCTATGATATTGGATAGTTCATAGCCATGCAAATTTGTGCAGACAATCTTCGTTTTAGCTTTTTAACTTTAATCGCACTTTTCTCAAAATGTGCATTTTGCGCATTCTAGAAAACATATCTCATAGAGGATTTAACCAATTGACTTGAAATTTTCAATGTTTATTGCTTTCAAAGAGTGTCTGGGAATGAGCAAAGGGTTTTTCTGTAGCTTTACTTTGTCAAAAGTTACAAAGAAAATTGTGGTGGAAATTCACCCCAAAAATTTTGCTTTACTTTAACTGGAGGCTGGAACCAAAGTTTTTTATATTTTTTAAAACTCTATGCTCATCCCCATGATTAGCCTATATACTATATAGTTATAAAAACAAATCAGAGCTAGCTGCATTCCATATCAAGATTTCTTTTCTAGAGTACATGTGGGTTGTGCACAGTATGGGGTAACAATATTTTGCTGGTATCAGGTTACAAATAAACTGTGTGCAGAAATAATTGAAAAAACTGAAATCTGTGATTCATTAGCTTTTCAGTGATATATGGTTTTATATGGTTTAACTAAAAACTGTGGATGTGACAAGTCATTGAAAAAAGGGGTCTTTTTTAGGTTAAGTCCCACCTTAAGCAAAAAGGTTAGTTGGCTCTGAACCCCACATTTTCTTTCGCCTCGTTTTCATAGCACTCTCAGGCTCGGCTGCTAAGCATTTTGTGTCTGGCTTACACAAAGTACTAACGAATCTCCAGTGTTGATGCAAGTGTTTTTCACTAATAAAATCTCGAAGATGCAGGGCTCCAGGAAAGCTTTTATTTTAGTTTTGCTTTATGTTCTTGGATTATCGATATCCTCTTCAAGACATGTTGAAGGTAAGATTATCTTTTATCGAAAATCACGATCTACTAATCGCTTTATCGGTCGACCACGCAAACTTTCGCGCAATATTGTACTTGTAAACAAAACATTGTACCAGCTCAGAATCGAAGTCCACCTAAGTTGAAGTCAATTTCGATATCATTTTACAAATCCTTCGAAGCACGAGGAAACGATTCGTTTATTTTGTTTTGTTTATGTCATCATATATTTTTTTTCATTTGAAAGCTACATTATACGTAAATTGGCCGTAATTAAGGTAAGGCGGATGAACGCGACTTCAATAATTTTAAGCTTAAGGTCAAGAATTTAAGTACAAATTTTGTTGAATTTAAGTCAAGAATATAATTCAGTGGTTTAAAATGTAACAATAAAAAAAGTAGTGTCTAAAATGGATTAAATATATTTTATGCTAGTTTACACACAAATAAATTACTGTATTAAGCGGAGGCAAATGAACAGGGAATTTTTTGCTTGCAGTTTGGAATCTGTGGGTTATTTAACCTCTGCCTCACAAAGTGCCGTGAAAATTAGACTCCTGCATTCAGACTCAGCATTATTTGAGATGCAATAGCCTAATCACATTTGCTCAAAAGTTACACATACATGGGCTGTGACTAAAAGTGGGATGGGGACGTGGGACTCGGGGACGTGGGACGCGGGGACTCAGGGACACGCAGGGACTAGGGAACGTGATAAACAAACAACACCTGGTATTTGCGCTGAATTTGTGAAGTTATTCAACGAGAACAAATACCCTGACCATGCTTTTTTGAAAAAACAACCTACAATGATGACTTCATCTGATGAAGCACTCTCTGATCTACTGCAGGTAACTAAACAAATGACACTGCAACCTGTATGACTACAGCAAGTGAACTGTACGTAGAGTGCATGTCTCTGAACATCTCTTACAACCCTTCAATGCCCAAGTCACCCACAGACTCAGTACTTTGCAGTGAAAAGAACTGTCTTTGTTGTCAACCAAACAATAACATGAACTTACCATCTCTCTTATTTCTATCTAAAAACATTATGCTATCAACATTGCTAATCCTAGCAGTATGCAGGACGTGTCATATGAACTTCATAACAGACCTCGCTCACCATGGAGTCTCTTTAGCTCAGTAGTAGAGCATTGAAGTACGAAATCTGAAGGTCTGAGGTTTGATTCTTCATGGGGACTCAGAATTTTTTCTTTGTCCCATGCTCGTGACGAGAAGAAAAAACATCTTTCTCTATTTCTTTACTGAGTTCAAAAGCTTACCATCTCGCTTATTTCTATCTAATAACATGATGTTATCATAAATCTGATATTGTTTAGATCCTAGGGAATATGAAGATGAGGAAGCGGAAGAGGAAGAAATAGAGGATGTTAGGGACTCAGAGGATGAAGAAGAACCAGCAAATGAAGAAGACCAAGATGACGGTTACAACCAAGACAGTAGAGGAAGAGCTGAGGATGAGGAAGAAGTGAATATACCCGGCAGATCAGTGGATGATAATGAGGAGGCTGAAGAGGATGAAGATGACGATGAAGGTTACAGTGAGGAAGAAGAAGATGAGGGGAAAAATTCAGAAGATCATCGAATGATGGACGGTGATGAAGGAGGAATGCCATTGCCTGATGATGATGATGTCGAAGTGTATTCACCAGAGCAAACTGGAATGGAAGACTTTGAAAGGGTAAGTTTAAGCTATTTAATGTATGACGTTCATGCTAAGACAGCTCCTAAAAGTCTTCTCGATAAGTTTGCGAAAATCAATACAGAACATCATTATAATACGCGATTATCTGCAAAAGAATGCTTCTCTGTCAAATTCTCTAGAACTGAAAAAATGAAAAAATCTTTTACTAGAATCGGTGTGTCTATTTGGAATTCTATTCCACTTTCTATTCCACTTTCTGTTAAGACTCTCAACGTTTCTAATTTTCGTAAAAAAATTAAATTACTACTCCTTAATGTTCTAGGTAATGAAGATAATTATTTGAATGTTAAGTTTTTAATAGAATATTTTGTGAAGTTAACCTGATATATTGTATATACCTCTAGTTGTAATTTTAGTCTTTTTCAAATAACAAAATCCCTTGTACTTGAATTTATATGTAAGGTGTTTCTTTCTGTATGTTTTTGTATTTCTTCTTTTCTTTTTTCTTATGTAATTTAATAACGCCTTTAGTTAAAGTCTTGTCCTGCCTAGATTAGCATTGTAGCTATTTGCAGGACATGA